TGAGAATAGAATCAACACCCCTCCATAATAAATCCAATGCTTGACTTAAATTGCCTTTTGATTTGTATTCAAGATTTTTCATCTGATTAACCTTGAAATAACTAGAAATGTGTGCAATTTTAGCCATATTCCACTTTTTTCTCAGTGTAAGGAAGTCTGACATGACAGCGTCAGCATAACAAGCAAGGGCAAATCAAAATGACTCCATCCTCTTGAACTCCGTACACAGTCCAACAACTTACTGGACAGAATGTTAAAGATATTGATTGAGTGACAAAAAAAATGTTACCTTAGTCATAAATGAAATTTTTGGTCGCAAAAATAAATGACAAACCATAAAAAACTTGCATGGTATAAGTTAAAAATTTTAACACATAGTCATGAAATACACAGTTAACTAACCTAATTACGTATTGCTTCCATAAATTCTTGCCACAAGTTTGCCTTTGAAATCTTTTTGGTGAAAGTATTTCATCTTTGGGAACATGAGTTCCGTTAATATTAACATGCTTATCATATCAGTTTGAATAATACGTGTATACCATTATCCAAGAAACTTTCTTGTTAAACGTTTGATACATACATCTTAGTCTAAGCTTCTTCACCCATATGCAAGAAGGGCCGGACATAGTAATGGAAATGAGCTTCTGTCAGGTCAATGATGTGATTTTGTTTCTGATATTGCTAGGAGAGGGAGGTATTCACTTAATTAAGTGACAAGATCCATAAAATCATGATATTTCAGCAGTTTTCTATTTCTAAATCAATTTTAACATCATTATAGCAAATCAATGTTAACATACACATGTACATGTTTTTGTTTCTGTTTTGAAGGTCTATCATGTTCTTTTCTCTAGTCCAAAGCAGATAGAAAACATTATTTGGGTTACATCTAGCCAAGATTAGAGATGTAAGATTCATCGATGATTTGTTGCATTGTGATATGCCTAGTCCTAGATGTATGCATTAAAACAAAATTTTAAATGGCACAGTGGGTTGACTGCTTTTCATTCTTAGCTCTTCTGTTTCAAATAAAAAATGTCAAGCTGTAATAATGGCTGAGTCGGTCTTGTTTTTGTCGGGAATGTGAAAAATCTTGACTGCATTCCCAAATGCAGAGTCGGTCTTGTTTTTGTTGGGAATGTGAAAAATCTTGACTGCAGTCCCAAATGCAGAGTCGGTCTTGTTTTTGTTGGGAATGTGAAAAATCTTGACTGCAGTCCCAAATGCAAACAATTTAAAAATTTGAAACTTTGCTTATCAATGTAAGATTCCAGTGTGACACAAGGGACATTAATCTAAAAGCTAAATATTTGGTGTCAGACGTCCCTTTTTAACATACAATTTTTATTAAAATTGTTCATTAAGTTTAATGATTTAAAGACCATCTATGATTTCAATATTAAACTCGGAACTCTTACATATATCAAAAGAAAGATGTTAGATTTCCTGCAAGCAAAATTTTAAGGAGTTATGCCCCTTTCCAACTTCGAAACTCTATTAGTTATGTTCCCTCATTGGATAGAAATTCTATATAGCAAAATAGAATTTCTTTCTTCATCAAAAGTTAGCTGAATGACATGGTATTGTGCACAGATTCATCAAAGACTGGTTAACATGCTTCTGTGAACTGCATCATTTTAAGATGGCAACCATTGCTGTCTGGGAGAGGAGTTGGGGAAGAAGGGGATGGCCCTTTACTAAATTACCTTTGTATTTACAAAAATATTTGAAGATGACTTACATTTGTCTTGTCTGCTTGAAAGTAAGAAGGAAAATTGTCATATTGTAGGATTAAGGATAACATTTGTCATATCCTATTAAGAATTTATAAACAGTAGTTTGTGAAACCAAGTCATGTAATTTTAAATACTGATTTCTATGATACAGATATATACATAGAATATATATATATATATATAGAATATAAGTAATGTTTCTATTGTTTGCACTGTATGTGTTTAATTAACATTAATCAAATTATAAAATAATTCTTTTCAAGCCTGAACTGAATTTTTTTTCTACCGACTGTATCTCTAAATAAAAGCACAAAAATGCATGTTAATTAAATCAATTTGCTAAAAAATTGATATAACATGAACATTTTCAAAGCTCTGAATGTTTTAATTGATACAACTGTATAGAAATAAAAAACAAAAGAAAAATAAACATTTAATTGCCATACATTCATATCCTAAATATCACTTAGACTAGTTTCGCACAAAATTTCTTGTCAATTTTTTCAGAAAATTCAGAGCGAAACTAGTCTAAGTGAATTTTTCATAAGATCATTAAAAAACTGTTTTTCTATCATATATTGTTATTATAACATACCCTGACGCACTAGTGTGCTTTTTTAATAAAATCACATAGAATAGTTTCGCATTCAGTCTTTAAGCCATTTATGACAATATTCTGGCGTGAAACTATTCTATGTGACATTTCTTACTAAAACATCATTTTTAATGAACAGATTATCAAAACTGAAAAAAGTATGGTTGAAGTTCTCTTAAATACATACTATATCCATATTATATTGAAAAATTCTGAAAATGTAACAAATGAGACAGTTTTTTCCTTCTCCTGAACATTTTTAGAAAATGCACATAGACTAGTTTCGCGTTGAGCCCTCGATATAGAGGATAATTAATACTTTAATAAAATTATATTTAGCGAGCCTCTATCGAGCAGAATTTTATTTTATTCAACGAGTTCAATAAATTCAGAAATGAACACATACTAGTATAGAGGATATTGAATGAGTGTAAGTTCAATACTGAATTTATTGCACGAGTTGAATAAAATTATATTATGCGAGCCTCTATAGTAACAAAATTGCATATGATTTCAACTGGTTACGAGTGTCACGTGACCTATTATGAGTTTACGGCTCAGGACCGAGAACTAGTTATCAACCCGCAGAACATGTGCACGTGCACAAACTGAAACAATGACGTCATATTAAGTCATCAAACAGTTAATTGTAAAAGTGAAAGTAGGTTATCAGCACGAATCGCTTGATTTTATTATGGGAGCTTTTAAAGGTGTACTTCGTACAAACACATTTTTGTAACTATTGAAATTTGAAGAAATAAAACGACAAATTCATTCCGAAAATAAATGAAAATAAAACTTCTAGATTTCACTGCTTTGAACACACAAATATCTCTGTACAGAACAGTAGAAGTGTAGACAAGAATTTCAACGAAAGAACTTCAAAGTTTAGTGTTTTTTTAAAAACAAAATGCTACTATTAGATCAACCAAGAGTATGGCCGAACGTGATAATCGGCCCTGAATTGAATAATGCCCTCGGGCTGAAGCCCTCGGGGCCATTATTCATTTTGCGGGCCGATTATTACCTTCCTCTACTTTATCGTGTATTAATCTCTTATTACTTATGAACTCAAATTTGATATAAATCTATGCGCTAAAGGTTTCATGTGATCAGTTGCGATAGCTCCCCAGATATCTGATTTCATTGACCTTTAGTCTCGCTTTGTCAGCATTTTTAATGACGAAATGTGTCAATTATTCACAGACGGTTTTGTTTATCTCTTGACAACATAAATTCTTGCACATTTTTAATTGATGTCAAACGGCAGAGGTTTGCGGCTTTCGAGACTATACCTTGCTGGTTTGTACAGTTAATCATTCGTAATGTTTGCAGGCTGATCTTGCATTGACAGATATTTTACACCAGTGTATCTTCAAACAAAATGTAGTAGATCAGCTCGTTTCTTCGTATATGTTAGTGTTCATCCTTAGCTGTTCTACAGAAATTAGAAACATTCTCCTGTCGCTATCGCTCCCGTCGAAGTTTCTAATTTCTGTAGAACAGCACGGATGAACACTAACATATACTTAGTGTCAAGCTTTATTTGGCGCTTGATTACGTCACTACGCGGTACTATGAAGCACTATGAAAAATAGAAGGCGACTATGAACGGATTTCAATATAGTATCGACTTTTTTTCTTCTATGTATATGTTAGTGTTCATCCGTGCTGTTCTACAGAAATTAGAAACTTCGACGGGAGCGATAGCGACAGGAGAATGTTTCTAATTTCTGTAGAACAGCTAAGGATGAACACTAACATATTTAGTGTCAAGCTTTATTTGGCCCTTGATTACGTCACTACGCGGTACTATGAAGCACTATGAAAAATAGAAGGCGACTATGAACGGATTTCAATATAGTATCGACTTTTTTTCTTCTATGAAAATTAACACACATAATTTTTAAGAAATACAGCGTTTTCATTGGATGACAAATAAAGCTGGACACTAAGAAAATTAACACACATAATTTTTAAGAAATACAGCGTTTTCATTGGATGACAAATAAAGCTGGACACTAAGAAAATTAACACACATAATTTTTAAGAAATACAGCGTTTTCATTGGATGACAAATAAAGCTGGACACTAAGAAAATTAACACACATAATTTTTAAGAAATACAGCGTTTTCATTGGATGACAAATAAAGCTGGACACTAAGAAAATTAACACACATAATTTTTAAGAAATACAGCGTTTTCATTGGATGACAAATAAAGCTGGACACTAATTTCAAAAGCAGTACGGTAGTCCTTGTCAGATTATATAAAACAATTTATAACACGGAATTAATAAAGAATATAATACATAAAAGTCTGGTGCATTTTCTAACTTCCGAGTAAAGGTGACATAAAATATAAAACAGATAAATGTATCTAAAACACTATTTTTAATAAGGATCATCACTTCAAATGTACAATGTATGTTTTAATATGCCTTGCAGACTAGTCATTCGAACTGGGTACATTTTTGTTAATAAATAGAAATAAATAGATCATCTTGAAATGTTTGATCATAGTTTATAACAATGAATATAATTATAAAATTAATTTAGATCTATTCGATGTTCATTTTTACATAGGAAACAAAAACTGTTTAAATGCTTAATTGATTGTTCACGGATTTATATATATTTAAGATCCGTGGTTAAATGTATGCACATTATAGAATTGTGCAATTATCATTTGCTTCAGGTGAGCTAGCAGGTCTGTGTTTCCTGTCACGTGATCTGTCTCGGTCACGTGATTTACTTCGATGGCGGCGGTATTGGTGCTGATGGTAATCATATGGGCTTCGGGATCGCCGCTTGTTCTTCCAGAGAGAGCGTCTTGTGATGCTCCGTCTGTTTAAATCTTTACTTGACTCTGTAATTTTAACTTTTTGTTTTACAGACGATGATGAACAAGGATGCTGGATATGATGGTTCCCCTCCTCTCTTTCACTTCTCAAAGGATTTGGTTCGACTGCCCTAGACGAACTTTTCTTACATCGGTCATATCGCCTGCTCGCTTCAAAATTTTGTTTCTCGTTGCCTTTTTCAAATGATGATTCTAAATCAAGCCAAGTTAATGGTCCATCAGGATTCTCTGTATGCGCATTACCTTTGTTTTTTAATTCTGACGTATGACCATGATGTGGTTTGAAATGTTTAATTTTCTTTTTTGCCCCACAAGATTTCCGTAAAAGTCGTGATCGGCTACCGCTTCTCGACCGACTGCAGCTTTGGTTACGGTTATATTGGTCTCGACTTTTACTGCGTTTATTATTTCCGGTATATGGTGAAATCTCTTTTGAACTTTCTGTACTTGAATCTTTTAACCATTTCTGAATAGATTTCTTTTTAGAATGGGTTAAACCATTGTCTTTATTTTTTCGGGGAGATGGGGTTTTCACTTCCCTGTTTTGTCCTGTAGTACGTTTTGGCCCCGTCTGTTGCTTAGCCTGGTTTTTACTTTGATTTTTGGATTCTTTTCTATTATGCCGGGGTAAAACACTTTTTATAATTTCGGGCGATTTCATTTTGTCAGGAGATGCTACTTGGTAAACCGTTATTATCTTTCCTCTTGATGCCGACGACTGGACCGCGATTGGTGTATAGACGGTGAACAAATTATCGCTATCAGTATCATCAGCACCATGACTATCGGAAAGAAGTGGTAAACTTTCTAAAACTCGGGAGTTCACGTTTGAAAATGTTTTATTATTTACCGTCGACGTCTCTTTGCATTTAATTTTGTTTTTCTTCTCCTTCTTCTTTGGTGTTCTAAAACTATTGTTATTAATATTTTCCAGTCCTGAACTAGCTGCATCCTTTATTAAGAAGTTTGACCTCAATGTCTTCATGAATGCTCTAGTCATCCCATCCACATTCCAAAGTTCAGAAAACGATTGAACACGCCCATTTAGTTTACGGAAATTAACAATCCGACTGGCAAGCTCGCTTGAAATACCAGAGTTTGAAGCTAACGTTCTTGATGTGCATTGATTTATATCCGCCATGTTTGTTTATCAACTTCCGGTTCGTCAAATATCTCTGACGTCACTATCGCGCATTTTTTACCGAAATATCTTTACGTAAATATCGCAAGCGCTCTCTATGGAAATGCGTGAAAAAGAAAAAGGCGTTGACAGCTAATTCCTCTCCATGTAGATTTTTTTTAACAAAAACTTTAATTAATTTTAAGCATAAGCACTTACTAACTATCACAACCATTAAATAAAATATTAGTTTAAAAATTAAACTGAGCTTATAAAGGCCTTCTCCTTATAGATTTACAATGCATAAAATACGGTATGACAGTATATGTGACTTGCTTGAAATATATCTGATTTTACATTGTTTTTAAGAAGTTAAAGTCAAAATTGTTTCTAACATTTAGTTATAATATAAAGCAAAAATATATACAAAAAATGAATGAGAATACAAGACTGCATCATTTTGTTATATAAAATTAAAGAGAAATAACGTAAATTAAGATAGAAAGAAATGAAGGAAGAAACTTTCAGCAAAATAGAAAAGAAGGAGAAATAAATGAAATGTGGATCATTCGGATAGTTCAACGATTTAAATGGGAAGTATTTAGTGATTTGAGCTGATGTGAATATGCTTAAGAGAATCTCCTGCTTTCTCGGATGTATGTATGAACGGCTTCAAACAGTCTTCTGTTTGCATCATCACTAATGTTTGGGTCTATATTAAATAACTTTTGGAGAGTTGGAAAAATAGTAGATATAGTGTTAAGAAAAGAGGCCCTGCTGTCAGCATAGCGTTGACATTCAAAGAAAAAGTGGTAATTACTTTCCACTATGCCACACTGACAAAGAGGAGATGGAGAAATAATTTCTTAAATAGATGTTGATTTAGAGAACTACATTCAGTACGAAGTCGAGCATGAAAGATCTGCCATTTTCTATCGCCTTCATAGAAATAAATCGGACAACCAGAGCTGCTTCGTCTCAAATGGGATTTGAAAGCAAACAGTGAACGTAAATTTTGTACTTCAGTTGGAAGGGCGTTCCATTTATTCAGAGCAGTTTGAAGAAAAGCATTTTGATAAAGAGTTGTTCGTGTTCGAATAACCTGAATATTTGAACCATTGCGTAGATCGTACCTTGAATTTTCGCCTACTGTAGGCACAAGTAATCTGGTGTTAAGCCATTTGTCATTTTATAAAGTAAGATAAGCATGTGATTATTTCTTCGAGATTCTAAGGATTCCCAAGGGACTTCACTATGGAGTTTATCTAATGATACAAGTTTTGTAGCACCGCACACAATACGAGACGCTTCATTTTGAATTTTGTCAAGCTCAAGTTTCTCATATTTTGTGCAGTTTAGATAGACAACATCGGCGTATTCCAAAATCGGTCGGATGAAAGTTAAATATATCACTTCAAGAGATCTACGGTCAAGCTGAAACTTCAATTTCCTCATAATGTGTATTCTCTTCCAGGCTCGTTCGGTAATATAGTTAATGTGACAATGCCACGAGCAATCGTCTGAAAGGTGGAGGCCATGCAAGATGTTTGTGACTGTTGACGGTTGTTATTTGTTGGTTATGCATAAGAAGTGAAGGATGAAAGGGTTTATTTCTTTTACAAGAGATAACCATAGATTTAGACTTCGATGGATTGAAAGTAACCAGCCATTTTTCAGCCCGAGCTGATATCTTGTCTATATCAGATTGAAGTGCTTCAGCAGCAGAAGCAGGGTAGTCAACAATAATATGTAAACTGGTATCGTCAGCAAAAAGATTAATTTTAGAGCCTACTAGTATATCTTCCACGATGTCATTGATGAAAACAAGAAATAGTAGCGGCCCAATGATGGAGAATTGGGGTACTCCAGCCTTTACTATCGACCAGTCTGATTGGACCCCAGGTAGTATAACCGCCTGGTGCCTGTTAGTAAGATAGTCAGAAAACCAGTTAAGTAGACAACCGTCTACTCCAGCAGCTTTCAGCTTAAAGAGAAGACCTTTGTGCCAGACTTTATCGAACGCTTTACTCTTGAAATGTGATTTAAACAATTTAAGACTTGAAAAATTTCTCTTTTTTTTTAGGAATAGTGGCTAACTTAAAAGCCGCCACCTACCTTACATGTTCAAAGTTATTGAACGCATTGGATCGTAGAGGCAGATTTAATTAAAGAATGCAGTCTTAGTTTCTGTGTGTTTCTACCAATACTAACTACTGGTAAATGTGGATAAATAGATAATATCAGGCTAGTGTCTGATATTACAAAATTAATCAGAAAAGGCAAAGAAAAAAAGGGACGAAGCTATGCATAGCCTGCCGATCCTGATAAAATCTATAATATCAGACACTTCTTTTGTATTATATTTATCATGTTTTCAATTTTAATATGAGTTACTTTCTTTAAATTTCAAATGAAACAAATATGTCAAGAACCTCACGAGTCCATGCCGCGCGGAGTAAAATGCCCATTGTAATACCTTTAAGAAATAGTCCAAATTTAGGTAATAAAAGATCAACAAAGTGAAAATATTACTGTTCATATTTGCGAAATTATATATTTATGACATCTTGTTTATAATGCGCTTTTGGAAGATCAATCCTAATGTGATGAAATAACCTCAAACCGCGTTCTTTGGATTTCATTTAGTCGTATTGCGCAGTGAATCGGACATCATGCAGTTCTATTTTCCGGTATGATTTGTGCGAAACTTGTCCGTGAAAACTTTTAAGTATTTTTCTCTGAAATCGTTTAAGTGAAATTACAACGCATGTTATATCTTTATTATGAAATATAAATACGATGACAGGTGAATACTCAAATAAAGTTTTCATATTAAATAGAGAATATTAAATTCGTGTAAGTTCATTGCTGAATTTATTGCACTCGTTGAATAAAATAATATTATGCTCGCCAGAGGCTCGCATAATATAATTTTATTCAACTCGTGCAATAAATTCAGTATTGAACTTACACTCATTCAATATCCTCTATATCACTATATGGTCTAAAGGGAAACTAAAGTTGTTTTAGTCATATTAAACAAGTTTTCCATTACATTGAGGTGGTCATTTGAACAGTTTTGACGGTGTTTTCTATGGTGGCTGGTACGCTTTTGTGGGTCGCGTCAACTGGCGCTAACGACAACACGACAAAGCGTCAAACGGCGTGTTGTCGCGCTGTCGTCCTGTCTCTAGCGCGGCACGCCAAATGACGCGTTGTCATGCGGCGTGTTGACACGATGTCACATTTTATCCTGTCACTTGTATCAATTTCGGCCCGATAACAAGGTGCCGTATATTTTTACTGATCTACGGCACTTGATCACGTGGTATGCATGGTTGCCGGACTACTTTTCAAGGAAAAATATAAAATCTGTCGTTAAATCTTCTGTGTGTAGGGAAACGTTGATAAAACTTTGTTTGTTTATTTTATTTCACTCTATAATTTTTCGAAGCGAAATACAAATTATTAAAAGTGAAATAAATGTAAAACTTAACTCGTTTGCGATATTAAAATAGCGTACTAAATTTGATTGTTTTGCACGTGCTGTTTGGCGCTACATTGTGACGTCACGTAAACAATACTTTAAACGTCTGTACAGCGTTAACGACTGAATAAAAGATATTGGTGTTCGAATTCATTTTCTTAGTTAGACCATTTTCTTTCATTCTAGATAGTTTTCACAACAAAATTAGACAAAAAAATGTTTTTATTTATCACATTTTTCAAACAAAATGGCGCCCTCAATGTGAAAATACACAGGGAGATAATAAGAACGGCGAGTGCATTGTTGTAGAATAATGCACGCTTCGGGCCTTCTTTGTTTATACAGAAACATTTCCGATAGTGTGATTAAAGTTTGTTTGCCTAATAAAATTCTTTAAAAAAAATGGTGACAGGATAAATAGAATAATAGGTTGGTGTCGTGGATGGGAAAAGTTTATCTGGCTCTGCTCCGGAATTTATTGGGTTCGCCTTCGGCTCACCCAATAAATTCCTCCGCCTCGCCAGATAAACTTTCTCCATCCACGGCACCAACCTATTATTCTCTATGTCGCTCGGTTCAAATTGAAGGATTGGCTTATAAGCCAAGCGACAGGGCGACATCGCACCGCACGACAACGCGCCGATTGGCGTGCCGCGCTAGAGACAGGGCGACAAGACGACAGCGCGACAACGCCTTGGCGCTTTGTCGTGTTGTCGCTGGCGACAGGACGACAAAAAAGACGATCGTTCGACAACGCGCCGTTTTGGCGCTTTGTCGTGTTGTCGCTAGCGCCAACTAGACGCACAAAAGCGTACCAAATCAGCCACCATAGTTTTCCGACTAACAAGGAAATTCTCATATTTTATAGAAAGATCAATAGTATTTTAATCATATGTCGGCGAGTATTCGGAAGGGTGGTAACTCGTCATGAACGGAATGCTCAAGCATTTTGTCTTGTTACTAGCACAGCCCTTGAACTTGACGTACATTATTTTTAAATGGCGACCAAAAATACTTTTATGGTTGTATTTATTTTATATTTATTTCCCTTATTTATTAAGCACTGTAAAATCCCAGTTCTTAGCGATCAAAACTTACATTCTATCACTATCGGAAATTTTCCTATATAGACAAAGAAGGCCGGAAGCGTGCATTATTCTACAACAATGCACTCGCCGTTCTTATTACCTCGCCATTTTTTTTAAAAAATCTGATAAATAAAAACAATTTTTTGTCGAATTTTGTTGTGAAAACTATCTAGAATGAAAGAAAATGGTCTAACTAAGAAAATTAATCCGAACACCAATATCTTTAATTCAGTCGTTAACGTTGTACAGGCGTTTAAAGTGTTGTTTACGTGACGTCAAAATGTAGCGCCAAACAGCACGTGCAAAACAATCAAATCAAGTACGCCATTTTAATGTCGCAAACAGTTAAGTTTTACATTTATTTCACTTTTAATAATTTGTATTTAGCTTGAAAAATTATAGAGTGAAATAAAATAAACAAACAAAGTTTTATCAACGTTTTCAAAATTCGTTATTCTCAAAATGTTTCTACACACGGTAAATTGTACGACAGTTTTTTCAACCCACTGGAACAGCCTTTAAAGAACGTTTCTATTGGAAACTCTGAGACGAAAACAAATTAAACCACCAAACATAAAGTCCAACTTTAAAATAATAATTATATTTTTTCTTGACGTGTTAGAATGGAAATAGATATTAATTCTTCGTGCATTATTGTATAATAATGCACGGTTTTCGTTCAAATGCTTTGTAATTAATCACTCAGGCCTATCGGCCTTCGTGATTATATTACTACGCATTTGAACTCTAACCGTGCATTATTCTACAACAATGCACTCAGAATTGATATTTATTTCCTAAGTAAAATAAATGCTAACAAAGTTGAAAGCTTTATATACAGGTCTTTTCCAAAATTATTTCACTGCCCAGTTTTTTGTTGTTGTTGTTTTTTATGAATTTTTTTGGAGGTGGGGGGTCAGCAGAACGTCACTAATTATTAAATATCGAAATAACTTTGGGTAATGCATTAAATGAGTGTCCGCGAGATTTGCAGTATATTCCAAAAAAATGTAATATGACAAAAAGCATAGGAAATCCTTTGCAACATTTTGTCATAAACAAAGTTCGCTCCACCATAATGAAAGGGTACGTCCGACAGAGCACGTTTTTTATTATTATCACGAAAACCTAGGTCTTGTTTTAGCTGGAAAAACGGATTACGTTTGCCCGGCATATGAGACAGTTTGTAACAGTATTGCATTCCATTAACCTTGACTCTGAATCAAACAGACGCTCATAAATTTTATCTTACAGTGCTAGTGAACTATTGCGAGTATTCAGCCTGCTAGTAATTTATTGCCAACTTCTCCACATAAATATATTTGAGAGGAAAGAAAGCATTTATACTGTATAATTCCCAGTGGGTAAAGCTTACCATGTAAGTAATGGATATTCCTTGATTCTAGGTCAGCTCTAAATGTTATCTGTTTATTTTCCTTCTTCTTCAAGCGGTCAAAGAAACATTTGAACTTATCGTTTTACATCAGATTGTCTAAAAAGATCCAAGACTTGAACAACAAAAACATAAAGGTAAGGACAGTGTATATAGAATAAGCGCTCGCGTTCTTGTATTCACCTTGCGGAATACGATTTACAATGTTGCTAACATTTCAAAACGGGCATCGTGCGAAATGCACGCACGTAATGATCCGGAGAAAGCTATAATTGGAAATGATTCAGAGTACTTATATTGAATTTTTACTAAACTTGCGCTTTTCGACGCGTTTTAAGATTTTTTGAGAATAATACAGATCTAAGAGTTTATGGATCTTTTCTGGCAAGAATCTGCGTGGCATCAACAGGAGTTATTTTGATGTCCAATAAAATATGCCCTGATGAGTTTTGCTCACTAGCTATATTATGACATATAAGTTATGATGCTTTTTTCCTGCTTTTTAAAGATGGTATGGATATGATCAAACAATTTGACATAAATCAAGAAACCTAAAATAAATAATTATTAGATAATTTATGTACTTATTATAAATAAGTTAAATCAAACAAAGCATTTGCTATAAAAAAAGATGACAAACGACAAATTGTTGACAATAATAAAAGCATTTTTCCTCGAGATAATTGGTTGGTCCTAAAAAGGACCAGGAAAGGACCAGGATGTAAATCAGAAGGAGTTTAGCCTGACACTATCTCCACTGATTCACCAAAAAGTTCTGCCCTCAGATCTGCTATCTTCTCTGCCTTGATTCGAGCGTAATCGTGGAACATGTTGCGAGTCCCCTCGATAACCGCCAATTTCCGCCTCAGACTAGCCTGAAAGTGTCTGTTCTTGTTTGTCTTGGCGTTCTTGTATCGTTTCTTCATATCACTGAAGCGTTGGTTAAGCACTATGATCTGATCACAGGCTTTTTTAAACCGACGTTCAGCTTCTAGCAGAGAAAATCTTTTGTCGAGAGAATTCGTGTTGGAAGGCATCTTGAGCAATTCAAGTATAATGACGCTTCACGTTGTTGCATTAGTAACGACGTTAACCGTTACGTCAGTGACGTCGCTCATTTATTACGTCATGGATTATATCACAACATAATTATATGAATTGAAAAAAATAACTAAAATGAATGATAGAGGATATTGATAATGAGTTTATATTCAATAACGAGTTGAATAAAATTATACATTTGTATTATGTCTGGCTGGCAAAATATTATTTCATTCAACGAGTTCAATAAATTCAGTAATGAACCTACACAAATATATAGGGGATATTCAAGTTTTTTCTATAAATACAGGATTTATTTTCATCGTGTGAAATATGACTATGTTTATACCACAAGATGAAAATAAATCCAGTATTTATAGAAAAAAAACTTGAATTTTCTGTTTATTATATACATTTTTCTTTTTGATATTACAATTTGAAAGATTTCAACTTAAATTTTGTGCATTGGCTGAATTTAGAAGAAAGTAGTCTGGCAGGACTAGAGTGAAAATACAGGAAATATGTTTCACTGCAGTCAAAATACGGAAAAAGAAAATACGCATTTAATTTCATCAATATTTCATTTATAAGTATATAATACAATATCTTATTTATCACATACTCAAAGATTGTTTAAAGTAAAAAAAAATCATTTTTCACTGAAGCACTACAAACTTTGTAAACACCCCTTTAAAAATGTTTCATGCTTAATATCTAAACTCTCTCTCCCTCTTTGGGTTTTTTAAAAAAGATTTTTTTTAGATTTTTACTATAGACATAAAAGAAAAAATCAGAATGCCCGGTGCAGGGTCAATTTTGACCCCCCCCCCCCCCAAGTGCTTTTATTTAAACAAACATGATAGACACTCATAAGATGTTTCAAACTCTATCTCTTTTGTTTTTTTAAAAGAAGATACTTTAAGTTTTTTTCTTTTGGTTGTCATGGCAACCAGAGTTCTGCATAGAATTAAATGCTTTGAACAATTTTTAAGGTGACCAACAAAGGAACATTTCTGTGAAGTTTGGATGAAATTGGCTTAGCATTTCATGAGGAGATGTCGTTTAAAATTAAAGTTTACAGATGGATGCTGGACGAAAAGGGATCACAAAAGCTCACATTGTGGCTTTGTGGCAGGTGAGCATAAAAACAACTACGACGGCCAAACAGAAAATAACATTCACATCTCTTTTATTGACACATTTACATATGAAAAATACAGGATGAAAATATGTACATGTATGTTCTCTGTCCATGACAATGATTCTACATGGAATGATGTTATAATGATTTAATTGTACATGATTAAATGTTGACAATTATTAAAGCAGCAAATCTCCAGGTTCATGCAACTTTTTTTTCTTCTTCAAAATTGAAATTGTAAATATCTTAATGAACTTGTCAATATTTCAATCTTGAGACTTTCCAGTTTGGACCAAACCATTCATCAAAATAAGATATGAACAAATAAGAAACAGTGAAGACTATGAGCAGACTGGTCGCAAAGTTAAATTCAGTCGCAAACACATAACCTTAAATGTGTCAAATTATACAAAAATAGTCCTTATTATGTAAGCAACTAGACAGAAATATTGAAATAAAGAAACGTTGACCACTCAACTGGAAACATGCAACTTTAAACTGTTGATTACATCATATTGAAACATATCTCGCTTTCTTGACTAAGTCATACATCATTTTATTAACATAAAACTATGTTTTGTTTCTTTAATCAAAATAAAACTCTATTTTAACACTATTTGGTCATATACTGAGGGACACATGTGCCTCAATAGTGTTTCAACATTCTATGTCAGTACTAACAGGTAATTCCGGCTAGTAACTGGCATGTTTTCTAATGAAATCATACGAAATATAAGTATATAATCCATGTTAAGAAAAAACATGTGCTTCAAAGTCATGAATCTATTGAGTTTATTAAATCTACCAATCACCATGCTGAGATATAAACTGACCGATTAATGCAATTCAAAACAACGAATTCACAAATAATTAAAATATCTGTATATTTCAGAAGTACTCTATTTTTCGCTGTTTAATGTAAGTGACACATTTCTATATGTCTCTACATTTAATTTCTTCAATACGATTAAATAATAAAACTAAAAATGTTCACCAACTGAATACCTACTGAACATTAATTCTTATCTTAGTCAACTTCTGTTTCTTTTTACAAAACTTAATAAACTTGAATTTCAACTTACATCACCTTGTGCTTTTTTTGTTGGTTTTTTTTTTCTTTCAGACAAAAATGACAAATATTTCTATCTAAAATACAGTATTGCCCATGATTCTTAACAAAAGAATTGCTGAGGTATGTGTGAGTAATCCAGGAAATACATTTTGTGCTTAGTTTCTATCACATTACATACTTTATTACATAAAATTATTTTCAAATTCTATTTTAAATACATGGAAATTTCTTCAAATCACTCATATCAATGTCTAAATCATAGCTATAATTTTGCTGATCTTACATCAGAATTAAAACCACAAAAAGGAACATAACACTCGGAAAGGAAGTATCTATACAAAATGTCTTATAATCATATCATATATTCAATTCCAATGTTAACCTTTTAACATTATTTAAGACGAAAAATTATAAGGCTTAAACATCACTATTCACATTCAAATTCTGTAATCAATTTTTTTACCTAACACACTATTTATCAAACTTTGTTGATGCAAAAATAACAAAAAAAACTTGAAAATATTGTCATAAATTATTATTTCCTTGTTATATCACTTCTTATATAAAATGTTTTGTTACAAAACATTAGTTCTTTCACCTCAATTCAGGATGCCGGTATAGGCAGCTGCTACATTGGCTCTTTATTCCAACATTGTCCAAATATAAAACGTAATTAGATCAAATCCGCAACTGTAAATAAAATGAAAATATGTTATTACTGATAGTTTAATCAGAATTATGATTAAAATATTAATGAAAAAAGTTATTATAGTTATTGTATAGCAGAGTAAGAAGTTCATAAGCTAAAAGACATAAATTTTTAGTATAACCTAGAGATTGATAAATACATTGAGGATATTTGAGTTTTTTTCTATAAATACAGGATTTAATTTTCATTGAGTGGTATGAAAATAAATATTTTATGAGTGGCACTAGCCACAAGTGAAATATGATTTTTTTTATACCACAAGATGAAAATAAATCCTGTTTTTATAGAAAAAACTTGAATTATCTGTTTAAAAAAATACGAAAGAAGCCAGACAAAACACCAGTCAAAATATGGAAATGTTTCACTGCAGTGAAAAATAAATTTTTACTGTGAAAATACAGACAAGAGCCACCGCCGGGCGGGGGCAACACTCGACTTTTTACTTTCTCTAAAAGCAAACAAAGAAATGTTTGAACAAAATATAAACTTTTCCTTTTTTATAAAATTAATCATTCTGTTTTGTCACATTAGTTTTGTCTATATATTTTATATATATAAATTTACTAATTTATATATATATAAATAGAGACACACAATTCGAAGTCACATGGTGGTGTCACATGGTGAAGTCACGTGGTGGAGTCACATGGTGGAGTCACGTGGTGGAGTCACGTGGTGAAGTCACGTGGTGGAGTCACGTGGTGGTGTCACGTGGAAGTCACGTGGTGTAGTCATGTGGTGTAGTCATGTGGTGTAGTCACATGGTGGAGTCACGTGGTGTAGTCACGTGGTGGAGTCACGTGGTGGAGTCACGTGGTGTAGTCATGTGGTGGAGTCACGTTAAAGTCACATGGTAGTCATGTGGTGGTGTCACGTGGTGGTGTCACGTGGTGGAGTCATGTTGTGGAGTCACGTGGTGGAGTCACGTGGTGGAGTCACATGGAAGTCATGTGGTGGTGTCACATGGTGGAGTCACGTGGTGGAGTCATGTTGTGAAGTCACGTGGTGGAGTCACGTGGTGAAGTCACGATAAACAACAAGGTCTTGTCTTTAAGTATGTTCTGTTATAATATGAAGTTGATCCCCTCAATAATAGCAAAGTAACAGCCAGTTACAGCCAAAACAAAGTTAAGGTCATTCATGAGTGAAGGTCAAGGTCTGTTGGGTTATTTTTAAGGGTTATCCTTGAAGATTAATATGTTCAAGTTTGAAGACAATCCATTCAAAAATAACAAAGTTACAGCCAATAATAGCCAAAAACATGAAAATTTCAATAATTTGACCTTCAAAGTCAAGGTCATTTATGAGTGAAGGTCAAGGTCTCTCGGGTTATTTTTAAGGGTTATCCTTGAAGATTATTACGTTCAAGTTTGAAGACAATCCATTAAAAAATGACAAAGTTACAGCCAATTATAACCAAAAACATGAAAATTTCAATAATTTAACCTTCAAAGTCAAGGTTATTTACGAGTGAAGGTCAAGGTCTGTCGGGTTATTTTTAAGGGTTATCCTTGAAGATTATTATGTTCAAGTTTGAAGACAATCCATTCAAAAATAACAAAGTTACAGCCAATAATAGCCAAAAACATGAAAATTTCAATAATTTGACCTTCAAAGTCAAGGTCATTTATGAGTGAAGGTCAAGGTCTGTCAGGTTATTTTTAATGGATATCCTTGAAGATTATTATGTTCAAGTTTGAAGACAATCCATTCAACAAGAGCTGTCGGTAGGACAGCAACGCTCGACTATTCTTAGTGCTTGATAGTAAGAAAAAATGCTTGATACAATTACCTCCTCCTGTTTACAGGTTGGGGTAATGATGGTGAACAAGTGTGCAAAGTTTCAAAGCCATATGTCAATGGACTTTGAAAATATTTGAACTATTACAAAAACTTTAACGTAAATTCTAAGTCGAAAAAGGAGCATAATTCTGTCAAAATGCTTGATACAGTTACCTCCTCCTGTTTACAGGTTGGGGTCATGATGGTGAACAAGTGTTCAAAGTTTCAAAGCCATATGTCAATGGACTTTGAAAATATTTGAACTATTACAAAAACTTTAACGTAAATTCTAAGTCGAAAAAGGGGCATAATTCTGTCAAAATGCTTGATACAGTTACCTCCTCCTGTCTACAGGTTGGGGTCATGATGGTGAACAAGTGTGCCAAGTTTCAAAGCCATATGTCAATGGACTTTGAAAATATTTGAACTATTACAAAAACTTTAACGTAAATTCTAAGTCGAAAAAGGGGCATAATTCTGTCAAAATGCTTGATACAGTTACCTCCTCCTGTCTACAGGTTGGGGTCATGATGGTGAACAAGTGTGCAAAGTTTCAAAGCCATATGTCAATGGACTTTGAAAATATTTGAACTATTACAAAAAACTTTAACGTAAATTCTAAGTTGAAAAAGGGGCATAATTCTGTCAAAATGCTTGATACAGTTACCTCCTCCTGTCTACAGGTTGGGGTCATGATGGTGAACAAGTGTTCAAAGTTTCAAAGCCATATGTCAATGGACTTTGAAAATATTTGAACTATTACAAAAACTTTAACATAAGTGGTTACGCCGACGCGGACACCAACGCCGACGCCGACGCTCGGGTGACTACAATAGCTCTACTTATTCTTATCGAATAGTCGAGCTAAAAATAACAAAGTTACAGCCAATAACAGCATGAACAAGCAAAAATTGGACTTATAACCTTGAAGGTCAAGGTCATTTATGGATGAAGGTCAAGGTTAGTGTGGTCTACTGAAAGGTCTTGTCCCAAGGGTTGTTGTGGCCAAGTATGAAGACAATACACCAAGAAATAAAAAAGTTATGATCCAGGTACAAGTTTGCAGACGGGAACGTCAACGCCGACCCGACTATAACAATACCTCTACTTTTTTTTTCCAAAAAAAAAAAAAGTCGAGCTAAAAATGAAAATATGTATTTTATTTCACCATTATTTCTCAATACTTCATTTATTTATAAGTATATAATAAACATGACTATATCTATGTATTTATAACTCTAGAACCTACCTACTTGTTTACAAATTCATACATGATGAGATAAACATGAATAAGCTAAATGAGATAATGAACATGACAGAACATAAGGAGATAATAAATATGGTTAAACTAAATGAGATAAAAACAAATATTGTCAGATATGATGAGATAATAAACATAGCCAATCATGAGATAAGACACATAGATTAAACTAAATGATATCATAAATATAGTTGAACATGATAAAATAATAAACATGATTATTCTAAACAGATAGCTCATTTAACACAGTGAGATGATAATCAGGCCATGACAAAATGAGGTAAGAAATGACAGGAAATTATGAGATAATAACAGACTTAGACATTACAAGATGATAAAGATTTTGAGAAAAGGTGATCCCTCAGAACCATTAATCACACCAAAATTAGATGAAAACTGTAGACTTGGTTTCATCGAGTCTGTTCATGGACGATAGTGGTAATTTAAAAGGTACCATCCATGCCCTTAGCTGTACTCAATTCTCAACACTTAATGTGTTGGAATCAATGATCCCAAAGGACAAGAAAAATACAACAACATTAACTACGATAATAAACTGTGAGATAATCAAAAGAACAGGACATACTGGTAAAATAAACAAATTGAAAATACTTAGATTATGATAGTTATTATAATTGATTATAATAACAAATTATTGTTGTAACAAAATGAGAAAATTAACAACATGGGAAATAATGAGAAAACAAACAAGCGGAACACAATGAGATAAAAAAGATAGGTGGTCTTACTAACATATTTAATATTTTGTTAAACAGAATGAGATAAATAACGAAGAAAGACATAATGGGATAATGAATATCGTTGGGCATAATGAGATAAATAAACAAGAGCTGTCGGTAGGACAGCAACGCTCGACTATTCTAGTGCTTGATAGTAAAAAATAATGCTTGATAGAGTTACCTACTCCTGTTTACAGGTTGGTGACATGATGGTGAACAAGTATGCAAAGTTTCAAAGCCATATGTCAATGGACTTTGAAAATATTTGAGGTATTACAAAAAACTTTAACGTAAATTCTAAGTCGAAAAAGGGGCATAATTCTGTCAAAATGCTTGATACAGTTACCTCCTCCTGTCTACAGGTTGGTGTCATGATGGTGAACAAGTGTGCAAAGTTTCAAAGCCATATGTCAATGGACTTTGAAAATATTTGAACTATTACAAAAACTTTAACATAAATTCTAAGTTGAAAAAGGGGCATAATTCTGTCAAAATGCTTGATAGAGTTACCTCCTCCTGTCTACAGGTTGGAGTCATGATGGTAAACAAGTGTGCAAAGTTTTAAAGCCATATGTCAATGGACTTTGAAAATATTTGAACTATTACAAAAACTTTAACGTAAATTCTAAGTCGAAAAAGGGGCATAATTCTGTCAAAATGCTTGATACAGTTACTTCCTCCTGTCTACAGGTGGGGGTCATGATGGTGAACAAGTGTGCAAAGTTTCAAAGCCATATGTCAATGGACTTTGAAAATATTTGAGGTATTACAAAAACTTTAACATAAATTCTAAGTTGAAAAAGGGGCATAATTCTGTCAAAATGCTTGATAGAGTTACCTCCTCCTGTCTACAGGTTGGGGTCATTATGGTGAACAAGTGTGCAAAGTTTCAAAGCCATATGTCAATGGACTTTGAAAATATTTGAACTATTACAAAAACTTTAACATAAATTCTAAGTTGAAAAAGGGGCATAATTCTGTCAAAATGCTTGATAGAGTTACCTCCTCCTGTCTACAGGTTGGGGTCATGATGGTGAACAAGTGTGCAAAGTTTCAAAGCCATATGTCAATGGACTTTGAAAATATTTGAACTATTACAAAAACTTTAACATAAGTGGTTACGCCGACGCCGACGCTTGGGTGACTACAATAGCTCTACTTATTCTTATCGAATAGTCGAGCTAAAAAGAAGTTCGACATTGACAATAAACAAGAAAGTTGGACAAAGAAATTAATAAATAGTGCTGAACAAACAAAACAAGAGAATAGATAATAAACAAAATTTGACAAAATGAGATAATAAACATGACGGTTAGCATTAATGAAACACTAAACAGGGTTGCCTAGTTTAGGAAAACACAAAGGTGAACAAAATATCTAAAAATGATCAGAAATAGAAAATACACTGTGATAGAAAAATAAACTAATGATTAAGATAATGTGACAAAATTAGGAAGTTGGGCATAAAAATAAGATAATAAATAAATTAAATAAGGTATAGATATATGTATTTTTACCATTCATAGGCATTTCATCTATCTGTGTAGAATAGTACTGTTCAATATCTCTCAGAATTCTGATATCGTCATTCTTCACAAAATTGATGGCCACACCTTTACGACCAAATCTTCCAGATCGACCAATTCTGCAGTCAAATGTTTATGTGTTTAATATTAATAACAAATTCTAGTTTTTTTCTAGCCAGAATATTTTCATAAAAATACACTAGGTATAGACTACTCTTCAATATGATCTTAAATTTGAATCAACCATTCTTAAATATTTAATTTTCACTTTTCAGTTGCTACAAAAAGTTCAAGACTTACATCTGTGAATTGTAGATTTTTCTTTGTTTAAAAAGCCTTTTTTTAAAGGTCATAATATTGATAAAACCCAGTTAGTAATAGAATTTGACCTCCTAAAATTCTGTCCAATAAGTGCATGAAGTTTCAACCCATTCCCTTCAGTAGTTTTGGAGATACCAACTTGTGTGCAAAAAAAGTTAACCAAGGTGTGATGCGGACACTCATGCATAGGTGAGTAAAATAGATCTCCCTATTCAGCAAACAATCAAGCTAACAAGAACCTCTGCCTAGCAATTACTATGATATATATGAAATATGATCCCGGATCCCTGCTTATCTAAAGGCAATCAAAGGATCCCCCACCCCGACCACACCAGAAATTGTGACAATTAAAATTGAGACAATACCTGTGAATATACAATTCTCTGTTGTTTGGTAAATCATAGTTGATGACAAGGGACACTTGTTGTACATCTAGACCTCTAGCCCACACATCTGTTGTTATCAACACTCGACTGTCATAATAAAATAATCAGTATATATTATGTGTTAAAAAGAATTTTAAAGATATGCTTAAATTAATTAGTCAGTTAAACTAAAAATGATCAAATCTTAATATATGAAAATACTAATAATTGCTATACATTCTCTTTTTTTTTAAATGTTAAATAAACATCCGATGAATACACATTTAAACTCTTCACACTTCTTGACACTATAGGTTTTAAATCTGCCAGATTTTTTAAGAAAGGACAATATTAACTTGACCAGAAACAGGAAATGGAGTATCCCAAATATAGTTTGTACATTCTCTTATTCAACTTAGACATTTTCAGTAAGAATTTCCTAGATTTCAATAAAAAAAATGCTAAACATAAACATAATGTATCTTTAAATTATCATACTCAAATTCAAAATGAGATCATAAGAATCGCACAGATACATATGAATATCATGTTATATGAAGGCATTTTTCAATAAGCTACAAAGTAAAATAGCAAATTTTTTGCTGAGCTTTTCCAACATGTTACACTTACATTTTCAAAGTCTACTATAAAATCAAAAGTAATAGATCTTGTATGTTTTCCAAGATATCTCAGATCAAAATCTTTGAACCAAATAATAAAACTCTAGTAAGGCAGAAATGCAATAAAAAAAAATTCTCCAAATTCTTGATGATGGTATTTCTTTATGTAAAACTTAATAATGAACTCATCACTTTTAACAAGTGAAACTACACTATTAATCTTTATATGTTAATGTATAGTTTCAGTGATATGCAAATGGCATAACTTTGTAACATTGAGTGAAAGCTGTCAAAACAGTGACCATGCCAATGATATGAAACAGTGAATGATTGCACCAATGTCATGAAACAGTAAATGCTCCAATGGCATACAAAAGTGAATATATGCCAATAGCATGAAACAGTGAATGTGCCAATGGCATAAAAACACAGAATGGCCAATAAACATTTAAAACACAACCTTAATGACTTGATCAAAAGAAAGACTAATATATATATATAAGAGAATAAGCCCGTGCTTTGAATTTTTTGTAAAGTATAACCTATATTTTACCTAGCCCCTGATCTGAATTCTTTCATAATTGTCTCCCTTTCTTTTTGGACCATTTCTCCATGCATAGATGAAACTGTGAAATTAGCATCCCTCATTTTCTCTGTCAGCCAATCCACCTAAAATTTGTACCATATAATTAATAAACATAGAAACAAGTAATAGATTTTCATTACAAAACCTACTTTCAATAAGCTTATAAGAAAACAACATATGCTTACAACCTTTAGCTTTAATCATTATGTATAATTGCCTTTAAGGTAGTCATATGGAAATGCTTTCTCGCCAAAAAATTTCTAAATCCGCCAATATCGTAATAAATCAAATAAATCAGTCTGAAACAAGATTTTTTACAATCTTTGGTATTCAATAATTTTTAACTGTTTATAACTGGAACAAAGTGCACAGCTGTAAAGAATGAGTGATTGTATATAATCTAATGCCCAAGATTTTGAAAAAACAATGTTCCAGAAATAACTGATTTGCTACGATATTGGCCAAAGTTATAATTTCTTTGGCGGGAAAGCTTTACAGTAAGACTACCTTAAACCTGCTGATGGGCAACTGACTAGCAATGCAACCAATGCAAACTTAGATCAGGGGGCAAAACCATTCCACCTGATCATGGTCTGCACAGTTGCTAATTAAGTCAGTACTCATTTTGAAATTTTCCACAAAAATGAATGGATTTGTCCAGATTGAAAGACAGACAAGTCCATTTAAAAATATTTAGTGTAGTAAAGATTCACTACAAATTATATATGGCCCAATCAAGCACAATACTTCAGTATAACACACATAATTCCTTAGATGTATATTATACAACATTGTTTTGATAGATTTTGAGGTAATGTTATGCCCCACCTTTCTCTTTGTGTTACAGAAGATGACAGCCTGTGTTATTGTAAGAGTATCATAGAGATCACATAATGTGTCAAATTTCCACTCCTCTCTCTCCACGGCAACAAAGAACTGCTTGATACCTTCCAGTGTCAATTCATCACTGAAATATATGAATGTTTAATGCAAACGTAAATATTGGTAATGCAAACATTTTATTTACGTCTATAATAAGTCATTTACTTCTATAATAAGTCACTATTTTGAGTTTCAAAAATATTTATTAGCTCCCTATATTAAATAGAATATTTACTATACGCATATTTCGTGCAATTCAATACTTGTGATATAAGTACATGAATATTTATTTGCCACATAGCATTGTATTTTGACGTTTTCCGCACTTTTATAACTTTACATTATTGTTATACTTATGATTATCATATTATACATTACTGATTGATATGCATACAACATTGTAAGCACTAACAGAAATAAACATACATGTATAAAAAGTGAACGTTATTTTTTTTCTGCATTTCCAAAAAACCTATTTTGTATATATTAGAAATATTATAAGGAAATCAATCTTCTTTTTCGCAATATATATTCTGAACCAACTTAATGAATGCTGATAATTTAAATACAATTCTAAATTAGTTAAAATTGAACTCTAGTTTATCATCTGAAAATCATTTTTGTCTTTTTTTAGAAATTGTGACCTTGACCCAAGGGGATCAAGAAGCAATCCCAAGCAAGGTCTCCAAATAAACTTGTTGTATATCAAATTTGTTTACCAACTGGAAAACATAAAATGTCTGACCAACAGACAGACAAGCTCACTCTTATCTACATGCACCCCCTACCCACCTATAACTTTGTTTGTGAGGGTATTAATATAGAATGACATTTCTTTATATTGCACACACACAAAAAAATCTTCAATTAAATTTCATTGCTTATCTATCATAAAAGCCCTGTGACATCTTTTCATATTACAAATGCATTTTTGTGCAAAGTGTTAAATACTGATAAATGTCAGTGAAAAATTCTCTGATTTTATCCTGTTTCAATTATAAATACATGCAATGTTTGTCAATACTTTATGGGACAAACTTTTGTTTTAACAAGCAGTTTTTTGGCCCACAAGTATTCCCTTAGAAGATTTTATTTCTAGAACTTGTAGGTGTTATCAACAATGGCGAGACACATAAAACTTCCACTCTGATTATCTAACTATAGTTTTAGGGAAACCAGAAACTTGTGTGGGAAGGGGGATTTATGTCTAGAGGGTAAGTTATGGACATACCGTTTAACAAGGATTCTTATAGGGTCAGTCATAAACTTGCTTGTCATTTCCAGAATTTCATGTGGTAAAGTAGCAGAGATCAGAATAACTTGTGTTGCCGGGGGCAGGTATCTGTATACATCATAAATCTGTTCCTTAAATCCTGAAATATAAAATGTGTCAGTTATATATCAATTTTTTTTTTAAATCACAAAAAAGTCACATAAAAAACACACACACACACAAAAATATAATATTTTCTAATTCCCTGCATAGACTTTACAGTAGTTTGACTGTATTTCTTAAAAATATATCAACAGAATTCAACAAAATTACTTCATAGTGATATTTTTCATCAATACATGTGTGTTACTAGACAAGACAAAAATCTAAATCAGGCACCATACTATGACTTATAATTTCATAAAAAAGACTGTTTTACCAACCAAATATCCTACAGAACATCCCGACAAACAAAGCAAACTAATACCAGAATTAACACAGATGTTTCTTGTTAACAATTTCCATACATTCCCAATTAATATGATGTATTTTGTGTGAATTATTAGGTAGTACAAACACTGCTGAAGTTATGTGGTGACTTTGTAGATTTACTGGCAAATAAAGACTTTCAGTTGACATTCTGAGTAATATTTTGAGCATCACTGGGTATCTAGTTAGAACATTTGATCTTTTTGTAACTACTATTTAAGAAGATAAATTCCTACAGAAAACCAATTCAACATCACAGGCATGATGTTATTATTAACAAATGATGGCCAGTCCCTAAGAGTAACTTGGCTGAGACAGCATGGCTCCTGAAAACAGTTCTAGGAAAACAATTTTGGCCTAACAATAGGCAGCAACCAAAGTTTTTTTGGGGAGAAAAAATGGTGCCTGGGTTTAAACTATAAATGTTTCAATGGTACAGTTATATTACCTTTGTTTAACATTTCATCAGCTTCATCTAGAATCAGCATCTTGATAGACCTGGTTCTCAAGTTCCTCCTCTTGATCATGTCTAAAAGTAAAGAATATATCTTAATTTATATATTGTTTAACATTTATCATGCTAAATACCTTAAAAAATTGTTGATCGTTCAATATGGACAAAACCCATTCATCACTTCCAGAGAAAATTTCAAAATGTATATTGTCTGAACAGTGCAGACCATGATCAGACGGATGTGCTGACACTAGTTATTAGGTAGCATATGTTACCAAAGACTAAGGGTTAATTTTTTAAAAAGTTACAAAAAAAATCTAAAAAAAATAGATTACAAAAATCTTAAGTGAGGTTAATAATGTACAGATTAAATTCGATACAATAAAAAAAACATTTTCTTTCATTCCACAGTCTCTCCTGATTTCAATGTACATTTATTTAATTATTGCATATTTCTTTAAATTTCTTCAAATATAACTGACTCAAAATTATAACATGTGTTTCAATATAAAAGAAAATGCTGAATGCAACTCGATAAATATTTTCTGTTAAAATGAGTTTGAATGTTCCTAAAATATTCATAATCATTTCCTGTAATGTAATTAGTATGTATCAATCTTCATCCAATTATGTAATACGGTTTAATTAAGTATGCCTGTTCATTCAAAGATGAATTTGAATAGTACATTTCTTTGATAGTCTTGTCAAAAACAAAAAAGGCTTTCCTGGATAACTAACTAGTTATTACGAACTTCTCCACAAGTCACCGTAGTGACTACTAATTCTAAACCAACAGTGTGAGACTAATCTGAGAAGTTAAAATGTGTGCTAGATATATAAATATCAGTATCTGACAATAACATACTCATGACTTGATCACATTGGAACTATTCACATGGGTAAATTAAGTTGCTGCCAGCAGCCTTAGGGATTAAAGAAATAATGAACTTGTACACAAAACTAAAACATAGTTTTACATCATTTAAAATATTTATATAAGTAAGATAGCTCTACTATTTCCTGAACATTAAATCTAAACCTTAGACAGGAGAAGAGTTAGAATTTTATCTGTAAACTTTCAATAGATATTTTACCAAATACTCGGCCTGGTGTTCCAGAAACAACATGTTGTCCATAATCTAGTTTTCTGATATCTTCACCAATGTTTGTACCCCCTATACACGAATGACACTGAACGTTCATGTAGTCACCAAGTGCAAGTATGACCTAAAACATAAAGCAAAACTATATGTTAAGCTTTTTTAAGAGATTTTTGTTGATATGACAACACAAAGGTTATGTTGATGGTGAAAGACTTGAAAAGCCTCTCTTGGGAGCTTGAATATGGGAAGAACCACTAATCTTCCATAACCTTGTAGGATATCTTGAGCAGCTTTCTAACTTAATGAATCTAATGTCAATGTGGGATTTAAACCCACATCAGATAAGAGTTTCAAGGTTATTAACTATAACCACACAGGTGTCAGTAGCACATTTTGTATTTTATGCTATTTTAATAGCAAATTTGAATTGCTGTATGTTACATATATGAACAGTTTACAGAAAAAGATTTTAAGTAAAAAATTGGCGTGTTGCAATAACTGTGAAATAGGCTTACATTCAAGAATTAAAAAAGTAAAATTCGAATTAATTGAATAAAATCACAGTAACATTAAAAGAACCTCAAACATGGTGATAGAAAATAAAACAGAACAGTTATCAAAAACACTCACTTTCTGTATTTGAGTTGCCAATTCACGAGTTGGTGACAGAATCAAAGCTTGTGTTTCTCGAACCTGTGTGTCAAGACATTGTAGTGTAGAGATTGAGAATGTTGCAGTCTTTCCTGTACCAGACTGTGCCCTATATATCACAATAAAAGAGATTCTCATTAATATTCTGCTATGATAAAATGTTTTTTTATCATTAATAATAGCATTAGATAAATGAAAATGCGTAAAGACTTATGAAGGAGAAAATATTAAAATCTGTAACATCATCGCATAAAAAATAGGAATATAAGTAAGCAACAGGTATGTATATTAAACTCAATTCAAATATTACAACATTAGTGTAGTAATAACAAGGACTGCCAGTCAGACGATGGACTAGACTATTCTCTATGCTTGATTAGTACAAGAAAATAAATAATGCAGAAACAAATCATAAAAGGGATATAATTCAGAATTATCCATGCTAGTATCACAAAGTTTCAACAGTTACCTTAAATTATGACTTTGAAGATAGGCGTGGAGATTCAAATGGTTGAATGTGGTTGCAGATAAAATCTGCATGTAAAACATTTACAACTAGAAATGTGTCCATAGGACACGGATGCCCCCACACGCCACTGTTCTGTCAATCTTATGACTCTAGGTCAAATATTTTTTGGACTACATGTGCCACAAGTTGAAAACTAAAAATCAACAAAGGGCCATAATTCTGTTAAATTTGGTCGCAGCAAAAATTCCTTCCTTTACTACCATCTACACATTAAGGTTGTTCATCCCTGGAAGTTTAAGCAAAATCTGCCATCCGGTTTAAGAGGAGTTGCGTTCACAAAATTTCTACATAGTATATAGTGAAAAAATCAACAAAGGGCCATAATTCTGTTAAATTTGGTTGCAGCAAAAATTCCTTCCTTTACTACCATCTACACATTAAGGTTGTTCATCCTGGAAGTTTAAGCAAAATCTGCCAATCCGGTTTAAGAGGAGTTGCGTTCACAAAATTCTACATAGTATATAATGAAAAAATCAAAACAAAGGGCCATAATTCTGTTAAATTTGGTCGCAGGCAAAAATTCCTTCCTTTACTACCATCTACAAATTAAGGTTGTTCATCCCTGGAAGTTTAAGCAAAATCTGCCATCCGGTTTAAGAGAAGTTGCATTCACAAAATTTCTACATAGTATATTGTAAAAAAATCAACAAAGGGCCATAAATCTGTTAAATTTGGTTGCAGCAAAAATTCCTTCCTTTACTATCATCTATACATTAAGGTTGTTCATCCCTGGAAGTTTAAGCAAAATCTGCCATCCGGTTTAAGAGGAGTTGCGTTCACAAGATTTCGGGACGTACGGACGGACACTCGGACGGACAAGTGCAACATTATGTGCTTCCACTCTGTGGGGGCATAAAAACTTTTTTCTTAACTTCACAATAGGGTATAGGTCAGTAAAATCCATGTTAGACCTATTTGCTTAGTATATAATCTTCAATTATGATCTTTACTGGAGAAGTGAACACCTTTAGTGATTATTATTAATATCATAAGATACATGTATATAACTGCATGGAAACTGACCGAAAATTTGTTACACTGACACTAAGGTGGGTAGGACAGCTTCACTATCCTTCACATAGTCAAGATGTCACTAATGCTGACCAATTAATTTTAGAGAAAAAATACATTAAGATTTGTACAATTTTAGCACATAATTATATTTACCACAAACTTAAAAGCTATAAATGCATGTAATACTTACTGTGCAATGACATCTCTGCCCTTAACAATTGGTTTAATTGATCTCTGCTGAATGGCTGATGGCTTCTCAAAACCTAAAACAATACATGAATATACTTCAAATGTACTGGTTGGGGACCATCAACCTGACAATTTTTGAACATTTTTTCATACAAATTTCATAATATCAAACCTAGAGACCTGAAAATTTGACACAGTACAGCTAAGTTCTTCTCCTAACTAACAAGCTAGTTTGTTTATTTCTGATTATGTTAATACTTACATCTGAGACTCGTAAACGAGGGTATCAAAATTACCTAAATTTTCTACACTACAGTACCACGTGTCCGGACAGATATGGACATGATGTGATTTAATTCTGTTAAATGCTTGGGTATTTTAATTTTTCATTTTTAACATGATAAACAATATTTCAGCAGCAAATGCTAAAGTTTTGGATATTCTATTGTTTACTCTGCAAATGATTATAGCTGGTATATCAGGTCAGGTATTGCACTCTTAATGCCCAAATTTTCAACGTCAGCATTCTTGAAATAGACATTGAAGTATCACCGTTGAAATAAATTTAATTACTTATTTATAGAAGAACCATGCATTTATTGTTCTTAAAAAAGTGTCTAATAGATCGACAACCAATGAACATAGAAAAAAAAACCTAAATTATGCATTTTTAGGACCGTCAGAGTTTGGTGGTCCCCAACCAGTATGGTGCAACGTAATTTTAAAATAAAAAGAGGCCGGAGACATCTATACAGAGTACATACTAAATAACTAAGATATCAGTGAAAAAAAGGAAGGCTCTATCAGGAGAAATGGAAAAATTCTATGTTTAGTGGCCATTAAATGCTTCTCAATTGATTTAATTATCAGTAGACTGTCATACTCACTGATTGAAAATTTTGTATCAACACTTGTATATATAATATTTGTATTAGACAGCCCAATATTGACGATGATATACAATGAATTTTGAATATTAAATCAAAATCTGGCAATGTATAGGCACCTTCCTATCACAGTCAGGTGTAAGGCACTTTCTTCTTGCCAAAACAAGGCTGTAGAGTATTTCCTGACACGGTCAACATTTTGCTCTTGCATTTTTTTTTTAAAGGAAGACATATTAATTTATAATATTATAAAAATCATACATGTGCTCTATGTGCACACATAGCAAGTCATATATATTTCAGTAATCTTCATATTATTGATAATCTATTGTTATTTATGATAAAAATGAAATATCAAACTTGAAAAATTACCTTAAAATTGCAAGGTTGACATGTTGCAACCACAGGTGCTAGTCACATAATCAAATATTTTACTTTTTTTTTTTTTGATGCGTTTATTTAAGGTCGCCGCCGGAAAGCCCATATGGGCGACCGTACACTCAAGTCAGGTCATCCTAGAGCGCCCCGCCGAGATTTTTCGTCGATTTTTTCCAGCTTTATTGATGGAGGAAGACCCCAGGTGCCCCTCCGGGCATTATTTCAGGCACGAGCGGGCACCTGGGTAGAACCACCGACCTTCCGTAAGCCAGCTGGATGGCTTCCTCACATGAAAGATTTCGACCCAAGTGAGGATCGAACCTACAGTGGTGAGGGACCTGTGATCTCAAGTCAACAACTTTAACCACTTGGCTACGGAGGCCCCGTCAAATATTTTACATAACCGGTCTATATATGTATATTAAGATATAAGGCCCCCAACAGAACAAAAACATCATGCAGAACAAACAATAACACTGCTGCAAGAAGCAACCAGATGACGGTTATCTCTTTGTGGTCGCCATTTGAAAGCATTATGTATTGTTTCGAATGATGACCAAAAAGAAATAACCGTGATCTGGTCGTTTCTTGCAGCAGTGTTCTTGTTTGTTCAGTATGATGTTTTTGTTCTGTTGGAGACCTTATATCTTACAATAGTATAAAGCCCATATAAAACTTTAAAAAGACTTTTAAAAGTTTGTTTCAAGCACCTGTGGTTGCAACTTTTGTGCCAACATAACTTACAAAGAATCTGGGTCAGCTCAGCCCTAAAACGTACTCGGCCCCCGAGGCAGCTCGGCCCTATTCCAACTCGGCCCACTTTTCAATTATTGATATATAGGTTTGTGTTATCACTATTTATTGTAATTATTTACAATACACGGATTGACAGTTTCCGAACTAGCAGCAGACAGGCTTTTCTTATCAGTAGAATTGCGAGTAAAGATAACCCATTGCGTATCTCACTGTATTCTGACTCATGGTAGGTTTAACCGTAAATTTAAATACCTTCAGTGTCAAACAATGTGTTGAAATATACAAAATCAGACATTTAATCACCCAAACTAGCGATTTAAACACGGCTAAATTTGCATTCTTTTGCAAGCGAAGGGAAACTAAAGGAAACAACTCTTGTTTTTTTCACTCGATTTATTATTCATTTACCTTAACAACATGCAAAGCAAAGTTAGATTGTAATACGTTATATATATTTTTGTAAAGTGGGCCGAGTTTACCCGTGCCGAGTTGACCCGTGCCGAGTTGGTATAGGACCGAGTTGACTCTTTTCCACTTACAAATCCAACGAGTAAACAACATTATAGTTCACTTAGCTACCTTGTGATACCTTGTGATGTTTGGGAAACTTTATTAGTCCCCTAACGGACTATCATTCCCCTCGAGTTCCGTTTTCAGTGTCGTCCGCTCCGGTATTGGTCTATCTAATACGGGGAAGTCAAAGACCGGGCCCGCGAAGCGGGTCCGGGCTTTGGCTTGCCCGGCTATAGACTACACGTGAATATTTAAAAGAAAATCAAATAAAAAACAATTAATTCTATACCTATCAATGAAATTTTCAGTGTCAGTTCTAGTCGGGCGCCACCATTTACAATGTAACTCAATGATAACAGGCGGGGTATTCCGATAACGGAACAAATCTCAACTTTTCGGATAAATAATAATCGTAGAGTGTTCCGAGTAAAAACGGAAGCGGTGCATGTAATACAGAATGACACCTTTAAAACGGAAAGAATGAAAGGAATTTTTTAACGACTTCCCCGTTCATAGGCTTTGCCTAATTTCATATTATATATTGTCCATTTTAAATCTCTTCCATTGCCAGTGTTTATCTAACTTAGATTTGAACTCATTTACATACTTTGATAAAACTATTTCACTGGGAGCTGATTGCCATTCATAAAAAAATATTCCAAGATGTAATGGAAATGGACTTAGAATAAATAACTGACTTTGGATAAATTTTTTCGACTAGCAAACAAAAATTGTGTGAATATTCGGTGAGCGTTCGATGAGCCGTATCCCTGTCATGCCTAAGAACTTTTAAAAATTGAAGCTACAAACCGTAAGCATAAATTCCTCTTAACAGCTCTTCTCTTAGCCCCATACTGTCAAAGGTCGGTGTGACATCCACATCTTCACTAGTTTCAAACTCTAGTGTTTTCAGATCATCGCTTAAGACACGCCGAGAAGACATTTTTTCTTAATTTTTCACTTCTTTTCTTCAAATTATCCAAATAAATGGACGCTTGCAACTTCTGCGAATTTTAATAAGCGCTGATTTAACAAGGATCAGACGCGCCTGGACGTTTTCAAGTTTACTCTTCGGATGTTACTCGTAGTATACGGCCTTTTCTGATCTATCTGCTACTTGTACAGTTTAACTGTCATAAAAAAATAAACGACCCAATTGAACGAACAGCTGCATTTTTATAGATACATTACATATATTTGTGACGCTGTCTGTCTATAGTCTGTCTGGGTGTTTTTTGTTTTGTTTTTCTTTTCTAAAAAAAACTATGCATATCAATTGGACAAAACATATCATGTGATTATTTTATGAAAGACTCGATCAAGCAATAATACCGGCAAAATTCAACAAGTAAATGAAGAAGAAGAAGAAGACCTGGGCGTGATCTTTGATTACAAAATGACATTTAGTAAACATATAAGTAGTAAAGTAAATAGGACAAACAGAAATTTGGGATTAATAGTCAAAAACTTTACTTATATGAACAAGGAAATGTTTCTACAACTTTACAAATCTCTTGTAAGGACTCATCTTGAGTACAGCTCCGCCATTTGGTAACATAAATTTAAAACAAGATGCAATATCTATTGAAAATGTCCAAAGAAAGCCAGTCTGTTACAGTTATAGGCATTCCAACTTTAGAATACAGAAGAAATAGAGCAGACATGATTGAAACTTATAAAATAATTAACAACATTGATAAAATAGATAAGGAAATATTAAAAATACGAGAAGGAGATACTACTAGGGGTCACAAACATAACAAACGAACAGATTCGCTTCCAGTTGTTTTTAACAAGAAAATTGTATGTGTAAATATATAATTTATAAGATGTAAAAAAAACTGATATTGTATATATAATAAAAAGAGGATATACAAATAAACATTCCCAATAATATGGGAGCCCTTATAAAGAGGTGGATGAAATAATGGGAAGGAAAAACACTCCCAAATCGGCCTATGAAGTTCAGCTTAGCATCCTTGATGATGTTCCGGCCTTTATACTATATGAACTACATGAACACATATATATATATATATATATATATATATATATATATATATATATATATATATATATATATATATATATATATATATATATATATATATATATATATATATATATATATATATATATATACACGGATTGTCAATTAAAGTCCGTGATATATATGACCTTCAATTAATGCATCAAAATCAAAATAATTAAGTCCAATTAAAACTTTAACAAGGAAATAATGTATAATTTAATTCAAATGATGAAAGAAAGGAGATAACCTCAACAAAAAGTGTTATCAGACATAGTGCAGCTATCTTTTCATTTTGATATATATGCAAGTATTTATAATGAAACGTTTTTGTCCGCTTAAAGTATTTACAAAGTACTTCATATATAGTTTTGTTATATAAAAATTGTCAAACTCTTGTTATACATATACGCTTTAAACTATAATCCCTATAATATGGCTTGAAATTTATGCTGAATAAAATATATGTTATGGTAATAGTTTGGATATGCTATGCTATGCTATGCTGCTATATACCATACGCTATGCTATGCTATGCTATTCTATGCTGTGATATGCTTAATATATACGGTATATATTCAGATGAAAATGATAGTTCCTGATGGGCTTACCGTCCAGAAAATAGTGTAAGTATTTCTACCTTTAATTCAGGTCGATTTCCGTTTTCTGGATAAAATTGTTTTAGGCAAATACTTGCTTAACACTACTACTATTGCTTTTTGCAGACAGCCCCTGCGTTATGTTGAAAATCGCCAAAAAACGTAGGGATTTTGACGCATCGAACATAGTGATATATATTTCCACTTCTTTTGAGGAAGCTGTGTTTGGAAATACATTTATAGCTACCGGATCTATAACTGTGTCTGAGTTTCTCAAGTGTTAGTCCAATTGGTAGTCACTGGTAGCAGAGTTCTGTAAAATGACTTGAAAACAAACTTTATTTTGAATATGCCGAAGCGAGATGGATAACCGCTGGCTTCCTTGTACATTGTTATAGTTAATATAGGTGGCTCAAACAAAATAATTACCAGGATTCTAATTTTATATAACATAACATAACATAACATAACATAACATAATCTTTATTTGGCATAAAATAGCATGAGCATACATATAGCCAATATACTTTCAATATCATATGAAAAGGGATAAACGTGTTACAAACATTGTACAATATTTAACAATTAACAGAAGAATGGTACAAAACAACAATTAATACTGAACAGAATAGAACAATAATTTAACTTCTTAAAAGTTATATACTTTCAGTTTATTTTATTCTAAATATTTTGTAATTCTCTTTTTTGAAATGCAAAGTATAAATATTTTGATAGATTGATAATTTCTTTAGGATTTCTACTTGTCATCAGTAATTCGAATTTTTTAATAGTAGGCCACCTACAAAAATATGGTTTTAGATACTGTTTCCTTAAGTTATAATAATTTGGGCAAATAAGGAGGAAATGAAACTCATTTTCAATTACATTCATAGTACATTTTTGGCATTTTCTTTCTTCCCTAGGCGTTCCTTGATGTCTACCTGTTTCAATGGCAAGATTATGTGCTGACAGTCTAAATTTTGTTAAAGCTATTCTGAATTTATTCGTATTTATAACACTTAGATATAAGTCTTGATTAAATTCATGTTTGAAAATACAATAGGAAGATAATCTACTTGAATTATTTATTTTTCTATACCAGTCTTGTTTATATATGTCCAAAATTCTGTTTTTTATAGAAATGAAATTATTTTGATTAGCAGTATGACTTAACCATAAATTAAACATCCCTATCTCCTGAAGAATAGATTTGATATGGTAGGCCCAATTTTTCCCTCTATATGAATTTTCGTTGTCAGCGTCAATTTTAAGTATGTTGTACATTTGTTTAAGTAAACAATTTTCTTCGAGATTTATAATTTTTAGCCAATATTTAATAAGTATAATTTTTCTTTGAATTCTCATTGGATGTCGGCCAAGCTCTCCGTATAAACACTCTAAATTTGTTGACTTCCTAACATTAAGTATTTTTCGTAAAAATTTACAATGAACTAATTCAATATCCTTTGCTTCGTCATATCCAAATACTTCGGCCCCATAATTAAGAATAGAACTAACAAGACTGTCGAAAAGCTTGCATTTATCCACGACTTTTAATTCTAACTGATTGAATACAATAAATAGATTATGAAGAGCGTAAAGGGAATGTTGCGCAAGAGTTTTTTGGGTGCGATTCCAATGACCGTTCTTGAATAGAGTCACTCCTAAATATTTGAATTGTGTTACAATTTCTAATGACTCGTTATTTAGTCTGAAATCGTAAGAAGAATGTCTTCCTTGTTCAAAAATCATTATTTTTGTCTTTTTTTGTATTGATTTTCATACCCCAATTGAAACAATAAAGTTGTAAATCATTGAGCATTGACTGTAAGGCTTCCAGTGTGTGCGCAAAAATTCTGCGTCGCCTGCAAACAAAATAACAAAAAGTTTTATCTCATCGATGGTAAACAATCCTTCAATATTATTATTTATATTATTAACTAAATCATTTACGAAATAGAGAAAAAGTAAGCTAGAGCTGGGATCCCCTTGTTTTGCGCCTATGTTAGATTCGAAAAAGTTGGATACAGAATTTTTGTATTTAATTGCCGCTTTCACAGACATGTACATACTTTGAATCGCCTTAACAAATCTAGAGCTGACATTTTCTTGGAAAAGTTTAATGAATATATACGATCTTTCTAGCTTATCAAAACATTTTTCAAAATCGACAAATGCTGAGTAGAGTTTCTTCCCCTGAGAGAGTGTTTTCGCAATAACAGAATTCAAAAGAAATATACAATCGGCTGTAGATTTACCTTTTTGGAAGCCGTATTGATTATCAATTATTTTTTGGTGCTTTTTGGACCATTCGGTTAAGCGATTCAGAAGAACTTGTGAGTATATTTTTGAGATAATATTTATCAATGTAATACCCCTGTAATTTTTTGCATCCTCCTTATCTCCGCTCTTAAAGATTGGTACTATTATGCCTTCCCCCCACGAGATTGGATATTCTCCACTGACATATATTTTATTGAAAAGTAAATGAAGTGTTTTTGATATTTCATCAAATGAACATTTATACATTTCTGCCAAAAGAGAATCTATCCCGCTACTTTTATTATCATTTTGCGAAAAAACAGCTTTTCTGATTTCTTGCATTTCAATTTCTTTATCAAGATCTTCGTCATATATGTTATAGTTTATATCTGCAGAACGGCTGTTTGTTTCAGTACTGTATAAATTTTTAAAATGATCATAAAGCTCATTCATGTTTAAAGAATCTGCTTCTGACTGTTTCTTTGCGTATTGCTTTTTAACTTTGCTCCAAAATTTCTTTGGTTGATATTTCCCTAGTTTATTTAAGTTGTCTTTTTGTTGGAAATTGTATTTTCGCTTATTTATCTTCTTAACTTTTGTATAATTTGCTCTTTCAAAAATAAATTCCCTTTTAAATTGTTCATTTGATCTATTTTTTACAAATTTATTTCTCTTCTCTTTAAATTTTTGTCTAGCGTTAAAGCACTCTTGATTAAACCAGGGCTGTTTAAGTTTATTTTTACAAGAATTATTGTGTTTACGCTTAACGCTAAAGACATTAGATGCACATTCGTGTAAAATTTCAGTAAACTTATCTGCAATACATGTAATATTAACATTTTCGTTGCTACAAATCTGTTCATTTACATCATTTAATATGTTCCTTTTTGATCGAAGAAGGTTTAAAAATGATTCCCTTTTATTTTCATCCCATTTAATAATGGTTTCACATTGTTCAGTTTGATTAGAGTTATCGTTTACTTTATTACAAGGAATATTAAAACTTAATCCGTTATGGTCGGAAAATTCGTTTGGTTCGGCGACTGAAAAGTCAGAAATGCAATTCAAATCATTCATGTGTATAAGTAGGTAATCTACGACGCTTGATCCGTTAATTGAACAAAATGTACTTTCCCCAATATTGGCGTCCCTATGGAGCCTCCCATTACATATGATATACGATGTTGTTTGACAAAATTCAATTAAACGTCTACCTAGGCTGTCAATCAATTTATCTTTAGATACACGCGGAGGAATTTCAACATTACATGATAGTCCATTTTCTTGATCAATGTAGTTATCATACGATAATATTTCTAATTGATTTGAGGTTCTACTATTTAAATCTCCTAAAATAAAACATTTACCTAACAGATTATACTTTTCTAGACCAGATTCAATTTCATCAAAAAAGGAGAAATTGTCTGTGTTAATTACCGTGGAACTATTTGGTGTTATATAAGTACAGCACAAATACATTATATATAAAAAATGTATCAATAAATGCATTATACTGACATTTTGATTGTTGTATCAAAATTATTAAGCGTTTTAAGAAGGTCCATCCTTCTATACTTTCCAAATACCAAAAGGGCATGGTATCAAATGCATATAGTACCCCATATATATATAAGCGTAGAGCCTCGTTTTCATAAAAATCTATTTCAAATGCATATCATACTTCATCTAGCCTCGTTTTCATTTTCCGAGAGTATCAAATCCTTATATGTATGAAAGAAATATGTTAGTATAGTTCCTTAAAAAGCTAATGACGCATATATCTATATAATCATTGACAAAACGGTAGGAACCTTTTTAAGAACAGCAACATAATATTTTGTTCCGGAGCATTTTGTTCAAATAACGTACAATATTATATTATACATGTGTGTTAAATAACAGAGACATTGTTTGTCATAACATTTTCAAGAATCAGTCATAAAATTATGGAAACAATATAAATTAACTGTTAATAGTTTTTATTAAAATATTTCATTACATATAATTTTACACCCTTTAAGGTTAATATATGAGCCGTGTCACAACAAAACCAACATAATGGGTTTGCGACCAGCATGGATCCAGACCAGCCTGCGCATCCGCGCAGTCTGATGTTCGCTTACAAACCCTATTACAAGTAGAGAAACTGATAGCGAACAGCATGGATCCTGATCAGACTGCGCGGATGCGCAGGCTGGTCTGGATCCATGCTGGTCGCAAACGCACTATGTTGGTTTTGTCGTGACACGGCTCATATATGTTATCAGTGTGTTGTATTGTGGTTAAATAAGCCTTTGATAAAGGTGTTTATGTACATGTATATGATAATCACAGCATGTATATGATACTCACAGGTTTGCACCTGATAATGTCATTGTTATGTCGTAAATGTATATAAATCAAATGAAAAAAATATTTGAATTTTAGTTATAAATTATCTACACATACATTCAAATAGGAAAATGTGACTAAATTATTTATGGCATATGTTTGTTACGTTTTTTTCCTCTAATGTATTTTTAAAAGTGCATATACAGTGCAAAAATGAAGACGATATCCACCGAAGATTCAAAAAGACCTTTAAAAACGGTCATAAATGGAGACGACAGTATTTCCGGTTATGGAACTATTTCCGGTGGAGCACCAGCAGAGCTGACGTCATGGAGACGTTATCTAATAGGACCTCTTTTATCGGTTTATATGTTTGGTTACATGATGTCATATTATACCATTACAGAATACACCAATAAGACGTGGCATGACATAAAGTTTAAAGAAGCAAATGTTTCTGTAAACAGTTCGTCCTTATCTGTGTGTGTTGCAAATAAAAGTAGTCCAGAATTCAAACTTGAGAGTGAAGCGACGTCTATGGCTGCACAATATATGGTCTATTATAGTTTATCTCAAGGTATTCCAGCCGTAGTGTCGAACCTTATTCTTGGCTCGTATACAGACGCACTAGGCAGGAAATTTTTACTTGGCGTAGGAATTTCTGGAACTACATTACGGTTGATATTTTCGGTTATTATCATATATTTCAAATTTAATATGTTATATTTCATTGGAGCATGCTTCATAGAAGGTTGCACAGGCCAGTATGCCACATTCCTTCAAGTATGTCTTGCATACGCGGGGGATATTACCAAACCTGGCAAGCAAAGAACTAATGGAATGGCATATATTATGTTTATGCTTGGAAGCTCATTAACTTTGGCCAGTTTTGCAGCAGGATATCTTATACAAAATTATAACTTCTACGTTCCTTTGGCAGCTGCCGTAGTCCTTCTAACAATAGCTTTTTTATGATGTTGGTTCTTCTACCAGAATCATTTCCGCCGGAGAAAAGAAAAACAAGCAAATCTCTAAGGGAAGTAGTTGGACACAGTTTCTCATTTTTCATATCTAAAGACTATGGCAACAACCGATGGAAATATCAGTTTTTACTGCTAGCCCATGGTTTTTGCGACTTTAGCTTTCTTGGACGCATAGGTACAGAAACCATTTATCAAATGTCCACGCCATTTTGTTGGAGTGCTGAAAAGGTAAATATACAAGTAGTTTTATTATTTAATCACGATTTTTAAGATAAATACGTGTATTCAAATTAATTGTAAAAAATGATACGTGAATTCAAAAGATTGTATTTTACACCTTGTATATGTGATCTTTGCCCAGCAAAAACTCTTACTTAATATTTCAATATTATGAGCGATGCATTCGTTTCTACCCCCTTTCTTTACAGGTTGGGTTGTATGGGGCGGCAAGGACTGTTGGGATGATGGTGTTTGGAGTGTGGTCTGTAAAATTCTTTCAGCTATTTTTACCAGATGTCAGTATTGCTATGATAGGTGTATTGTCCTACGCCGGATGTTTCATTATAACAGCACTAGCAAACAACAGCGCAATGCTTTATTTAGGTAGTTCTTTTTTTCAAGTATAGAAATTAATACAAGATGGCAAAAATCACGAGATCTTTTGATGAACTAGATCCGAGATATGCAGAATATAAAAACACATTTATGGGTCAAACAAGTAAAGAAAAAGGTAGTTATTTCGTGTTATAGACAATTCAAGAGACTAGTAGCACCGTATCCTCTGAACGTTTTAATGATCCAATCTAATTATATTTTATAATATTAAAATCTATATACAATGTGTATACCATTGATACTACATATTTTGATAAATACACCAACAATAGCAAGGGGTCAACCTTATAAGTACTTAAGTTAAAATATGATGGGTATATGAACAATTATGAGTGTATGTTCGTGAACTTGGATTGTGTGACTTTTTAATGATTTTAAGCTATATTTGTTAAATATGAAATGTTTTTGAAAAAAACAAAAAAAAAACAAAAAAAACAAATATCAGCATGCTATTCAACAGTTCTATGTTACCATTCTTGTCTGGTCATTTAATGCATTGCTGTTTGAGAAATTCTTATAGTGGTTCATTCTGTTGAGTCAAACACCGAACATGATATTGGTGAGGATGACGATGGTCATAGTCTTGCTCCGTAATGGTGTAAAACAAATATACAAACCATTGATAGGTCATTTCTTTGGGAACCAGGAGCGAACGAATGAAACATCGATCATTGTTTCAAAGATTCATATTACGTTGGTCCTCCACTAATTATGCACCAGACATTTTCAAAGATCCATATAAGATTGTCCCCCGCTAATTATGCACGAGTCAATTTTGGAGATCCATAATTTATATAACGTTTGGTCCCCGATAGTTATGCACGAGACAATTTCGGAGACCATGTAGAGTTTGCCCCTGGTAATAATGCACGAGACAATGTCGGAAATCAATATAAGGTTGGTATCCTGCTTTAAATGTAAGAGAATTTGTTGTTTATATTTCTAGCGGCGGCTGTGTCAAGTTTTGGGCCATTAGAGTCGATAGTTATAAGAAGTGTCGCGTCCTCATTATCTGAACCTAGTAAACAAGGTAAACTTTCAGTTCATTACTTTTAGTTTAATCTGAAATGAACCAATAATGTAAAGTTGAAAAGATCTCTTTAAGTAAAATAGACTGGATATTCTGAATGAAAATATCTAATTACGAGACAAAAATGATACATTATTATATGTGGAACAATTCTTGGTCATCATAATGTAAAGTGTCATCGATTTCCGTCCGATTTTCACGAAACTCCAACCGTACTGTGAAATAACAAACGGAGGGGTTTCATGGATGTCCGTCTGTAATTAATATTATATACTGATATGTCGCCAGTTGACCATAACATTTTCATTTTGACATATAAACTGCACTAAAAAGTGAACTAATGAACTTTTCGTCGGCAAACATTATTTCAGGCGCTATATTTGCAGCGTTCGCATCTGTAGAAATCATTGTTAATCTTCTTAGTAATGTTGGAACCAGTGCCATATACTCTGTCAGTGTGAAGTTCATGAGAGGCTTCGTATTTTTAGTACTGTCGTCATTTGATGGTATTGCTTTCGTTCTGCTCATGTAAGTTCGCAATTCATTTCGTTTACTTTTCGCGTATTTATGTTCGTCTGCTGCTAGAACCATCTTTTTTTTCAAAAGGTACACACAACTTTGAATAAAGCAAAACGAATTCTCCAGCTATATGAATGATCAAATCAACGTTTATGAATTTTAAGTTCACATTTCTACAATAAACACAAGCTATTTAAGTTAATCATATGCTGTTAATGACACATGAAATGTTGAGTGTTCAATAAGGTCCTCCTTGTGCTGATGTAAGTCCATTATCAGGTATTCGTCTGTGGAGTAAGCCCGGGAAGTTTCTTCTGCCACTAAGATTTGCAAATTAATACCATTATCCATGTTGATTTGATGCCAAACATAACAAAGGGAACAAAGAAATAATATCATTCTTATAGGTGCTGTAAATAATTGCATGTTTCGTATATAGGTATGTACCTTATGGGTATTTGTTTATAATTCAAAGCCTCTGCTCTGAAAACTTTATTACATTTCGTATTTACTTTACTCTAGGTAACATTTCTGAAATTGCATAATGAAATTGTCCTGCCCTGAAGTTCGAACTGTTCATGTTTGAGTTTCAAAAAGCTTTTGAGAAGACGTCATCAGAGTCTGGTCAGATGTTCTCTACTGTATACTGTACACGTCATTCTATGCGCTAGATAATAACTAGATTTTCACTGTCCAATCTTTCAGAATTGAGAAATGTGTATCTTAACCATAAAACTTTTTATTTTATTTCTTGCTGTGATAGTTTTTTTTCTTTATACATATATTTCAGAATATTATTGATTGGATGGAAACGTGAAGAAAGAAAGATAACTGTGATGAAGATATGATAATCTTTTATTTGCTATACAGTGCGTAAAGAATGATTACGTTTTGTGTTGACGGTGTGTACAAAGCAACATCTCGTCTGCTGCTTTGCATAAACATTGTTATACTGTGACTTAATTGATACATATTGTTTTGTTGGATCAAGCCATGACGTGACTGACTCAAGACATCGTGTTGACTCCGTCATTGCATCGGTACAACGAGCCACGACGACTATTTTGAACATGCACAAAACAAATTCCGAAGGTGAGCGTTTTCAGTGGGTCGCGGAGTAAAACGCCATAGGGACCCATAGCCGGGGTTGAAACCCTGTGACAGTTTGCTAAATTTTGTTTGTCGAGAAAAATCAAGTTCGAAGTACGAGTACGTTTTCCTTAAAATACTGATAAAAATTCGCGGGTGTGACGGGGGTGTTACAAATGAACAGAATTTTAGCAATTCAAATTCTACGGTATCAATTTGTAATGAATCCATATCTTTAAGTCAATACGATGTAAAAAAAAAACATACCGGTATATAACTTAAATGAGTAGAACAGAACAGTTCTATTCTGTTGTTGTTGCTTTTTTGTAAAACAAAAAAAAAGAATCTATTAATTGATGCGAATTGGGTTGTTGTTTAAATTACATTTATTCCTGATCTCGTAAAATTAAATGAGTTTGATAATGTGGGCATACACGTGCTTTCATTCATTTGAATTTGGCAAACATTTAATGAATAGACAAGCAATGGCATTAAATAATGTTAAGAATAAGATCCTAATTTCATTATATTTTATCACTCCACATTTTTGCAGGCTATGTATCAAAATGTGTATGTATCATAATAATTCTATGAGGTATATAATACCAAGAACTTTCAAACAAGGAATACGTATCTTTTGGCAGGGGAAGGGGATATCAATTCTTTTATATTTCATCGGAGGTAGCTAGTACAAGGACTCGGCAGTTGTCCCATCGTAGAGGCGACCCTTGTTCTTTGACATGCCCGGGATAGAGCAGCTATACATTAAGTGACTTCGGTTTTTAAGGTCTCATCTGGAAGATCATTTGTATTGTTAGTGTCAGAATGGGGGATCGAACCTTTGAACATTGATTAATTAACCATCGCGTTACCACTGAACCACATTCCAATGACCTAACAATAATTTGAGAGACTAGTGACACCACCGGAAACTCATATTGGCGACTCCCTACAGAATACTGATTTTCTTTATTGTTGGTTAGTGCAACAGATTAAGAAATTATTCTGGTCCGTTTCTGTGGCATGCAAGGTGTAAAACACTATTACAGAGGACGCTAGTTCTTAATTGAGTCTCGTCTGCAAATGTTGTTGGATTAGCGCGGGATCGAAATCAAGACCTCTATATCTGATATCAAATACAGTCAAACATGTATTAAGCGACCGCGCAAGGGAAACACCCAAAACAGTCGCTAAATGAAACGGTCTCTTAAGACAGCATGATGTTAAAGTCAAAATTTATAAATGACACCTTTCTTATGCGATAGGAATGTTTTTCAACTTCATTTTTATATAAATTATGAATAATTAGTACGCTCCGTTAACCTAAATGGATGCAAATGTAAAAAATAAATTTCTGATATTTATTGACAAAACAGTTTTGATCCATTACGTACATGTTTGACATTTTTTCCAGAATTTTTTAACTTCTCCGTTGTTTTTCCTTGTCTCCAACACGAAAACGCTATTAGTGATGATGTATTTTGTTGTGCATTTTTTCATTTGAAATAAACAAACTACGATTAATTTAATTGCTGATCAAGTTCAAGGTCAATTCGATGCAGTCTAAATGTCAACAAGCGAAGTGTATACACCATCTCAGTAGGGGCGGAGCGTTGCATTGTTTATCCGATATTATTGGATAATACACGTCAAGCGTATACTTAACTTCATTTGCATACGCTAAAACGGTGTGGGAAATAGAGTTTTTCACACGTTTATTTATTGTGTTTTGATTGTTGACACTTGTGACATTACGAGGTGGCGTTCTCTAAAAACACAACTACTTGACAGGTAAAAGTGGTAGTTTAATGAAAAGATTGATCTCAATTAGGTGACTAATTAGCGGTCGCTGGTCGCGTTGAGCAAAAGTCGCTTAATACATTAAAGGTATAGAGGGAAAATGATCGGGGGGCATTTAAAGTGGTCGTTTAAGACAGAAGTCGCTTAATACACGTGGTCGCATGGGCAAGTTAGACTGTAATCACCACTGCGCATGCTCTGACAGAATACAAGATGCGGAGAGTGTTGACCTTACGAAATAAGTGTATAATATTTTACTGTTGATGTAAGGAGTAAGTCAAGTGTAATCTGTAATAAAGATCTAACACGTCAAACTTAAAGTAATTTCACTGTAATGCTTTCCCGCCAAAAAAAAAAAACAAACACAAAAACACATAACATCGGCCAATATTAATATCGTAGGGAATCGGTTATTTCCGGAATGTTATTTTTTTTCAAAATCTTGGACATTAAGATTATTAACAATTACTCATCCATTATCGCTATGCACTAAATTTCGGTTATGAACGAATACCAAAGATCGTGAATAATAATCTTCCGGAAATGACCGATTTATTACGATATTGGCCGGTGTTAAATTTTATTTGGCGGGAAAGCATTACAAAAACATACATTTGTTTCCTATTCGCCACCAAAAGGAATCAGCTTTTCATTACCTTTATTCTTTTCTAGATAGTACAAAACATTAGTTTTTGAAGTATTAGAAAAAAATTCACTATCCATTTTTTTGGGGGGTCGTCGGACCAAACAAAAAATGGTAGAGAAATTTCAGACTCTGATGCTGTTAATTGCAAATGCCGAAAGTAGTTCGCTTTTTTGAAGCAGTTACTTCCCTTTACACTAACGCCGAAAAATTCAGGGGAGGTCACTGCGTAAAGAATGTCAAATGACAGGCGCATTAATTTTCAAGCAAAATAGTTCTCGAATGGTCGAAGATTTCTAATATTGTTTTATCCTTTATAGATATACATGCTTATATTAAGCTCCATGATTATTTACATCTGTGTTAAACAACAGGTTTAGCGTCGAAATAATAAGTAACAAAGCCTAATTTAGAATAATATGGTTTTCTTCAGGCTGTTAACATATAACTTCACCGTGGCCGAGGGGTTTTCACGCTCGCTTAGAAATCGAGAGGTCTGGAGTTCAAATCCCAGTTAAGGCAACTCATTTTTTTTTTTAAAAATTTAAGTCAAATAAACATTGAATTGAATATCAGTGTTGCAATTAGTCTTATATCCCAATTACTACAGTTAAAACACTGGAAAGCATTGGTGGCACTATACAAAAACAAATTGGTTTATAATCTCACAACCTTCACCTTTCGGACATTCTGAGACCCAAACAGATCCAGCGCCTTCTGTGCTTTGATTTATTATTGTTTTAAGTGCCATACAACTTCTTTGCAATTTTGCCCAATTCCTATCACCACTACATAATTAGAAGAAGAATTTTTGCATATGAAATAAGGATTTTTTGTGTGTAGAAATGTTTTTGTTTTCAGTTTGGACCTATACAATATACAAACTGACTTTAAGTAACAATTACGTTACCACAGACTTAAACAACTATGAAGCAAACCAAATGATTCTAAATTTAGAATTTTTATGTGCTGTACAGTAGGGTTTGTAATCCTTAACATGTAATTACTTTCCGGTGGGAACAACAAACATACTAAATTCACCTTTAACTAATAAAGCCTAAATGTTTATCTAACATTAATTTTATTGATTTTGACCTTGATAAATTGTTCAATAATATTTTTTTTTATCTTGCTAAAAAAAAATTCGTTATATACTCGTGCACATTATTCTTATCCGTCTACACGACATTCTGAAATTCTGAATTCATAATTTTATGCATACTCCTTACTATAGGGTTCTTGACACCCGTTTTTCTTCGTTCCTCCATTCATATTTTCTTCCCTTTTTTGTTTATTTCTTTCTTTCCATTTATCTATTTTATTTTAATTCGTCATAATTTTTAAAAGGATAGTGTGTACTTGAATTTGCATTGTGAGAGAAAAAAAACACCTTTTTTTTGATAATGCAATAATAAATGCGTCAGTATTTATCAATATTCACATACATTGTGATATCTAAATTGCACTTATACTTGACTTTCATCCAAGGTAAGGGGAAAGGGGTCAGAAACGTTTGTTATATTTGGATTATCGTTATCAAGGTATTAGGTACAGCTAATCGATACACTCTTGCTGTATACCGATTCCCGCTTTTTATCTGGCACTAACCAGCTAATCGGAAAACCTCCCCCAGTCATTGTTGTATTGACACTATCCACATAGATCATGCTTTATCTCCTTTGTTTTGAGAATTACTGGTTGTGTAATTTTTTATGTGACTGAGATATTAAATATTATTTGCATATATGAACGGACAAACATTGAACTACCCGAACATATATATTAAATTAATATGGTTGCTGATTTGCGCCTTTGCGTATTCATAAAAATCCGACAAAGTCAGGTCGTATCTTTGTGTTTTGCATTTTTGAGGCGAAAATGTCAAAAGACGATAAAAAATGGCAACGATATACGTAGTACAATGAATTTCATAATTACAACTGTCGTAAATTTGCTATTTAAGACCATACAGTCACCTTATATTCTTTAACTTTCTTTTTCATCCTAATCCATGTAAAAATGTTGGTGAATTTATTGATCGAGTTGAATAAAATTATCGTATGCGAGCCTCTGGCGAGCAAAATTTTATTTTATTCAACGAATTCAATAAATCTATTTTTATCACAAACCCATAATAAAGACTGTCTTAAGTAAAAAAGCAATCATTTTTCATTGACGCTAACATTTTGCGCTTCTTTAGACTTTGTTTGCCATCTCCTATGCAATGATCTCCCCTTATCATACAATCTACCAAGGGAGGTAATCATTGTGTTGTATAACGTAAAAGACGTCACGTCCAAATACGAGGGTTGATCAATATATTCATGGACGCTATTAATAACTTAGTAATTAATCAAGATATTATAAAGAATTTTCGCTATTTAAGAGAAGAATTTAATTCTATTACAAATATTTTGTAATTTAAAAAAAAATTCTCATTTTGTTGTTTATATGTATCGCCATAGCAACCCTATGCCGTGCAATACCATTTTTATGGAGTCGTAAAAGTGGCACGAGTATTTGATGAATAGAGGATATTGAAGGAGTAAAAGTTCAATACTGAATTCATTGCACGAGTTGAATAAAATTATATTATACGAACCTCTGTCGAGCATAATATTATTTTATTCAACGAGTTCAATAGATTCAGTATTTTACACGAATTCAATATTCTATTTATCACATACCCAAAATAAAGACATAATAAATCTACAAGGATTGCGATTCATATGGCATGCACAACGCCGACTTAAGTACTTACAGTATTTCGGATAGGGGTTTATTAACAAATGTCCCGCGTAAGTTCATTACACATGCAATCTCAATTTAAAAATAATAATATTCTGTTAATATGTAAAGTCGCTGCCTTACACATTCATGACTAAAACCATGAAAAGACTATATTTTCTGGATGAATTTTCATTCAAATTTGATGTCATTATAAAAAATATTAAAAAGTTCATTTCTTCGTTGACACCAGGTAGAGGTGAACAAAATGTATATCTGTAAAAATATTGTGAATATAATAATATAATTAATGTGTTTTTGTATCAAATATAATTTTCACGTAGATGTTTTAAGCGGAACAAGGTTGTTTAGATAAATCAAACGGACAATATCGAATCCACATAAAGTCCGCTAATCTTTTTCCAAACCAAAACGTTGAGCGATATCGCTTTAATCGAATATTCCAACAAGTCTAACAATTTGTGATAAGCAATTCATGAACCTTAGTTATTAAATCTCGTTACAACATTACATTTAAAAAAGAATGGAAAATTACATGAGGAGATTGGTGTTATTTTCAGTTCTTGTAACAATAGTGGCCGTAGTGTACGGACAACAGGTATATCATTGTTTGTTTTAAGTTCTTTATTAAATAAATTTAATTTTATTAACATGTTTGTTTTATGATGTAAAATCGCTTAAGAGATAAGTGTATAAATCTCAACTTAATTTTTAGTTCAGTTTCCCGTTTTGAATCTGAGAAAAAAAAACGATACAACAGATTTGACATTTTGATTTTACTATTTATAAAGTTATACATTTGAATATATTTATAAATATATAGTAATGTATTTGGTTTTAACATAGCATATAATTTTTTTTAGATAATCTTTGAAAAACACTATTTTATGGTACATAACATATAAATATCCTCTATATCTGTTTACAGTGTAACGTTGTACCTAAGTGCACGTGCAAATACGGCGATGAAGATATTGACGTAGAAGAGCAGGACACGGGCAACGAAGCCTTGGCCGGCGCCGTTGGTGCTTTAGGATCCGTTGTGGTCAGTGGAGGGGGGTTCGGAGTCTGGTATATGTTACGCGGACGAAATTCTGGTTCAGCGTCTTTTGAAAGATCAGACTCGTCTATGTCGGAAGAATCCGTGGACCGTGGAAAAGAAGGGAAAGGTCCACCGCAGGAATTCAACAAAAAGAAATCCGAGGCAAATGGCGGATATGTTAAGACGCCGAACATTTATTCGGCGGGACGTAATGATAAGTTGAGCCACAATGTCGGAATGCCTGGGACCATTGCCGATTTTTAAATCGACTGTTTCAGACCGGTTTAGACAATCTAGGGATATTACGAACATTCTGTTATGTATATTACTCGTAATTGGTTTATAAATTTTTAAAGTCTGTGATATCGTAGTAGTTTGGTCTTTCGGTTTTTTATTTATACATTTTGTATATATGGTAATGTAATTAAAATTTGATTAATGGGGCATTCCATACCTATTGAAAATCAGCAGTGATTATTTATTCTATTTTCTTCTCTGAACATATGTTTAACCGTCCATGGAAAATGCACAATGTTTTTTTCTAAAGGGCTGGGATAGGGTATATATTTTAAGATATAAGAAGTTTAGAAAACATCTTTCTTTTTTCTATCAAATTGTCTATCTGAAATGTGAAAACTGTAATAATTATGGTGGAAATGTATATCTAATTTATTCTATTTCTATATGCGGTTATATTTCCGAAGAAAAAAGAAAACATTGAATTGATATTAAGAATTACTATTCAGTTCATTTATTTGATACTGTTTCCAGAATATATAAATTCACGTACAGACACAGTTACGTTAACAGCTTCAAAACATGAGACATTTGCTTATTAGTCTGTCCTTTATTAGTAATATTTCCGATCAATCGAAACATATAAAACGTTCTTGTGTATTTAGAGTGACATTATGCCCATGCAAGAGTAAGTGGGGAGTGTTTAAGTAAAATTAAAATAACTTTACATTTTGTCATATTTGTTTCAATTTTATAATAAATGTCATCTGAGTAATCAATAATTCCAAATAACCCATACAAATGTTTATAGATATCCTTCGGAAATTATTGGTAATGTTCAATTTTATAAAGAGAGTGGGACAGTCTCTTTATATTTCAGGCAGTTTTTATATTTTATCCTAGACATTTGTAATTATCAATTATTGTTCAGTCGCCATTAAAATCTTTTCAATCTTTTGAAATATACAGCTCTGATTTTGACAGTGAAAACATTGATCGTAATGTCACTTTATGCATGATCCCGAAAACGCTATGTATGACACAGAATTGTACTGCTTTGACTAGTAAATTGCCTGGTCTGACAGCACGGGGGTATAGGCTGACATGGCTCTATATTGGCGGAAATGGCTAATCAATTTTTGTTCCTGAGTTGCGTTTTATATAAAAAATCTGGAAAAGGGCGATCCCTCGGAATCATTAATCACAACAGAATTGCAAAATGTACATGGAAATTGAAGGGCTCAAATCAAAGCTTTTTTACACAATTCTGCGTTTCAAGAAAATGTCCTATGACCCTTATGTTATGCTTTTTTTCAATTTCTGAGAACATGGAGAAGCAGTCAGATGAACAATAAAACATTTAAAAAAACTATTCTCAGAAGAATGAATTTTATTAAAGTAATACGTTTTTGGCTAAAGACAAAATGTTTATTGTAACCGTCTTAATTTAACTCTGAGGTTGACCTGATATCACTGTACTTAGACAATTAGAACTTTCTCTGAAACAAAACCCAGCTGCAGCTTGTTAAAGGGTAATCTTATTGTTCATTTAATTCTTCTCCAATAGTGATTGCATGTACTATGATTACTGTTTAAATGTCTCCTTTTTCAAAGACAACTCACAGCATCTCTCGTATACCCTAAACAGTATGAAATGTATGTGAAGCTTGAAAGAAAGTATGCAGCAATATAATGAAAGAAAAGTATGAAGTATAAATAAAGAAAAGTATATCATTTGAAATCGATAATAAAAATGGATTCCTTTTTTTCTTGTTTCGTGTCTAATTATAGCATTCTTAGTCATTCCGTCCTTCGTTTTTTTTGTTCCAAGAGTTCTATGACATTTTGTCAATGTAATACACAATTTACTTAACTTTTACTTACTCTAAGAAAAAAATCTTCGGGCGTTTTGTTGTACAAAAAATCCGCCACAGAAATCTACTTCTTTTGTTATTTTTTACTTAAAGTAACATTAACGGTGACCTTTTTTATAAGAAATATTCAAATGAACTTAACATTTTGTCATATTTGTTTTCAATTTCATAATGTCACACTAATAATTTAATCACCCCCGTGACCCATATAAATATATGTAAAATATACGTATCTTTCTGAATTTATTGGAAACGTTCAATTTATAAAAAGAGTGGGGAAGTATTTTTAGTATTTAGGCAGTTTTTATATTTTATCCTCAATGTTAGTCATTATCTATTTTTAGTCAATGACATTTACAATAGTCAATCATTGTAAATATTTAACGAATTCAGCTCAGCTTGACAGTGAAAAAAATGAGCATAATGTCACTTTAAAATACCCCGCCAAATATAAATGGTTTATAGGTCATCTGTATGCTATTTACTTATTATTCATTTTGTTAATCGATACTATAGCTTAAAGAAACTCCATTGAGTATTTTCATGCTATTCTTAGCCAAATTTGAGTGAAAAGTGTTGCAACGCTTTTCAATTTTGGTCATTTTTTTACAATTAGAGTAATAATTCTGGAAAACTAGAGTGAGCGAATGACCTGAAAGTTTACACACACAAGTTATTGGTCTAGACCCACATCAAACGGAACATTAATTTCGAGAAATTATTACCAGTCTCGTCCTGTCAAAAACCTCAGTGGAGTCCCTATAAGCCTTTTTAGCATTACATATGATTTTATTGTTTGATTACAGAGTAATAGACAATTAAAGGATAATATGTGTTGGTGAAGCTGACAAAAAGCCTTTTATTGGCTTTTCTATTTCATTGTTCTTTAATGTATTATATATTGTCCTAATTTTTGTAAGAACAATTTATTTATAATGATTTCATTTCTGGAACTTATAAACGAATAGATTGATATAATAATATATATAAGCTTAGTAAACATTTATCTCAAAAAAGCCTCTTTGTTGTTTTTCTTTGGAAAAAGAAAGTACTTAATCTGTTGCAAAAATACATTCTATTAAAATGTAGATACATTATTAAATTTTGAAGAAAAAAGTCATAATATTTAGTTTTGTTTTAGAAAATAAATTTGTTTTATGTGTAGACAATTTTCCCGTGTTTTTGTTCTCATTTTGTGTGCATGTGTGTGTTTTGTTGTTGGTATGAAATCACTTGTATAAGTCGCATCAAAGAGTTGATATTTATCTCATTTTCCTTTGTTGAAAATCAGTGTTGCGCCTTTAACATGTCTAGTAAAACAGATTTGCTTTTACAGTAAAAAAAATAATAATAAAATAAACAGTCCGCCAGAAGCCGCATCACAATTTGTAATGTCTCGAACTGTTGTAATAAATTATTTTAAAGCAGCATGCCTCCAGATTTATGCTAATGTTCACGAAAATTTTGAAAATGTATTAGAAAGTAAAATACTGTAAAAAGACCAAAGAAAATAATTCACACATTGCAAACGGCACTTACAATCCACATAAATTACCAAAAAGAGGTCAAAATATACATAAATACCTCTTACTGCGTTAGTAACGCAGTAGAATTATATTGATTGATACTGTAAAATCAGTCATAAGTCGCACATAGCATGTGAATAATTAATTAAATATTGAATCTTTTTACTTTTCTTAAGATCTTAAAACATTTTTCTAAAGATTGAATTTCTTGAAATATTTTGGCTCATCTGGAGGCATGCAGCTTTAATGTTACAACACAACGTCACTTTAGTTAATGTTGCTTATTTGGTTAATTGAAGATGCCTTACTGACACACTTATGTTGGACATACGATTACAAAAAAAGGCATTTACATAATAATACCGTTATTGCTTCTACACCTTTTTGGAGCTAAGTTATCAACAATGTTACAGTTCGTCTGCACACAGTTATACTTGTATGTATCCTCTGTGTATCCGTACGCTATCTGACCACCTTGAATTGGTGGTCACGCATATTAAGATAGTTCGTTATTTGAATATAAAAATCGCTGGACAATTTCTAATAAAGCAAAAAAACAAACATAAAAAACCAAAAAAAAAACCGATATTGCGCCCACTTACAGACAACAAAAAGACACCGAAGAGGACATTCATAATATTTTATAGCTTTTTCCCCCATCTCAAAATGTATTGTGTAAATATTGTTCATATGTTAAATGTTATGTTAAACCAAAAAGACATCGAACTCATTCATAGAGCCATTTTTACAAAATTCAATGTATCACATAATTATGTGAATTATGATTAGAGTTCAGGGTCTTGCACAATTAGTAGAACATGGTTGCAAAGGAACTATGGTGCGCTGTACATACCGGCTACAGCACAGTGCTATGTTGGTTCCCACAAAGCTTGATCACTTTAGCGACAATTTTAAATAATTGATCGATGACGAATATATTCCCATATTGTGTGCAAAGGATGTAACCTGGTTATATATGACCAATGGTATATGGTTTATATGGTCCTATGTACAGCCTTCTTTGAATAAATTCTGTTATGCGGTGCTGTTAAAAGTTTAGAAAACGTTTATAACTGAAAGTACATGCCAGATGATTGAACAATCGACACAAAATTATTATTATTATTGATATATCGCACAAAAAAATCGATTTTCAACCTATGAGATCCTTTGCTTAAAATGTGCTCCTTTTATTACTAGTATGTGTGAAAAATTTCAAATTCTATGTTTAGGCTTTAGGAACTCTATGGAGCCGCATTAAGCCGCATTAAGCGTTTTGTGTGTAAAAAGTTGTCTTTACCAAATTTGTTTAATATTGGTAAACTTTGCTGAAAGTCATTAATCTACGCGATTCTTGTTTCAATTAAGTCCCATTTTTTTTTTAATTTAAGACAAAGATTTCTTTGGGTTGATGCTAGAATGACATATTTAATAGACATATATAATAATTGAAAAGAGTAATGTAAGGGACAAGTTTGTCATGTATTATATGTTTATATACATCCTGTAGATCAATATGCCAATTATGAATTACTTTTTTTCTATCATAAACATATCACCTACATTACTTAGCGGTGGTCTGTGGTTTTTAGATTAAGAAAGAAACTTCTTGGCATTGACGTCATTGTACAGAAGGTCAGAGAACCATTACAGGTCATGCATATTGATATTCACCACAAGGAAGGCTACACAAATATTTTAAATCCATTACGGTATAGGAGATTTTGAGTATCGGCAATCGAAATATAAGACTGATAAGCTTATCGATTGCATAGGTGTCCCCAGCTTGTCATTTTGGGGGATGAATACAACGCAATAATAATCTAATATCACAAATAACGTTACTGACGGCATTTTTTCCTAATATTTATTTCTTCTGTGCCTCGAGAGGATAAATAAATAAACAGAGTATGTTCAACAGAGGACACTTGCGTTTATTTGTGCTGTTCATGGTCTTAGTTGCTGCCACAGCCGAGGTATGATTTGATATATAATTTATTCTTGTAAAAAATTGACAATTCAACAAACAACATCGATGGTTTACAAATGCTTTTCAATGTTTGTTTTTTATTCAAATTTCTTTATCACAAAGCAACAACATTGCGGTTGAAAATTTTCATATAATTTGAAAATAAGTTTACAGCACAAATACGTTTTCACTGCTTTGATGTTAAACTTAAAGGTTTTTAAACTATTAAACTATTTTTTGTTCAGAGGTGAGTAATACGAGATTGATAGATTAATTATACGACCATTTGCAATTTGAGCATGAACGGTTATTAAATTTGGACCCCGGGTAACAGAGGTTTAATACTCTCTAAGACGATCTATATATCACCTTCAAATTTGAGAAACATTCCCATATTATAGGTTACTAAAATGATATAGCCGATTTCGAAACAAGATTCTTATAAATTCATCAATGAAAGAGAAAGAAAGGGCATGGTATACGGAACAAGGTCTGTTTCCGAAAATTGTAAACATAGCATGGACATAGTTTATCTTGCGGTTCCTGCAATATCAGTTTCACAATTTTGGAATATTAATTCATCATGAAGTGTCTTACTCTTGCGATCAATCGTTCATGTCTTTGATTTCTGTCATACCTCAAGACAGAAAGATTTAATTGGTAAACGTAGTCGTCTTGCTGCACTGATTTCGATACCGCCAATGTAAGCTAAAAAAAAAGCTTCATCTCTAATTAGAATAAACCATGTCCAGGAGAGATGGATCCCAATTACTAAGTAATTACTAATCAAAATTACTAAGCAAAGATAATTAAACGGTAGAATCAGTTGTAAGAAGCATAGAAGCAAGTGTCCACATTTGGACACTTCTAACCAGAATATACTCTACCTCATGGTTACCGGTACGCGTCCATGTCCTATTTGCAGTTGGTGTTTGTATTTATAACCGTCCACAATATAAGTATTTGTTTGATGCGATTTTTTTCAAAATTTAATTTATAATGTCTCGTTTGATTACAATCAGCGTCCCACTGGTCAGTGGTTCACAGTACTGAACTTATTTTATACTATTACTTTCATAACGATTTATTGTTGTACGTTTCTTAATTTAGGACACGTGTCCTGTTACCAAGAAGGACTGCGAATGTAACTTTTCTAGCGATGCAGAAGACGGAGGTGAAGCGATGGCAGCCGATGCTGCCGGCAAGTCGGAAGTTCTTGCTGCAGCGGCAGGCGCCATGAGCCCGCTTCTGATTGGTGGAGCAGGAATGGGGATCTGGAAACTTTTGAAAAGAGGGGGTGATGATTCTGCACCAGGATTAAATCGACAGGGGTCAGACATATCTGACGAGTCTTACCCGCCAAAATATTCAAGCAGAAGTGGTGAGACACATTTTACTACATATTTCTGTAGAAACATTTAGCACACTTTGAACTGTTTATTCCATATTTTTTTCAGTATTAAGTATTTATAGAAAGCTGTCAGCTAAAAGTTGATTTGAAAATTGTCACTAGATCTAGCTTCATCTTAATTTGACACGAGTTACATAACTGGTATGAATATCTAAAAGCTTAAAACATCTGTCACGGCTTCGTGAAAACTTGTCACATTTCATGATTTTTCATGCATTCTCGTCAGCAACGTCGTTAATAATGGTACGGAAGAGCGAGTTAAGAAGTCTAGGGGCCGTGTGTTCGGTCCCCTACTACAGCCAAAAGGTCTATAAATTTAACGCACTATCCAGTAAGACATGATTCGAGCTAAATTAAAAGTGACGATTAGACTTGTTATTTTAATTTACTTTCTATATACATTGTAGTTATACTACCAGTAAAATAAATGCATGTTTTATTTCAGGCTCTGTCGTCAGTGTAAATGATGACGTTGACAGCGGCAAATCGTTTGCCAATACCAGAACAAGCCGGAACTGGGGATCTGACCCTCCTTCCGGTCCAAAAACTAGGGCACCAGGGACGCCGGGAGACGACATCAATGCTTGGATGTTTTAACATGTAAATGAAATTAGTAATATATGTATACATGTTATGATGTATATGAGAGACGAAATTGTTACTACAATTGCAGACTTTATCCTCTTTTTAAAATAATTTCATGGTTTCATTTCAGTCCGCACAATAAATGAAAATAAATAAATGAAAATGCGCAATTAAATAACCTGAAACTTTATTTAATCTTTGTTTTAATTTAGATCTACATTATTGGTGAAGTAAACACCTGAATTATTACATTTGAAGCATTTTTCCGATATAAAGTCCATAAAGAGAAAACGATTTTGCAAAATTAATTTAAACGCTCAATAATAATAAAGCTCTACAATCAATACCGCGGGGATACAAAACACATGCCTATACCACGTGCACCTGGACAATGTTCTTATTGATATTTAATAATTGCAACGTGGCTTAACTGACCTACATACATTCAGCGTAATCCCATATGAAAGAACGAGGATACAACAAAATCTCTAAGATACGTGTACATCATAAACTATAAAAAAATACTAATCATAATAAAATGTTAGGTTTCCCAAAAAAATAATAAAAAATACAGTCAATCCTTTCTGAAAATGGTCCCAAATAACAACATATGTTACTGATATAATTACTAGTATACATTTCTACCGTCATCGCTGTATGAAATGCGCTCACCGTGCCGTAAGCTCGGCGTCACGTGACTCAGGCACGTAAATACACGTGTCGAAACTGCAAATATGTTTCGTAACTTATTGGAAGGGGTGCCCGCTGATAGACATCAAATGTAAAAATCTAAATATCACACAATTGTCGCTGCATATCATACTGTATACAGGGACCCCGACTTATTTCCCGGTCATTACCAAGTACCGAGGAAGTTAAGTAGACATCAAGTGCCTTAAACTACTGGATTGACTGTATTACGACAATGAGTTGGTAGATTTACGGTACATTGTGTAATACCAGGTTGTAAATTTAATTAAAGGTAGACACTGATAACAAAACTAACAGGTAAAACATTAGTTAACAAACTGTCGATATTGTGTTTGATTGATACCAACGCTATACCCATCTTTAAGACAAAAGTAAACATTTTTTATCAACTATCTATTTAACTTACAGATCTTCCCTCCAATTTCTTTTGTCCATCTAGGTAAATGAGGAATGTTTTAGTCATTAAAGCTTTAAGACATACAGTCTGTCCTACCGACATGTGTCAATAAAAAGCGAGGACTCGGAAAGAAGTCAGGCTTAACTTACTGACAAATAAGAGGAGCCAAAGTTCGCAAACTAAGAGCTATAATTTTCACGTCTGTTATTTACGTTTTTAGTAAATCTTAGATAAAGTCAGACTTAAAATCAAAGCTTGAGATAGTTTCGATTTTCATGCTGGTAAAAACTAGTATTTTGTTGAGAATATTTACAATAATAATTTCAGTGAATACTCATAACCATAAACAATTTTAAAGAATTATATCAACCGAACTAAAATCGATACGGACCAATGCTGTTTGTGACCATTGTAACAGAGAGAGCCATCTTATATAAGGTTAGACATAAAATGAACATAAATTATGCAAATTTTAAAGTTTGATGACGATACACGCGCATCATACGTAACTAATCTTCGTTTTCCAAGTGCATTTGAAATTTCAGCCAAGTTTTCTTTTTTTCAGCTGCGTAAATTTGCTAATTGGCCATAATATGATTTCCTTCGTTTTAATGTACTCCTCGACCTTCTTAAGAATTACGCCAGAAAAAATCCTCGTCCTATTTTTGCTTTTACTGAATACCAGCAACCACAACCAGTGTTTCATGATTCAATACCATATGGCATTACCATAGCCATGTCAATTCATATCTACATAGTTTTATCAAAACATATATGCACATATTACAAAACTCCAGAAATGTGAGTTTACAGAGCAGATGATTTTCCAGCGTTTGCATTACGAGACCTCCCAAATAAGCCATACAAATTTACCGTCGGTTTATTCCCCCCCCCCCCCCCTTAGTAGTGTGAAATAAACTTGTCATTAAACATTGTCGAATACAATACTATAGCTATTGTACACTTTTTCAAAACATGGCGCCCCTTCATAAAGTTCAAATATTGGTTAGACAGCTGTGTGCACGTCCATGCACCTAAACTCAAATACTATGGGGTTATTATACATTTCGGAGTACAAAACCGATTTCTATTGGACGGGTACATAGCTGTCAAACCTCCTATATTGGACGAGGAATTAGCGCTTTGCAACTGTTTACGAGTCCAATTAAATCTATTGTTTTCACCAATATGTGGGTACAACGTGTATTTGATATTTGTACTCGAAAAATGAAAACGAGGCTATGTATACATCGAGTACAAATGTTTAAAGGAATTTTTAGACTAAAAAATTGAAAAATGAGGCTCAATCCTGTACATTGCGAATTTGATGTGGAGTTTTGGACTATAAAAACGAGACAAAATTGTTAAGATTGGGTCCAATAATGTTTAACATTGGGAAATCACATGGTGCAAACACTAGACTTTCATAATTATGGGCGATTTTCCAGCTTTATTGGCGACAGTCAAAGTAATGAGGCGATGTATGGAAACACGACCTTCATCATGCAGAATGTTTACTCACATCGAAGAAATAGAACTCTGGTGGGAATCGAACCAACAGCGGTAAGGGCAAGTGATTCAAAACTTCAGTCATGAAGGCAGCACGCCCTGTGGCCAAATAAGGCAAGAATCGGAAAACTGTGTTCAATAACAATGCACATGATCACATCAGCCATGTGACATATTGTGCATGTACACATATCAGCCAATATTCTTTTTAGTTGGGTTTAAGTGTTACCTCGCACAAGCATACTAATCGTCAAATGGCACGGGTGGAGAAAGACTTCGGGTGACCTTCCGTGCATTTCAGGCACGAACGAGCACCTGTGTAGAACTACCGACGTTCCGTAAGCTAGCCGGATTGAAAGAATCAAGTCTCCGTCGGGATTTGAACACACTAGACCACGGAGGCCCCCCATCAGCAAGGTTTTAAACTGTTTGAATATGCATTAAACACACAAACCTGCCAGGTGTTAAACTGTACGTGCACAAATCTGCCAGATGTAGAACAAGACTTTTAGAATATGACTAATGTCAATAAAACTCAAAAGCATTGGGGAAAACATGAAAAGTTACTTTATTGCACATAATTCAAAAATAAAGATAATACATTGTAATAGTTATTAAGACAGATGTCAAAACTTGAATTTTATATTTCTTTTATCTTTTTTTGATATTTCTATTACATATAATTTCTTATTTAACAAATTTACAATTTAAATAAAAAACAAATCTTATTGGCAAAACGAAAACTGTGACTTGCAATTTAATTAACATTGTTATTATTTTAAAACAAATCTATTTTTTATTTTCTAAACCAATTAATCACAATGAAATAGACAAAATGATTGCTTTCTGTGCTCAAATAGAAACAATACTGTGACATTCATTTGTAATTAGTGGGTAACAAATTTTGATCAAACATTCTCCTTATGTAATTATACACTTCAACAGCTCTATTCTTAGACATTTTCCCCCTACACTCTATTAAAACAGCGCTTGATTTCAAAAAATCTGACACAGACTTAAATCCATCACATAAATTCAGTGCATGGACATAACTCAATTTCGGTAAAGAAACAAAGAATTTCACTCTATGGCTCTGTTCATCATTCAATTCTATTGGCACTTGGATTGCCGTCTTTTTCCGATGTTCAAGTCTACATAAGTCTGCGAGGAGAACAGCTGTCTCAGTAAAGTTATCAGTAAATAGTATTTTTATATCAGATCTTTGTAGCAATGCTATTGTTCTATCAACATACTTCGTCCAATGAACTTGTCTTACAGATTTTTCCTCACCTGGTTTGATGCGATCTTTTTCAACAATAAGACACGGTCTATCGTATAACTCACCTAAATACTGCATTCTTTCAATCAATTTTGCTCTATTGCTACCGTTACTAAATTCAGACCATTGTTTTCTTTCCACAGCCATCCGATTACTCACAATATAATCACACCCATGTAACTGTGCTGCTGAAACGTTTATGTCATGTTTAAATCTCAGATCAGAAATAATATCTTGTGATCCACTAATTTCTTTTGAATCCACTAATATTACTAGTTTTCCATCAAACTTTGAATTTCTCGCCGTTGAGTTCATAAGCAAGTCTGTATCATCAAACTTATCTTCATTTATGGGTCTAACAAAATCAAAATCATCATTGTGTGCTTCATTATTTGAAACAGATTTCTTCTTTAATTTTGTTAATGCATTGGCACTTGAATTTTCTTCTATGCTATCTAAGCCTTTACTATCTCCTACTTTCCTTTCTGCCATTTGCCTTCTATATTCTGCTTGTTTTTCTTTTTGTTTCCTCAATCTCTCTTGTCTTAACTCGTCAGCAGTTTGGTGACCGTTTACAGCTGATGTTTTGCTTACAGATTTTTCATTTAAATCTTCATTTCTATCATAAACATTCCTATTTACCAGTTTAACACTTTTATTACTTCTGCACATGCTTCTGCTTTCATAAAATTCATCTTCACTTTCACTGTTGTCACTACTCAAAAGTAATCTACTTCTTTTCTTTGATTTTGACATTGGCTGAACTTTTGGAGACATCAAATCACTTTGATTCAAGACAAGCACGTTTTCTTCATCACTTGATGTGTCATTATTTAACTGAATTCTACTACGTTTCGTTTTTGGAGCATCAACCTTTTCATTTTCATCTTCACTGGAAGATAAGTTTTGCTTTTTAGCTGGTCTTTTCATTTTTCCTGCCAACTTTGTTCTTATTTCACTTAATGCTTTCATCCTTCCCATTTGTATTGCTCTTTGCCTACTAGTCTGGAAAGCTTGCAAACCTCTTCTGCGCTTTCTACCTGTATGCATTACTGAATTCTGAATTAAAGTTACTTCCTTTAGTTCCTCTTCAGATTCATCTCCTCCGTCTCCTAGCAACCAATTGTCTTCCTCCTCTTCATCTGCTGAGCCAACACAAAATGAATCCTCCATATAATGGGAGTCTTCAGGTGGTGGTTTTTGGGAAAACACATCAACATCACTCCTGTGATTAAACTGTAACTTAAACCCACCCCTATGTCCAACAGGACTTTTTACAGATTTTAGATAGAGAGCATGTACATCAGTATCGTTAAGAGCTTGTGACTGGGTATTTTGAGAATCTGATATAAAACTACCCTCATATCTATCTAAGTCACTTCCTTCATGTTCATCAGAAGATGCATTGCTATCTCCCTCTTCACTTAGCTCAGCTTCTTCATCAATGAATGGGTTTGAAGTTCTCTTTTGCTTGCTTTTCAGTTTCACTTTTTCATGTTGTTTCCTTTTATCATTGGTTGCAATATTTTTTGAAGCATTTTTCCAAGGAACTTGTATATTTGACTCAGCAAAACTTTCTTCAAAATCTTCATCAGAAGATTGTTCAAGCTGTGGAATAGACTTCTTTGTAGTGTAATTATTTTTCATTAACATAAACGAATCATCAAAATCTTCATCATCGCTACTTATCATAAATGCAGTGCCTTTTTTACTTTTTTCTTGGTTATCATTCTCATGAGGCTGTTCTTTGGTCATATGATTCTTAACAATATTTTCTTTCTGTGTTAAAGGAGAGTCTAATATCTTAACTTTTTTCTTTCTCCTTACAATGAAGCTATCATCATCTTTCTCTTCTGAGCTATCTAGTCTCGATAAACATCTTCCAGACTCGTCAGCTTTTTGTATAGGCGTTTCTTCAGGTATTCTACTCATTTCCCTAAAAGGGGAATGTGTATTTAAATCAGGTAAAGTGTCTGAAGCTTTCACTGGAGTAATATCATTAGCTCTATCTGGGGTATTGTTTTCTGATATTCTAAATGGAGTAACACTTTGAACCTTTTTGCTCTGGTGGATTAACGGTGTGCTTGTGTTGTGTAGAACTGGCACCATACCTGTACTTGTCCTGTTAGTATCTTTATCTAATAGCATATCACTTGTAAAATTGAAAGAATCATCAAAACTATCTGATGAAAGATCATCCAACCTAAATACTGATTTCCTAACGTTTTTGTTAAGTCTTAAAGGTAATTCTTTAGCTTGTTTGTCTCTAACAGAATGTTTGTCATTCTTCTCCTGTGAAAAAGTGATTGGGCTAACAGCAACCACTGGGGTATTGACTTTTTGTCGAAAATTTTCTAAAGATTTTTGACTAGCAAGGAACGAATCACAGCTTTTTTCATTATCAAAATTTGTTAAATTATCATTCTTTGGTTTTGGATCATTTTGAACTTGAAATTCTGCTCCTGAATCTATCCAATCCTCAAGATCTTCACCTAAAAGTGCAAAAGATGTTTCAAATGCTCCCGTACAATTGCCCTCAATCTCCTGTTCAGTATCAAGATCTGACTTCGTAGCAAAGGGCTCTTTGATTCCGTTTTCAATTTTTCCTGATGTTTTCGTCTCATTATCTGAATGTGTTTCACTGTTAACTACATTTTTTTCAGTATTTTCAAAAAAGTCATCCTCTGAGTTCTCTTGTATAGCATCCAAAGAAAATTTAGTCTTTTTACTCAAAGGTCGAAGAGGAACATTAACGATGTCATTAAAAAGAGATTGACTTTCTTCTTCATTGTTCTTAATACTCTTTTCAACATCCTCTATGTGTGTATCATTTAAGTCTAAGCTTTTCTTACTCTTCAAAACTTTGACATTATTTGCTCCAAAATTGTTTCTTTCACCAACTTTTATTTTTTCTAATTTACTTCCATACTTGTCATCATAAAATGTTTCACCTGATGCATCACAGCGACTTTGGCTTAAACAGTTTGTAAATGTAAAGGCTTGACTCAGTCTATTTGATGACGACTTTTGGGAAACTTGAGTGGCTTTGGGAGAAGGTGGAATTACATCATCATCAAACTCAAACCCTAAATCAAACTCTGGCATGTCTATAACACTTTCTGAAGAGGAGGATTCTTTTCTTGAAACCTTTTTTTCTGACAAATCTCTACCTTCCTCTGAAACATCCTCATCAACAGTGGACATGTTATAATTGATAACTTTTGAACAATCTTTTATCTGTCTTTCATCATCATCAGATATACTTTCATCAGTACTATTAAAACCAAGAAGTGTTTTCTTCAAATTGAATTTTGGACTTGGATTTTCAATGATTCTATTTTTACTTGCATTGATTTTATTTTCAAAACCATGTCCATTTTCATTGCCATGACTCTTAATGCAAGCTTCTGATGACCCAGATCCTCCTTTGCCACTATGAACAAAGTCAAGAGCCTGTGTGAATGTGATCTGAGTACTAGTCTCATGGGTCTTGGTAGCTGATGGAGTTGTAATGCCCATAAACAAATCATCATCTTTGTCATCAGACAGGAAAGAGTCATACTTTGGTTTATCCAAATTTGAAAAAGACACATTTACTTTTTGATTTGAAGATGATTCATTATTATAATTCCTTTTCTTCCCTATATTCTCTGTCACAAAACTATAATCAGCTCCTGAAATTCTTATATTTTTGTCTAATGAAGAAGTACAATTTGAACTTTTTTGCAACTTTGCACTTGTGTTGTTATCTGAAACATACGTTATTTCTAAATCATCATCCAATATTCTGTTATCAGACATTCCTTTTTCATCTAGTTTTTTACTTTCTGATAACCCTAACATTACAGATGAAGCTTCATTTGAGTTATCTTTAATCTCAACCAAATCTTCAGACATCCAGTCATCACTAGCTGAGAACATGTCATCAGCATTTAACATAAAGTTACCAGTACAAGCGATATCATCCTTTTCATTCAAATCTATATCATCTTGGTCACTCCTGTCTAAATGGGTAAACTTAATTTCATTTTCCTTTAAATGGTGTTTCCCATCCCCAGAAACAAATGTTGTTGATTTTAATTGAATATCATTAGCAACATCAACTTCCATTTCATCATCAACATGAACTGAATGCCTTATCTTTCTTTTGTTTCCGTTTAAACATTCTTTATCAACTTGCTTCTCATTCAAGGGTGATTTGAACAATTTTTTTCTATTCTTTAATTTCAGTCCATTCACTAAATCAGCAGATGTATTCATATCAGTAACAGCATTGCTATTTGGATTATCTAATGCACAAGATGTATTCATATCTGTTAAAGCATTGCTATTTGGACTATCTAATGTAGTTTTCAAAACAGTTTTATCTCTCTTGTTGTCCATTCTTTCAACATGTGTTCGCTTATCAGAAACCAATTTTTCATTTGAGAATGGTTCTTTTAATTTTATATCTACCATGGAAATGGACATTTTTTTCTTGTCCGATTTCCTGTTTCTGCAAAAATCGGTGATTGAGTCATTCAACATGCTTTCGGGATACACTATATACTTCCCTTGTTTATTCTCCCTATGCCACTCATCTATCGCATCAATGAAATCTACATCTCCAAATTTAGAACCTGTTTCTAAAGCCTCACATACTTTGGCTACTTCTTCTACTGACGGTGGAGTTCGTATCCTGAATATTTCTGTACTTATATCCTTAAAGGAACTAATTTTACACAATTCGGAATCAGAATCGTCAGATAAAATTTGACAATTTTCTTCATTTAAATGTCTTGACCCTGCTGCATCTTCATTTTCAACATGTGGTTTTATACTTAGCATATCAGACACCCCAGGAGAACAATCAAAGTCTGCTAAGTCATTGTCTGCTATCAACTCTATAATCGATGTATGACCACTATTCTGTCGATGTTTCTTCCTCCTCCTAGCATTTCCAATTGTCATCCTCTTCTCTAGGGATTTTGCTTTACTCACAAACCCACTTTTCTTGCTTTTCAATGACGAATTTTGAACATCTTTTGCCACATCAGTTGTTTTATTAGTGCAGTTTTCAATTTTCTCAGAAATGTCAATAACTTCATGAATATCAGGAGCTGGAATATTTTCATCATCTGATACTTTTCTTGTAACTGTAAGCTTTTTCTGGACAGTGTCAGGTTTTCTTTTAATACCTAATCCTGAATTTTCTATGTCACCAGTTTCCTTAGTAGCTCGACTAAATTCAAACTCAGGGAGGCTTTCATCACTGCTTATTTCCATTCTATCATCAAGAAAATCAAACTTCGGAAGATTTTCACTTCTCCTAGATTTTGGTTTTTCATCAGACTTTTTACCAATCTTGCCTTTGTCTCCATTGGTTTTGTTCTGAAATAAATGTAATGCATGTTATCAAAATTGTTCAAGCATGCAACATAGAAGTGCAATGAATTTATAACTTATTATTTTTTGTTACTGTCAATAAAATAGTGTCCATTTTCAATCTCAATTTCAAATGCAAAGATGCATTTTTAGCACTGGTTGATTAATGGTGTGCTTCTGTTGTTGAAAATGATTAATTTTTGCACTTTTGTATCAAAAACTCCAACATAATTACTGGACAGTTAAACAAGAGCTGTCACAGGAGACAGCAAAGCTCAACTAATACAAGAGCGATCAGTGATCACATGTGTCGCCTCATAATGGCCAATTTCATGTTGGGACAAGTTTTGTGACAGACGAACAGACAGTGCACAACTAGACTTGGTACTGATCATTCCTGTAAAGTTTGGATGAAATTGCACCAGTAGTTTATGAGTAGTAGTCCGGACAAGCTTTTGTGTATCTGGCAACACACAGAAAAAACACCTTTTTATCAAGGGCCATAACTCGGCCAAAAATCATTCAACCGGAAAACCCGTGCAATATGCGCAAGGACTTGAGCTACAGATCAATCCTGTAAAGTTTCATTGAAATTGAATTAGTGGTATAAGAGAAGTAGTCCGGACAAACTTAAAAAATAAAAATTGTTTTAAGGGCCATAACTCTGACAAAAATCATTGAAACAAAAAATGCTGACAATATGCACAACTAGACTTGGTACTGATCATTCCTGTAAAGTTTGGATGAAATTGCACCAGTAGTTTATGAGGAGTAGTCCGGACAAGTTTTGTGACGGACAGACGGACAGACAAACGGCAAGACGGACAGACAGACGACAGAGAAGTGATCCCTATATGTCGCCACTACTCCGTAGAGGCGACACAAAAATACTGGACGCAGTAAGGAGGACAAAACTATGAAAGAAAAATTAATTATGTATAATTAAGTTATAGTATAAAATAACATTTGTTAACATAAATTCCAAGATCAAGGGGAATAATTCTAGAAATAGTCACGCTAGAGTTATGAACCTTGTCATACAACATGTGTATAATGATAAGAAATATATATTTGAAGTTTGAAGTAGATACCTTAACAAGAGCTGTCAGAAGGACAGCGCGCTCGACTTTTTTAGTGCTTGCCTATAAAACAAAACTTTGACAGTTAAGGGCACACAAGACTTTAACTAGGAATTTCTAAGTACAAATCAAGAAACATTTTCACAGAGTTATCTTCTCTTGCTTACAGATAGGTCTCATGATGGCACATAAGAACTCCAACTTCCAAAGTAATATCTCAAATGGTTAGGTCAACAAGTGGACTGACAGTTAAGGGCACACAAGACTTTAACTAGGAATTTCTAAGTACAAATCAAGAAACATTTTCACAGAGTTATCTTCTCTTGCTTACAGATAGGTCGCATGATGGCACATAAGAACTCCAACTTCCAAAGTAATATCTCAAATGGTTAGGTCAACAAGTGGACAAGAATGAAAATTTTAACTGAGTTTCTAAGTCAAAAAGGGCCATAATTCAAATAAAATCCTTAACAGAATTACCTTCTCCTGCCCATGTTTGGGACCATGATGGTAAACAAGTATTCCAACTTTCAATTTAATATCTCAACCAGTTCAGTCAAAAAGTTGACTGGTACAAAAAACTTAACCAAGATTCTAAGTCGATAAAAGGCCTTAATTTTTAAAACAAATCCCTGACAGAGTTACCTTCTCTTGCGTACAGATGGGGGTAATGATGTGAAATAGCATTAAAAGTTTCAAAGCAATATCTCAAAGGGTTAAGGCAATAAGTGGATTTTACCCATATTCAATGTATTTTCTAAGTCAAAAAGGGGCATAATTCTGTCAAAAACCTTGACAGAGTTATGTCCTCTTGTCTGTTGATGAAGGTCGTGATGGTAAACAAGTATGGTCAGTTTCAAAGCAATACCTCCAATGGTTTTGAAATAAAGTGAGGTGGTACAAAAAACTTAACCAAGCTCAATACACTTTCTAAGTCAAAAAAGGGCCATAATTCTGTCAAAAACCTTGACAGAGTTATGTACTCTTGTCTGTAGATGGAGGTTTATGATGGTGAACAAGTATGGTAAGTTTCAAAGCCATACTTGTAATACTTCTGAAATAAAGTGGGGTGGTACGAAAAACTTAACCAAGGTGTGACGCCGACGCCGACGCCGGGGCGAGTAGGATAGCTCCCCTTTTCATAGAAAAGTCGAGCTAAAAAGTAAAGAAGTTATAATATTTCTTAAAGAAAATCTTAAGTTCAAAGAGAGATAAATCTGTAAATATTGCTTCAAGAGTTATGAACATTGTCACATAAAATGTAATTGATGATAAGGAATAAGTATTTGAAGTTTGAGTTAGATACCTTTAAAACTAAAAAAATTATAGTAAAAAAATAACATTTTTCTAGTATAAAAATCTAAGTTTATGGGGAGATAATTCTTGCAATATTGGTGCTAGAGTTATGAACCTTGTCACATAACATGTGGATGATGATAAGGTACATATATTTGAAGTATGAGGTTGATCCCATAAGAAATAAAGAAATAACAGTAAAAAATAGTATTTTTTAAGGAAAATTCTAAGTTCAAGGGGAGATAAATCTGAAAATATTGGTGCTAGAGTAATGAACCTTGTCACATAAAATGGGGATGATGATTAGGTACATATATTTGAAGTATTAGGTTGATCTTTTAAGAAATAAAGAAGTAACAGTAAACAAGAGGGCCATGATGGCCCTGAAGTCGCTCACCTGTATATAGGCCCCCGTAGTGGGGCCAGTTTAAACCCCAGGGCTTTTATTTGAACAAACTTGGTAGACACCCATTAGAAGATGTTTCATGCTAAACATCTAAGGTCTAGCTGGTCAAGTTTTTTCTTTACACATATAGTTAAAAACAATGACACACCTTGGGCAGGGCCAGTTTGGACCCAAGGGCTTTTATTTGAACAATCTTTGTAGACACTTACTAGAAAATGTTTCATGCTTAATAGCTGAACTCTAGCTATTCCGATTTTTCGAAGAAGATTTATAAGTTTTTGCTATACACATATAAGGAAAATCAATGACCCCCGGGTTGGGGCCAATTTTGACCCTAGGGCTTTTATTTGAACAAACTTTGTAGACACTTACTAGAAGATGTTTCATGCTTAATATCTAAACTCTAGCTATTTGGGTTTTTTCAAAGAAGATTGTTAAGTTTTTGCTATACACATATAAGGAAAATCAATGTCCTCTGGGGTGGGGCCAATTTTGACCCCAGGGCTTTTATTTGAACAAACTTGGTAGACACTCACTAGAAGATGCTTCGTGCTTAATATCTTAACTCTAGCTATTTGAGTTTTTTCAAAGAAGATATTTTAAGTTTTTGTTATACACATATAAGGAAAATCAATAAACCCCGGGGCGGGGCCAATTTTGACCCCAGGGCTCTTATTTGAACAAACTTTGTAGACACCCATTAGAACATGTTTCATGCTAAATATCTTAGCTCTAGCTCTTTGGGTTCTTTAAAAGAAGATTTTTAAGTTTTTACTATATGCATATAGGGAAAATCAATGACCCCCTGGGGCGGGGCCAATTTTGACCCCAGGGCTTTTATTTCAACAAACTTGGTAGACACTCTATAGAAGATGTTTCATGCCAAATATCTAAGCTCTAGCTCTTTGGGTTTTTTAGAATAAGATATTTAAAGTTTTTTCTTTTGGTTGCCATGGCAACCAGAGTTCTGCATGGAATTAAATTCTTTGAACAATTTTCAAAGGTGACCACCAAAGGAACATTCCTGTGAAGTTTGGATGAAATTGGCTTAGTGGTTTATGAGGAGATGTCATTTAAAGTAAAAGTTTGCGGACGCCGGACGGACGCCGGACGAAAAGCGATCACAAAAGCTCACCCTGTCACTTTGTGACAGGTGAGCTAAAAATAGTATTTTTTAAGGAAAATTCTAAGTTCAAGGGGAGATAAATCTGAAAATATTGGTGCTAGAGTTATGAGCCTTATCACATAAGATGTGGTTGATGATAAGGAACATATTATTTGAAGTTTGAAGTTGATACCTTAAGAAATGACAAAGTCATAGTGAAAAATATTTTACTGCACCAAAACTTTAATCTGAAATCGGGACGCGGACGCCGGGGCGGGTAGGACAGCTCTCCATATACTTCGTATAGTCGAGCTAAAAATCACAGGAGAGAAGCTCAAGACAAAAATTTAGCAGTGACCAGTATTTTTGTTTTACTGCACTAGTCTATTCTTCAAAACTGGAACCTTACTGAAAATCACATCTACCAGTATATATAAACAATTTATTGATATATACTATTCTTTATATACCTGTTTTGGTGCAAGGAATGTAGGTAATGAAGGGATCTCAGTTTCACCAGGTTTTAAGATATCTTCCTCATTCAAATAAGCTGCCATCTCTAAACCATATGGATCGTCAGAAGGGTCAAGGCTCTCTGGAAAGAAGAAATCATAAGCTTTAACAAGAACTGTCGGAGGGCAGTAACGCTCGACTATTTGAAAAGTTGTCACAAGGGTGTTTCATTGAGTATAATAATGCTTACCTATATGAATACATAAAATTGTCCGAAAAGGTACAAACCCTTCAGTAGTTATAGAGATGCCAGCTTACAAGCAAAAATTTACCTAGAATTTCTTAGTCGAAAAAGGGGCATAATTATGCTAAAAAGAAAATCAGAGTTATGGGACTTGTGCCAATCATCTTAGATAATCACAGAGAACAAGTGTGTGAAGTTTCAATCCATTCCCTTCAGTTGTTATGGAGATACCAGCTTACAAGCAAAAACTTAACCAATAATTTCTAAGTCGAAAAAGGGGCATAATTATGTAAAAAAGCAAATCAGAGTTATGGGACTTGTGCCAATCATCTTAGATAATCACAGAGAACAAGTGTGTGAAGTTTCAATCCATTCCCTTCAGTAGTTATGGAGATACCAGCTAACATGCAAAAACTTAACTAAGAATTTCTAAGTCGAAAAAGGGGCATAATTATGTAAAAAAAGCAAATCAGAGTTATGGGACTTGTGCCAATCATCTTAGATAATCACAGGGAACAAGTGTGTGAAGTTTCAATCCATTCCCTTCAGTAGTTATGGAGATACCAGCTTACACGCAAAAACTTAACCAAGAATTTCTAAGTCCAAAAAGGGGCATAATTCTGCGAATAGTCTAGCTAAAAATCAGAATGATAAAGAATACATCACTTTATGCCACACCTTATACAATGTAAACAATAAACTTCCAGCATTTGTACCAGGTGATGTTTCAATAAACATTATTATTAGAAAAACCTTATCAATTTAGCCTCATTTTCATTTCATGAGTCTAAAAATGTGCAGATAGTCTTTAAACAGGTTTGACTGTTATAGGTTTGACTTGATATGTGTACTTGCTCAACAGAATTCAGTATTGTACTCAACAATGTATAACTCATATATATATAAGTTCAAAGTGCCTAACTGCAGTTATTGCAATGGTAAACTACCAACACCTACACCACCATCAGCTGTTAAAGATTGTTAGTGCCATTTAGAAAAAGAAAGAAAATAGAAATCTTGTATACAACTTTCCAAGTAAAACAAGCAAATTTGTTGAATTTATATCCCCTGCCGAGTACTGGTTATTAACTTATTACTAACACAACAACTGAAGACATAAGGTTTAACACAAAATACATATTTCACAAAATACATACGCTGAAGCTGTATGAACTCCATAATTTGTACAAGATGTTTAGAACCAAGACTATGGTCTACAAGTTCCGTGTCTTGAAGAGTATTCTGCCATGGAGTCCATTCTGATAGAGATAAAAATCTCCCATTTTCATGCTGAAACAATATACAAATTGAATTTGTTTAAAGTTATCGGTATTCAGTCAGTACCTAAAATTTTCTTGAAGCTTTTATTTGAAGTTAGTATCTGAAATGTGATTGTTTCTTTTTAACAATAAGTATTTCATAATAATACATTCATCAAGCAGTCATGTGGACTTCTAAACATATATGGTTTTCTTGCATAACATACAGAATTATCTACAGTTTACAATGGTGCTAGAAAAACCTGCCTTACACCCGCCCGTACACCCTTCTTAGAATGACATCATTTTGCCATTATGTATGAAGCTGCAAATTAATAAACTACTACAATAAAGTGCTAAATGAAAATGCTTGTTTTAGTTATATCTTTTCAAAGTATGATTAATGTTAAATGCAAGAAAAATAATCAGTCAATGGCTGTCTGAACAGATGAGATTATCAAGCTCTTGGGTAACTGTTTAACGGTTACCGCTGTAAACAGTTACCCTCAAGCTAGATATTCTGGTATAGCAGCCAATGTAAGATCCTTATATTCTGTAATTTAAATCAATCTGGTGGACCGATCAGAAAACAGATTTGACTACTGTTATTCTATAACAAACTGATACATGTTTTTGTTTGTATCTATTTATTGGGTTTTAAGTCACACTGACACTTGCAAGGCCATATGGCAACATTCCAGCTTTATTAGTCGAGTAAGAGTTCAGATGCTGATCTAAGCATTATTTCAGGAACAAGCAGGCATCTGAGTAGAACCCCCGATGTATCATATGTTAGCCAGATAGCTTCCTCTCCGGAAAAAACCCCAAAGACCCTGGTGGATTTCGAACCAACTGAGGTGAGGTGCAAATGATTAAAAGATAACAACCTTAACAACTAGGCATGTGGACACACTGAGTCACCCCAGAATGTTACGTAATTTAAGTTTGATTTTAAAAATTACATTATAATCAACTTAACAGACACTCACATAGATATATGAGCACAAGATAAAATGAGTTCTCCCATCACTGATAAAAGACATGTTGTTTTAACTAATTAATTACCTACCTGCTCTTCATTGGTATATTCTTGCTCCAAACAAGTTATACTGCAAGTTGGTAGTTTTGGTATTTCCTCATCAGGGATCAGCCATGGTTCAAGCTCCCTGTACTCTTCTAGTGTAATTATTTCTTCTGACTGATCCTTCTTTGAAGCAGCTAAATGTCAAAATTTAAGAAAATAATTCAGTTGAAAAATTTAAACACTGTAATTTTCAATTATTGAACCTAAACAAATCCAATTAAAATTTCTTAAATTGCCCTTATTCCGTTAAGATTTTATGTATGCTATGTATCCAACCTTGAGTTTAATGCACATTCATAAATTAGCTTGTTATTAAATTAATATTGGTTTAACAATATATGACTTGTCATTCCAATCAAAGGGAGACAAACTGTTTTAAAACATTGAAATTCAAAATTAACAAACATTGTATCTTACAAGAAGGCACTATTACAATCACAACACCTACGTATGTATATAGAAGTTAGAGCTGTCATTGATTCAGTCCAAAGCATATTGACAATATACCAATATCGAATGACAAATATCAACGATATATCGAAAAATACTCCTAATTTCTTGTAAATAATAATTTTTCATACCTATTTTAATGATTTTAGTAAAAGAAATGTTCTGTTCATGGAAATATGTTGTGTCCCATTTCTAAATGACCTTATGCATGATTTTTTGACCATATTTTGTCATCACTGCTATGAAATGTGTTCATTATGTATCAACAGATTAGTGTTAGACATGACCACCTGCCTTTGTTTATGTTTTTAGTGAATTTTCATAATTTATAGACATTTATATAATTTATCAAAATAATCTATTTTTTCAAATGTGTACTGAATGGCCAATGATCATTCGCTAGAGAAGGTCACAATTCTCCAAAGCAAAACACCATTAATTAGATCACAGTTAGGTTTGCCATTTTTTATCCAAACTGCATAATTTTAGACATCTGCTACAAATGGCAAAATATTTCAGCTCTTGACATAAGAAAACCTACATGTGTTTCACTAAGTTAGACTATATAAACAAATGACTCCCAGTACAGAGCCATTTCTCACCTTTATGGATATAATTTATATAACGTTTTTAGAGGACCACAAGATGATGCTAATGCACAATATCAAAGCTCTGGGCATTCTCATTTCTGAAGGGAAGACTTTTAACATTTTTCAAGTCTCTCAAGTCCTGTGACCTATTTATGCATCAGATTAGAACAATTTATATAATTTTTTTGAGGGCCAACTAAGGAGCATTCCTGTGAAGTTTGGTCAAAATCCACCAAGTATTTCAAGAACAGATGTTGATTAAAGAAATTGTTAACAACAATGAACACCAGAGGACAGAGATCTTGTCATGCTAAAAGCTCACCTACAAGCATTTTGTGCTCTGGAAAGTGCTCTGGTAAGCTAATAAAAAACACATAGGGAAATTTTTTTATATCAAAGTTAAAACCTTACCATCACTCATCATTGTGGTTATTTTACTCTGGTTGGCTTCCTTATCTGTTGAGATTTTCCTTGTGGGTTTAAAGTTCTCTTTCACTGTGATATGCATACTGTGACAAGTTGGCACAGAGTTTTCAGGCAACATACGCGGACTGTGTTGATAAAAGTGTAATGATTTGGCACCGTTCAGAATGGCTTTGTGTATACTTTTCTTTGAGTATTGGCTCTGATTGTATATCTGAAATATGGGTTAAAATCTGTCTAAACAAATGACAGACATTTCATCGTATTTTATAGACTTAGTACATATTTAAAGTACATGTGCGAGGGATGTCCCAATAAGTCATAGACAATATCGTTTCAATACAAAATACTCAACAGACTTTTAAAAATATTTTACTGATATTTTATAAGCCATTGCTAAGCAAACATGCAAAAATAATATTTTTGCTTTACAGCCATTGTCAAAGACTTTGTAGTTCAGTCCTCGTATTTACTAAACACCTCTTCATGTTTCATACAACAAATTGGCAAAAAAAGATTTGAATTTCTCTCTTATTTTAAAAGAGATCAACTGACTTGTGGTAGCCAATAACGATTCAAAATTTTACTGTTCATTCTGTCAAAAATGTAAAGCATGATAAATGAAATCTTCCAATGTGACGCTAATTATATTATAACACAACATACGATCTAGACTAGTATAGGAAGACAACGATAGCCAGGCATCAAAATATTTTCAGAATCACTCGTCTGCAGGACCAGTAGCTAATTAATCAAATGTACAGGCAACATAATTTTGCTTGTCATACATCGATGTTCTCTTAAATTCCACTCGAAAGTACGAGGGGACAAGTGTAATTTTCGGTCTCTGATAACCCTAAATGCATTTTCTCTGGCCGAAGAATTGGCATAAGAAAATACAACAATTCTGATTTATCTAGCTGCCTAGCTAATGTTAAGGATTTTAGTTACAATATGTTATCAGAAAACATCAAAGATTCTGCGTACCTGTTCTTCTTTACCCTGGGTCACCAGCATCACAATCATACCCTCTCGTTTACGTCCAGTACGACCCATCCTCTGTACCAGTCGTATAGGACTTTTGTGAGCATCAAAACAAATGATAAGGTCCACATCACCGATGTCTAAACCTTCTTCACCTACACATGTTGATACTAACGTGTTGTAGCCACCCTCTCTAAATTGTTTCATTACCTATGAACAAACATAGAACAAATGTGAAATATCATTCTTACACAATCCATAACATATTTCTTACACACATTATTGTAATCAAACCTTTAAATCACTCTTCCATCACACATAGTTTGTATAAGTGGATATTTATGCATCATAAAAATGTTTCAAAAAGTGGACTTTTGATGAAATTACCTGTCATATTTCTGTTACTGCTATAAAATTTAAATGGCAAAAATTGCATGCACCAAAAAAAACCACCACATTTTTGCTTAGAAAAGCAAATATTTGCTGAAACCAAAAATCCAAAAGTACGGTAGTTCCTCACAGAATTCAAGTCATAAGTAGTGAAGTGCAAGTAATTTAAAGTCAGAAACTCAGTTTATACATAATTTATTTTAGTTTGATTGTATTGGAAGCTAAACGCTTCTCAAATCTGTTCCTGATACAGCACTCAGCAATGAGTATAATGTTTCTTGCTCCAGGACACAAGAACCTGCCTCTGACAGGGTCTGAACCCACAGTCAGCAATCCTTAGATTACTTGTCGGCAACATTAACACTTGAAACCTTTAAAACTAAAAAAACTTTTACATTTTAGCTTAAAAGAATGCTTATAAGAATAAGAATAACTTCATAAAAATGATAAAACTTAAGTCATAATAGTAATGTTGATCATTTGGTCACAGACGATAAATTCATTTATATATGAAGTCACATTAAAGTTCAAACCTTTAGTTGTTCTTTCTGTGTAAAGCCTTTAGTAGATTTTCCAGCAGTGGCCTGTCCTATTGAACTCATAACTTAATGATGGGGTTGATGTACATGTAGCATGTCCGTAATCTCCTGTACACTGTCACGATACTGTGAGAATATCATCACTCTTGTACCAGCTGTATATATATCAATAAGGTATATAAACAATTAGCAATATCACTTCTACATACATGACCAGTATTTTACAGGTGTTAGGCCAATTCTAACATGTTTTTGGTCATATCTTCGCCATCAAAAATTTGAGTGCTTGACAGTACGAAAAGGGGTATAACTCTGTGAAAAAGTAACTCAAGAGTTATGGGACTTAAGCCAATCACACTGGATAATAGCAGAGTGTATGTGCGTGAAGTTTCAACTCATTACCCTTCAGTAGTTTTGGAGATACTAACTTGCACACCAAAACTTAACCAAAATAAGATGGCAACAGCAATGCTGAGCGGGTACAATAGCAATACATATTCTTTGAATACTCGAGAGAAAAATCAACATCTATATTACAAATCAGCCCAAAGAAAAAACATGGAGCAGTGATCTAGTGGTAAAGATGTCTGCTATGGGTTCAAGCCAATGATGTTTCGACAATATTACCTCATAACAATAGTACTGGTAAGATCCAGAGTTATTCAAATAAACTTAAAGCCTTTTCACAATTGAGCTAAAAAAGTATTTTTTATACATAAAAGAAGAAGAATTACTATCTTACCATCAGAATGTGTGTTGAAATGATCTAAAACAATCTCCTGTAATTTCTCCATTTTTGGATGTCCAATTACAAAAGGCTTAGCTCTAGCCTGACTTGCTGTCTCACTGACAAATGAAAAAATAATCATTCATCTACAGAGTTTGTCAATATGAATTATTAATGTTTATATTCTGAAATAAGTAAACAAACTTTTTAATATTAACAGTATATGTATGTTTGTATTCTTATGATCTAAAATCTGTAAGTAATCTAACATATGTTTTTTTGAAAAAAATCCTGGTATATACAAATATGTATAATAATGATAATCAATCATCTTATGACAGCCTTACAGACAGGAACTTTTCTATGTATGAAGAAACCAGTACATACTAGATTTCCAACCAATTCATAAAATAAAAACAGAGATTTCTGGAGAACTCTTCCAAATGAGTTATCTATAGATACAGTAATATTTACTCAGCCATTCTTGTTATTAAAAGGCCCATTAAGCTTCCAAAATGCTACCATTTGTGCCGAACCATGACAAAACCAACAAAGTGTGTTTGCGACCATCATGGATCCAGACCAGCCTTCGCATCCGCGCAGTCTGATCAGGATCCATGCTGTTCGCTATCAGGTTTCTCTACTGGTAATAGGGTTTGTAAGCGAACAGTATGGATCCTGATCAGACTGCGCATGCTGGTCTGTATCCATGCTGGTCGCAAACGCACTATGTTGGTTTTGTCATGGCACGGCTCATTTTTATTTCTCAAAAACTTCTTATTTTTGTTATCTTGTAATAGTTTTCAAAAAATTAATCATAGGCCATAAAGATGAACTACATATTTTCAAAAGTTGCCCTTTGGCAAATGGTATAATAACAGTGACTTAGTATTATGTATGGATGTCATGCCACATCACTGCACATTCAGTGCTACTTTCTTGAATAATTAATAGCTAACATGCTCTAAATCCATTATTAAAACATTATAGAACACATGTTTGACTTTTCTAAAATATTTTTAAAAAAAATGATTGATTTCTAAGGCATTATGTGCCTTTAATTTCATGAATCTGACCTTTCTGGTGCAGTATATTTCCCAGATAAAAGACCCATTAGTTCATTAAAATCTGCATTTCTGGTCAGTTCAGTTCTTGTCCGGCCATATCCCTTATCTCCAGTCAATATTCCTTCAAGGAAATTGTACAATGACCTTGACCCATGCAGCTGTAGCAGCTCAAACCCGTGATAGAGACTCATAGCTAATGCAAAGTCTCCCTCCACTATACCATACTGGTTTCTCTGAAATAAAAATATGATGAGAATTTCACGAAAAAAAACTTTCAAATTTTATGTGATTAATACTTAGTTTGACACTTGCTTATTTAAGGGTCTCAATTCAATCTGATAGGTTAGATATTCATTTTGATCAACATTTATATTGAATCTAGTCATGAAAATGGTTATGTGCTTTTTATGTTTAGTTATCACAGAAGTACACATCCATTTTTGCTACATGTATGTTTTATATATGACCATATTCAATGTCATAGCAAGCACTTTTTGCTATAATGCAATTAAATAAAATCTTCATATAAATCACATTGCCATCTATCCAGGCTCTATACTGTTGGTAGATCATATTTTAAATTTGTTACTGAAAAACCTCCTTAAATTTTGAATAAAATATTCAAAATCAAAGCTTGGAAAAGATTAAGTAAGAACCTGTAGTTTTTCTGGTGGATTTTGCCTGAATGCCTCTCTGGCTTTGAGGATGAGAAACTTGGACAAACTGGCTGTATCTCTGTTATATAGGACACCATACCTCTTCAGTTTATTCACAACTACGTCCATTATCTGTAACAGAAATCAGATGCATCTCTGTTAATGTAAGTTTGTACAATTGTATCCATGTAGATACTATCACTAGGCCTTGACATTAACTTTTTTATTTGGTTGTCTTGCCGAGCAAGTACTTTTGAAAATTACTTGCCTTGACCCAAAGCTTGCCTACCCTGACTTGAACCAGCAAAGACATTTAATCAATCATACATTAGCTACTTGAAAGCAAACAGATGAACAATCTTCCGAAAAGGGGTTTATATATCCATTAGACATGAAAGAGTTTTCAATAAACTATGGAAATAGTGAGAGAGATTTGTTTGTTTGTTTGTTTCATTTTACGCCTTTTTCCAACAGTATTTCAGTCATATAGGTGGGTAGTTTCCTAACCATCGTTCCTGGAGAGTTACACCAGTACTAGACTACATTCCTCCGCGCTAAACTACCAAAGCATCTCCCGGGGATCGAACCCACACCAGAGAGGTAACTGGATTAGAAGTCATCGACTCTAACCCCTCGACCATGGAGGTGGTTAGTGAGAGAGAAAAAATTCAAATGTATCTGCTCACTTAATATTTTGAAGAAAAAAGGGGAAAAAAGAATTGTATGTTTCATGGTTGATACAATTTTGTAACACATTTGCAAATGAATTATTATTTTCACAATATTGAAAAGAAATTTTCAAGTTTGAATGTTATTGGCTAAAATATTTATTAAATAAATTGATAACATCGTGACAGTCAAGATTGGCTCTTGGTTTTCAGTTTTTTATATAACTTTTTTGAAACTTATGTTGAGGAAAATTTTAAATGACTTCAATTACCTGGATGTACTTTGTTTTAACTTTAGTTAGCTCGTCACCAAGGGGCACAACCACTTTGTCTACCTTCCTTTCATGAGAGTATTTCTTGATATCGTTCGACTCTTCTGTACGTATCTCTATTTGAGATATCAAAAGGTTGTTGAGAACCTGCTGAACAGCCTGTGAGATAAGAAAAGCAATAAACAACCAATCAGAGTTGACCGTTAAAATGCTAGAGATGATAACTACAGACATATGCCACACAAGTATAGAAACAGGCTGGCATACAGTGCTGCCTGACCTGTCTTTTTTTTTAATTTTGGCTATTGAAATTTTACTATTTTAACATAAATTCCTTCATCTTAATGAAGGTCTACTCTTAATTCAGTAAAAGTCTTGCTCATTATACAAATTCAGCCAGGTAAATGTATAATGCACATATATGTTTTAGCAGTGTGTGTTATGTGAACAAGTATAAAATTACTTTTTGATCGGTTTACACATCAAATTGTTTGCTGGATTAATTGTAAAAAAAACAAAAAAACTAACAAGCTGCCAGGCTTAGCCATTAATCATCTACATACAGTTCACTGTTTAAAGGGACTAAAAATTTGATGCACACTCCTGTTTTTTTCCAGAACAATTATTTTACCCATGAAAAATGACCAAAAATGAAAAAACGTCTAAATGCTTTTAACTTAATTAAATCAGGCTGATAATCTCAAAAAAAAAAAAATTCAATTTAATTCTGTTTCTGCATAATTGGCATCAATTTTTACAAACTTATTTTAAGTGCAAACCTTGATCTAAGAAAGTATTCCAATTTCATGTTTTTTTTTAGGTTTTTGGACCTCAGTGGAATTCCTGTAAGCTTATATAAATTTAAAAACTGTTGTAATATGTAAACTCATACCTTGATATCACTACCAGGAGTTGCACTGAGAGAAAGAACTCGGAAGTTTTCTGTGTACTTCACAAGTTCCCTTACAACCTGAAACATATGTAATGAAATATTAACATGTATCAAAATAAATGATAATTTATTAATGATATATCAAACTATTTATTAAATCTTCCCTACACATTCAAGTACTTCATCATCATGTAAAGGGTGTCTGTGGCTGGGTGTTTAAGACCATTGACTTTAAATAACTTGCCCCTCACCACAAAGGGATCAAATCCCATCAGGGACTTTGAATAAAAAAATATGCTTACTTTCCATTAAGTTGAATTAATGAAATAAATATCTATTTTAGTATTTTTGTAGATAACATCGTCATGGTAAGTGAAAATGTCAAAAATTAAAATCTAAGTGGTAAAGTAAACTCAACAAATACATTTAAAGCATCAACTGACAACAGTCAACTACAAATATGTCTGCAGATGCCAGAATACCCCACATTCCACTATTTTGTTAGTCAACAGACAGTGACAGAGCAAGATAAACAAACAAGGGCAAATCAATATGTTCCCTTACAAGTAGGGTCTTAAATATTACTTTAAGCAATACCTGTAACATTTTTATAAATTCGTACAATAGAATGTTGTATTTACCTGACAGTAAGCATGGTTACCAAGAGCTTTGTGGGCCTCATCTATGACCAAACATTTCACATAATGTGCCGGGCACGATCCTCTACTCAGGTCATTGGTTAACACTTGTGGTGTAAGGAAAAACACTCTTTTGTCATGCCATGCTCTCTCCCTCTTTGATGGCCCCATACTCCCTGGTAAGAAAAATAAATACCTTTGATACTTTATATAAGTAAGTAGTAACATTTTATTTAAGAAAGCAACAAAAGGTATTTACAAATGTACTCAGAAAACATCATTGCCACTTTGAAAAGTTTAATTAATATTTCCTAACAATTTATGCCCATATCTTTCTGAATATTTAGAATTGTGTTTGTGTGCATTTTTTGTTTGTTAATTCAACAGTTTTTTGTGAAGTCTATAATGTTAACAAGTTTGTTTTTTCCCCACGAGTATGCTTTTCTGTAAATTGAAACGTTCACCCTACATTGTACATGTAACTCAGTAACAGTACCTGTCATTTCAGCTGTGTGGTCCTGTGGAATCCCCATGATATTGTAACATGCTTCAATCTGCTGGGCAACAAGTGGTTTTGTTGGAGCCATAAAAATCACCTTCCCTTGAGGGTACCAGCGATAGAAATTATACATCACAACTGCAGCGATGAAGGTTTTACCAAGCCCAGTAGGAAGCGTAACCATTGTGTTTTTAAATAAAGCCTGCTTGACTATATCAAACTGATAATCTCTAACAGGATAGTTTGTCGGGTAGATCCACAGCTTACCAGCACTTTTATCAAAACCTGTAAGATTAGAGTTCTGAGTTTGAGCCTGGGTTGGCATGAAGCCATCTGCACCGACTGAAACATCTCCAACATGTTGATCTTGATCATTAGCGTGTTCTCGGCTGTTATGTGATGTATTATTTGCAATAGTACCTGCTCCTGTGTGTCCACTAACATTAGATACCGATTCCTCAGCCTCACACAGAAGATCGTCGTCATCATCTTCAAAGCTACCACATAAATCGATGACATCATCATTAACTGATGAGGTTGATGCCTGAGCCACTGGCTGGATAGACTTTTGTTCAGAGGTAGTTGCTCTATTACCCCAGCTCTGAAACAAAGTCGCTTGTTTCTTATTCATTATGGCAACATGTTCTTATACGACCATATTTGATTGTGGCCTCACCTGAAACAATAAAAAATGAAATACTAGATTACTTTGTTTCATCTAAATTCTTAGTTCATATTTTAATCATTTAATGGCATCACTGTTTTATATATTGATTTTTATGCTCAAAACATCCTCTTTCTAATAAGGGTGTAACGGTTTACCTGTATACCGATATTTTGCAATATGAAAAAATAAATTTCGTTACGCGGTTTGATTTTTGGAAAACCGGTAAAAATCATAATTTTCAATTAATTGCCTTCTAATTTCGTACAAATTTTGCATAAAATCTTTAATTGGCAAATTTAATTGGCGCCAATGTAAGATAAAAATATCCAACAACTAGTACACTTAAAAGTCAGTAAGCAGCCGTATAATTTACATAAGCGGCCCAGATGTGAAAGGTCACACGAGACTAGTTTTATTTATCAAATTGTGTGACACTTTTATCACTTTACTTTCTATTTATTCCTTACATTTTTATTAAGTTTCTACTAAGAATATATACATATAATAATAATATATGTTACTCCATCTTTACATCAAAACATAAAAACAACAATACGTATTGCAATACGCTTCGGCAAAATGGCAATATATTGATTATTGCAATATGGTTTTTGCCGTATTGTTACACCTCTACTTTCTAAATATCAAATGTTTACACTTCTATTCTTTCACACTTAAATTTTGACATACAAGTGATTTTCATTTTGTTGTGCGTAACTTTGATGCACAAATTTTGATAGTGATGCGTGTTTTAGATTTTCTATGCGTATTTCACGCTGATACGCATGATATCTGGAGCTCTGGGAGGTTTAATAAACACATGATTTAGGGTTAGATATACATGTTTATTACATGCTTTTCGGTGGTTTATAGAAATATATCAGTGATTTAAAACTGGTAATTTCACTGTTTGAAACAGTGAAATTATCACTTTGATAATAATTTGCTGACTGCATTGCAAGCATGTATGTACAACGTATAACTAAAACATGCGGCAAGACAGAGACATTTCACTGAAAATGCTTCACCTTTATTATATGCACTGTATTTTTTCATCTTTTTACTAATGCCAATTCAATTGATGTTTATGCAAGCCATAATTTTGCAAATATAGCCTTTGAAAAATCTTGACCTGCCCTTTTCTGTTTCTATCCTCCATTTTAAAATGTCTTATGAGTGTCATGTGACCAAAACTTTGCAAAGTGTCCTTAATATTCACTGTAGCATAGGGTGTACAGCTTATATTGTTTGAAAACATTAATTGGTTTTTAATTGATACTGAGTAAAATTCATAATGGGTTAATTATTGTATATAAAGTCTAAAAAAGAAAGAAAAAAAATCATTTTTCAAATCAACATATACATATCTTTACAACCTCATTCATTTTAGATATATTTTTCAGCCCGTTAAGCCAAATACAGATGCTATTCATCAAGATTAATGGTAAATACATTCAATGTTAAAGTGACAGATACACCTATTAAGACCACTGCCAGGGTGTATGGCATTCCTAAATAATGGGTAGTTTTATATGAAATAAATTATAATTTTAAGTTTTCACGATGTTGTTACATTGCAGGTTTGCTCATTTAAAAACTTCTTTTGCTGTTCATATTACATTACAGTGAAATATCCTTTTAAAATAACCACCCAATGAAAAGGCGTCATTTCATATGACTGTAAACAACAACGGATGCCTCCACGGTCTGTTTACTTAAGTACAAAACTAAACTGATTTTGAATTTTTAACAAACATAAAAATGGTTTGCAGAGATAAACAACATGCCATAGTAACTTTATATTGTATATTATTTAATGATCAAGTTCAATATAAAAAATGCACTAGTTAAACAGCTTAAGGGCGTCAAAACTAATGACTCTAGCAGTCTAGGATACCTACCTTACTGTTCTCGCGAAATATGATGACATCGTTGTACTCTTGTTTATAACGGTTTTAATTTGCGTATATACATTATCACATTACTTTAATTAAATAAATAATCTGTCTCAAATAATTTATTCGGCGTGTATACAGTTATATAGTATTTTGAAGCTGCATTCTTCTTTATTTACGTTTTTGTAATCTACCGCTTTAGCAATCGGAACATCTCGGCTATTATCATTTAAAAAAAAAATGGGTCTCACTAAAAAGCGTCGAGATAAAATATAACGTCCGGAAGCGTCAGGAAAAGTGGGTAGACATTACTTTTCATTTTAACACTTAAACGGGTTATATTTATTGTTTATTGTAATTGAGGTAAATTCAGAGATGTAGATAACAGAAATAAGCAGCTCCACTGAAATATCACTCATACTTGTTAAAAAGTAAAAAAATAGGCATTTTGTAGCAAGTAAACCTTAATTAGTGTATATATGTTGCAGTGTCATATTGATGTGTTAATGTTATGTGTTGTTTGTCAATGTATGTTACGTATTGTACACCGTAGATTATGTTATGTACATGTCCATGTCATGTCTGTTGTATTTGTATCTGTGTATATCTTGTGAAGTCCTATATTTGTGTCCCTTTTCCTATATGTCATCCATTCATCCTTTTATTCATTTACTCATTCATTCATTTCTTCATTCAATCATTTATTAACAAGTATGTACTAACCACTGGTACGGGTCTCAACCCTAAATATTCTATTCCCGCACTAAATACATTCACACATGCGCACTCGTACTGAAGGTTTTCATGGCGCGAGCCAGACTTCATATTGATTGAAAATAAATATTTTCTGAGAGCGCGCCTCTGTATTTTTGCAGGTAAATATGATTGTCTGTATTGATTCCATACTTGTTATTCTACATTTTGCCATTCATGATTTTGTGTCATTTGTCATTATTTTGTATTGGCACTCGTACTGAAGGTTTTCATGGCGCGAGTCATACTTCATATTGGTTAATAATAAATGTCATCTGAGAGCGCGTCCCTGTATTTTTGCAGCAACCCTCAAGCCAAAAACCTCTTAGCAATTCATCTTTCCCTTATAGTTAGAGTGGACTGCGACATATACATTTGATCCTTTTATTTTATACACTATTTGAAAGTTAAATCTTTTATCTATTGCTGCATGTTAAAATATTGGTAGCTTTCCATGCCTTTCACTTAGAAAAAACATAGCTGACACATACCCACTGAGCCAGTTTTTCGTCAAATAAATAGTTCTGTAACAAAATTAATAAGGAGTTCTCTTTAAAAATTGATGTATCATTTATTTAAATGGGAACTGTAAATGTTTTTACCTGCAGCCATAGAAAAATGCATAAGCTTTCAGTTCAGAAAATGTATTATTTTAATGATTTTGATATCTGATTCATAAGTTTTATTTGCTACAAGTTTTCAGTTTAGGAAACACGCGTGATATCTTGTTGACTATCTCTGTTATCTATATGTCTTTTGTTTTGAAAGACCCTAATTTTAATAAAACCTTCCGGACGCAGGGATTTCTTTATGCTTATTGGTATGACATAATATTTTATTGATAAAAAACTTTTTTCTTATTAATTATATCATTTAGAAAAACAAATATTTAATGGATAATAATTCCTTTCAGCTACATCGATGTCTGAAGTCCAGACGCTTTCTGATGCTATATTTCTTCCGTACGCTTTTTAATGAGACCTTTAAAAAGACTGACGGAAAGGGCCGAAAAGTTGCGATTGCCGCTTTAGACTGGTTATCTTATACAAAAATGATCATAATAAACCTCAAGGAATTTTGTTATACAGAAAGGATAAGTTTACGCACAATGATAATAATATTAATTCCTTTTATATTGAATTCAATTAAAGCACACCAGATCATTTCCAATTCAAGGATTCGAATTCCTAATATTTTGCTGTCTTCCACTTCAATTTTTCCTCAGATCATTAAAATCATAAAAGTTATTTAGCTGTCAATTCATCAAAACCACAATGCAATATGTTTTAGTGTTTTTCTCTGTTTAATTTATAGCAAGAATGAATGAACGAACATGTAGTTTTTAGTGTTTTTTCATTATATACCAACAAATTGAAGCATATGTGTTTATATCACCTGAATTATTAAACAAGATTGTAAAAATCCCGAGATTCATGAAATAATGGTTTTGATATTTCTCGAAGTTTGTGGCAATAAAAAGTTATAAATAATCATTTTCATTTTGATGTGAAAAAACTGCATCAAAATTCAAAACCAGTGTTAAAAAGCTGATAAACGCCATCCAGAACGAAATTATTTCTTAATTTTATTATCTAAAATCAATATATATATATATATATATATATATATATATATATATATATATATATATATATATGATACGATATACATGTGCTGGGATTGACAAATATAAATTTATTTGGATTTTACTTGGAGCTTAATGTTCTATAATAAAGTCTCTAGATTTTAGATGTTTGGAACTCTTTACCCCAACTGTCTGTTTGCTTTTCCGGGATCTTTATATATTCCATATGAACTCGGCTTTTCTGACCACAATATGATGTCAAATTTCCGGGATCTCTATTTGTTTTATACTTACTCGGTCTTTTATTGTGATATAGAAGTGGTAAATTACGGGGATATCTAGGTGTTTTATACGAACTCGCTACTTTTCTGAATGTGAAAGAGAGAACGCCCGGTATCCTAATACACAAATAAAAAAATGGATATTTGACCTTTTGACTTGAAAATGAATGTAGCTGTTAGAACCCATTTTGGTGCATCTGCATACAAAGTTTAAAATTATTATGGGTATGCACTTTCCTTTAATAGCCAGATGTATTCTTAGTTATTTCCGGTGCCAGTTGACCTAAAATGAATGCGGCACGTAGCACCAAGATGCCTCCGCATATACATGTACAGTTTCAATGAAATAACCTTATAATTATTGAAGTTAATGATCGTCAACGAAACCTTAACCAGACAGGTTAACCAACGCCGACTCTAATGAAAGTATCAGACGTTTCGCATATTGCAGAGACCGGCCTTTATAGGGGCTCGAACCCGGTTTGACGATTCTTTGACGCAAGCATAAAGATACGTCTAGTTCATTGATTAAGCAAATCTGTTGAAAATTCATGTTTTCGTACCGAGCATGCGAGTCCGTCAGAGGTCTGTGACAGGCACCGTGAAACTTGCCAGAGCATTCAGATCATGTATATATATTTTCAGGGCTTGAGCCCGGTTGCGCGAAAAAGTGATGGAAATAAGATGTACTTCAAGTATACAATGTTTTAGCAAATCTGTTATATGTGCATGCTTTCACGCCGAACATGCGAGTCCGTCAGACGGTCTGTGTTTCATGCAGACGAACACATAGTGTTTAAAGTGTATAAAGCTATATATCTGATGTAAAAATTATTGTTTGGATTTTGAAAAAAGAATACTTTCAAAATGTTTGTATGAAATAAAAATGACAATAAATTGCCTTAAAGAGAGTGGGGCATGAATAAAGTCATTGCTAAACGGATAGGACCCTACTTAAAATAGCAAAATAATATTTTGTTCTGGAACATTTTATTCTGCTAACGTGCATTATTCATGTGTATTAAATAACGGAGACATTATATGTTACAACTTTTTCGGGAATCAACCATATGATAATGGAACCAATATAATTTTACTGTTGATAACTTTCATAAAAATATTTCATAAGATATAGATTTATACACTTTAAACCGGCCTCATTCAAGTAGCTAGTGTACAGAGCATGCAGGTATAATTTTTATTGGTTCGAGCCCGTTTGGCGATTCTGTGACGCAAATAAGAAAATATATTTAATGTTTAGTGAAATGTTTTAGCAAATATGTTGAGAGTGCATGTTTTCGCGCCAGATAGTCTGGATTTCCTGCAGTCGGACCTCACAGTGCTGAGAGTGCTATAACCTGCAGAACACGTACGTGTATTTCTTTAAGTGAAGTCGGTTTTTTCATGTCAAGTGTAATTGTAATGTTCTTAAATAGGGATGAAAATGCATTTTGCCAATTTCCGTACTTACATTAGGATGCTGGGCTGCTCGGCCGTCAACTTTACAGACATACAATAATGGAGAAAAAAAATCTTAAAATTATTAAAACAAATAAAAAAAAAGCACCATCTTCCTTTCCCTTTGAAAAATAAATCATTATGTTTCGAAAAAGTTCAGTACAGTGTCTATACTCGTAACTATCATTTAAAAATGAGTCGCGCCATGACAAAACCCAACATAATGGTGCGAACAGCATGGATCCAGACCAGCCGGCGCATCCGCGCAGTCTGATCAGGATCCATGCTGTTCGCTATCAGTTTCTCTACTTGTTATAGGGTTTGTAAGCGAACAGCATGGATCCTGATCAGACTGCGCGGATGCGCAGGCTGGTCTGGATTCATGGTGGTCGCAAACGCATTATGTTGGTTTTGTCATGGCGCGGCTCAAATGAGTTATTCTTATATAGTGTTTTGATGCAACTCTAATAAAAAAAGGTGGTTTTTTTACATATCCTTCTTTAAAAAAAAAAATTGCAGTGACTTTCAAATGTTTTATCTTTAACCTGTTGGAATTTAGAGATTAACATTTACGAGTAGTATAGAGCCCGGCTAGCCTCCTGACCGATTAACTTTAATAATTTTCTTGATATCTCAATATTGGTAATGAATAGAAGCTGTCAAATTAAGAAATTCTGCACGCTAGGTGATACCTATTTATCATTGCTTTAGCAATATATGCTGCATTTCTTTTATTAAGTGCACAATGATGTATACAGTAGAAAATATTGTTGTGCCTTCTACGAAGAATTTATTAATTACATTTTTTGTAGTCTGATGTAATTATTATGATATCATCAGACATGAGTTATGGATCGTTGCCACATTTTATTGTACATGTACTTTGTCAGTCTGGTAAGAATATAACTCGGAAATGAATGGCTTTTAGGAAAGGTTAAACTCACGAATAAGTTTCCCTCTATAATAAAACTCAGTCAAAGCGAGACAACTCTTCATTTGCAAATTGGACAGGGAAGCAAGAGTTGCGTGCAATTTGAGGTACAATGTGTTATAGATATGTTAAAATAAGGGACCCAGCCAGGTGACCTAGTAAACTAGCGATTCGTATTTTTTTGGAATAAGAAATAATATCTTTTAGCGGATAGTGTATCTTATATCAAACCACAACGAGCATAATAAATGAACACATTTTAATATATATTTATTTCATATTTTTTAAAACAATAGTTGCAAAGCTAAATAACAGTTTAACAGTTATTACAATACAAATGGAAGAGATACAAATAAATATCATACTTAGAAAAAACAAACAAAATAAAAAATATCATTAAAAATGAAAAAAGCTATCACTGGAATATCTGTAATAATAAAAGAGGTACCGCTATATCTCAAATAAATGTCACTACTAAATAACATCTAAGGTTAAATAACTATACACTGTTTACTACCTAGTAAAATACAGATTTTCACCAGTTAGATACAATATATATATCATACATAGTCTATTGACTCATATTCAGTGGCAAGAAATAAAGCTTTCTTTTAAGTTGAAAAATCTAGAATAGAATACACAAGATCTACATTTAATTTTTAAGTGCGATACTTTCTTATATTTCACAAGCGCTAGACGCTCGTAACACCACCGTGTGAAAAATTTCACTTCTTGATAGGATATCCTCTACATTCTACAAAAACATACAAAGAATTTATGTCTTCATATATTTAGATATAAAATAGTTTTTTTTAACTCTTTTTAAGCCTCATAAATGCTGTCATTTTGATTTTCCTTTTTCAAGAACTTTTTATTTTGGCGTCACAGTTTCCAAAAGTTACTTAATATACCCGAGCTAATATATATATTTGCTTCTTTCGCGTTTTGGTAATTAGTACACTTTTTATGATCTAGTATTTTGTATGGAAGTCAAAATACCATTTTGTTTACATTTTGATATCTTTATCGCTATTTTCCGGTGATATGCATCTTAAATGTTCTAAATCCGTTTTTCAAAATTATAAAACAAATCTCGCTCTTTCTACAGAGGGAAACGTATAAACTTATTTGTGAGGCTTAAAAGGTTTCATCACAAAAATAGATATGTTTTAAACTTTCATGAAACATATTTATTCTTAAGGGATCTAATACTTTGTAATATACTTGAGGGACCTAAAACTTTGCAATGTTCTCGAGGCATACATTGTAATGTACTTTAGAGATCTAAAACTTTGCAATGTACATGTACTTGAGGGATCTTAAAGTTTGTAATGTTCTTGAGGGATCTAAAACTTTGAAATGTTCTTGAGCGATCTTAAACTTTGCAATCTTGATGAATCTTAAGCTTTGCAATGTTCTTGAATGATCTAAAACCTTGTAATGTACTTGAGGGACCTAAAACTTTGCAATGTTCTTGAGGGATTCTAAACTTTTTAATGTTCTTGAGGGACATAAACCTTTGTTTTGTTCTTGAGGGCACTATAACTTTAAAATGGTTTCTTGAGATCTTAAACTTTCTTATGCTCCTGAGTAAAAAGGAACTTTCATATTCGCTTTATACCTTTTGTATAATACCCTTGTTTGTGTTTTAAGAAACAAAGGCAATGGGCAACAGGTGACCCCATCCGTATTGTATATTTTTCTATCCTCAAAACTGTTAAAGCCTCGGCAATATTATTCTAAGATTTTATCCGTTGGTTATCACTAACCAATGTTTTGAACAACCGGGTCCTGAACATCAATTATACCCCGCCTTTTCACTAATTTACTATCAACAGTTTGGATAAGTAAGAATATACAAAAAAATTACCATCAAGATCCCTTGTAACTTTAACTTTGAACTTTGTACAAATTCAAGACTTCATATCAATTCTACCAATTTCCAATGATATGTTACATGATAACATTTAGTATACGTTTTACTTTGACCTATGCTTGTAAACACAGTGTAGAAATCATCCAGTAAAAATGATGTAACCATATACCTAAGAAGCCCAACTCTAGACTGTAGTGATCTTTATCTTATTATACTGACCAGGTCTAAAATACAACCTTCAATGCTACGCAAAATAACGCTGTAAGTACCAGAATTGTGAAGATCACTTAATGAACTAATTCACTGGATTTCAATCATAACCATAGTCTATAGTTGACTTTATATATTGACAAACCGAGTGTATGTATGAAAAGGACGGACAGACGGACAACAAACCGAATGGTAATACAACCAACAATAAGTAAAAGTAAGTATCAAACATACTGAATTATCAAAGGGCACGACATATGTATGCAATCGAGTGTTTACATAATTTGATTTGATTTTTTTTAGATTACTTTACTTTTAAAATTGACAAGTAAACTATGGAAGATCTCCTTTTCTAGACTGAATGGTATTTCATGGTAAAGAGGGGGAGCTAGTTATCTGCGTTGCATTCAAGTCAATCTTTTTCTTATATAATTGTTTCAAAATGTTGTACAAAAATTAGCATTTTTAACAAGGGCGATAGTATTCACAAATGTTTAACATTATTCAATTAATTACATGCTAACCTCAACACTAATGTATTTGTAGTAGCTCACTATTTACTGACATTACACACAATTTTTAGCACGACGTTTTCACGGATGAAACATCTCTTGCACTCAGTCTTTAGACTTTAGCAGTCTTCACTGCGATATCCAATTCATTCTCGAAATCTGCATTCAAAACAAGTACAACCAACAGAATAAAGGCGCGTTTTTTTCTAAAATATAATATGGCACGTATGTGTATAACACAAATTCCTTTACACAATTATAATAATATTTTTTTTTTTGCTATTTTTGATTAACATATGGCATATATTTCCTAAGTTCTCATAAGAGCTTTTTCCGGCGTTGATTCGGCCGATGTATCATCTATATATTTGAGATTTATGTAACTTTTATAAATCGTCTTATCCTCACTCAGTACGCTGTCCTCGTCATAGACCGAGTTAGGGTGTAAGGCGGCTTTGGTTGGACTCGAGGTCACGGGTTCGATCACCTCTTCCTGTAGCACCAGAGAACCCTGGAATAAAATTTAAGCATTTACAACATATCGCACTATAGGAACAGAGAAATAGTACAGTAATATAATTGGAAATAAATATATCCAGCTAAGTTTTGAAGCAAAGTTCCGTTACCACAGGTTAAAAGAAACAAACGCAACCATCATCATCATCATCATCATCATCATCATCATCATCATCATCATCATCATCATCAACAACAACAACAACGTCGTCGTCGTCGTCGTCATCATCATCATCATCATCATCATCATCATCAGCAGCAGCAGCAGCAGCAGCAGCAGAAACAACAACAACAACATACGTGCGCAAGCTTGCACGCACACGCCCACACGCGCACACGCACACACATACAAATCAACAACATCCCTAGTGCTATACTCTTTAGGTTGAATCACTTTGTTTTCTGCCATGAGTAAAGTTGAAACACTTAAGAACTCAATCACAATAAAACAAGAATAGAATGTCAGTTAAATTCGAAACGCAATAACATCTCTATTTTTTCTGAATCAGGGGAGACAAGACGGCAGGCTTCATTTTTCTTTAAGACTTTCTAGTTAAAACATTCAGCGTAATAATGAAGAAATCTTTTCTATAAAAAAATTGTAACTCTTTTAATTTAGCAAAGAATGTTTCAATTGTTCCGTATTTCGCAACAAAACATGTATTAACCACAAAACCACTACAAGAAACAGTTGAAATCGTAAAAACTAACAGGTTTAGAAATATTTTAACGAACAAAGCAGCTGGCATTTAAACAACAACAAACAACGAAGCAAAACCAAATGCCAGAAACAGTGGGATAAACCGGTTCTTAATCTTTCGGTCTTGACTTGGCAAAAGTTTGAATTATATGTATCATTATCTCACTGCAAAATGGTCACGTGTGCAACACTTATTTAGTGCAAGTGTACCGGTGACGGTCATGGTAAGTCGATGTCAAAAGTACAGTCAAACCTGTACTTATTAAACACCACAATGGATTCTAGGCCATACCCGCCTTATCGTTTCCTCACCGGAGAAATTACGGTGAACAAATTTGATTGGTTTTGTCCAAAGGGAATATTTTCTTTTTTAAAGACTTTTTTTTACCTTCTGGCAACAAGTCATCTGGAACACAAGCGTCTATCTCTCCAAAACCTACACTCAGACTGTCGTCTGGCCTCATTTATATATATATTTAAATCATATAAATTATCAAATGTACAAAAATCAAGGAAAAAGCTTTAAAAAGTAGAAGGTCAAGCTTAATGCCCATTTCACGCAAACCTGCATACAGCGCACAAACATAGAAAAGAAGACTAAAGAAAATGGAGAAAAATCTTAGAGAATCATAAATTGTTTTTTTTCTTCTTCAGTGCACATTTTATGCTTACTTCTCTGAAACTTTCTAGCCATGTTCGCAGTATTATGTAGTAAAATAACTTCTGTAAAAACACCATCGTTTTGTATTCATTGGCTGTGATAAAAGTAAATCAGGAAGAAGAAATTATGTTAAATCTTTATTAGTTATTACTGGGAATCTAGATAGGTAAATCTGTTAATATCACAAAAAAAGCAGACACGTTTATTTCAGCAGACTCCTGACTGGATAAAATATGATGTAAAACCCAATACATTCATGGCGGAAATGTCCGTACATTATACAGATAAAAGAATATGATATACATTCTAATACATTCTCGTACATGTATACAGATAAAGGAACATGATGTACATTCTAATACATTCATGTACATGTATACAGATAAAACCAAGACAAACAGTTTACTGGAACAATTACTCCAAAATCAACACAATACAATCGGAAAATGGAAATTCCGTTAAAATCAACAACAGCAGACGAACTATAGATCTTTTTGAGCGGCAATATATTTTTTTTAATTGTTGTTTGACAACTTAATTTTAAATAATACTTACAGCATTTGCATTGTGTTCTCTTTTCTTCTTATAACATGAACTGCAATAATAACAAGAAAAGATTCATATCATAAGCAAACCTCACGAAAACAAAACATAAATAAATACAATATGAACGCTAAAGATGGTGTTATTTGAACCAGAATATCTTTTACGACAACCAGTACTTCAAAATATAAGAAACACTCAAATAAGTTGTATGGTAAAGAATGTTTTTTTATCGTTTATTTTGTTTTCTTTCACACAGGTTGGAGAAATCTATAATGAGCTTGCTAAAAAGAAGAAAGAATAATATTAGAATTATACCTCTGTTGAAAGAAGGAGCGTGAACTATTTTTTGACACTGCGTGTGAAGAACGGGAGAACAAGACTCTGATATGTTAAAGGATTTAAATTTGCTATAGAATATGCATATATTTGCAAAATAAATGGCAGAGACAAACTTTGAATAAAGGGGTCCGGTATCTTAGAGATTAAGATGAATTAATGAAGTTAAATCAGAGCTTGTGGATTTGAACAAACCTTCTGATACAAGACTCCAAGGTTATAAACATTTAAGTTCGATCTCGGAACTCCCAGTTCCACATTGGGATCAATCTCAGGAAAGTTGAGATTATAAAAATTTAACGTTTATATACATGACTCCGGTAATTTGTAAGCAAAAAAATGTTTAAGCACGAAATTTTAAATATTCATCATATTCATTTTTTTCCTAGAAGCAAATATAATTGAAAAGCACTCGAGAAAAAAACCCCAACAACTCCGAACTGAAGAGTTTCTATATTCATTCTAAAACGCTACTGTTATACAACAGATTGATATCGGCCCGTCATGCAGCTATCCACAAGAGCCTGATATTCTGGAATCTGTGTAGAAAATTGTTGGCAGAAACCTGTTTTATTTGCAAAGGTATACTAATTTCAGCTTTTTACTTGCAGCAGCCATTTGCAATCTCATTTGCAAAATATTTGAGTTATAAAACAGTTTTCGAACACAATAAATGCAGTGTAATTTGCAAGATAATTTGCATCAGACTATATATTTTATACAGGTAAATATAAGTTAATACCGTAGAAATCTACTTTGTTATTATACATAATTTAGATTATATGATTACAAATACAGGTGAATTGATGATTCAATATACTATAGAGAGATACGCAACGTGGTTCCTCGTAAAAGAATAACTCTACTCTGCCATATACTGTTTGTGATTCGGGTTTGAGATAGGCATTGAAATGTCATACCTCGACTTTTCAAATTTATCGATGACTAATTAAAGACCAAAAGAACACCTGCTTTATAATTATCATTATTGTACTGGCAATTTCCAATTTCCAGTAGGTAATGAGGAAGAGGTTTGAAGTATGCAACGTTAACCACAAAGCCCACCTTAACGTTTTAAGAGTGCTATAAAAATCTAATATAATCTAATTGTGTGCAAGTCAGAAGAAGCGTTGGTAGGGCACTTGTCCCCATATAATTCAGGGGCCGCGCAATCAATTGAGGTTGTCACAAATGTATTACGGACAAGTGAACAATTTAATTGATTGGAAAGAAGTGAAAAAACACCGATGGGCTAAAACTACCTTAAGACTGGTCGTTTTCTTTAAAACCTACGTATAATTCAATTTATAACCTTTAATATTCACCATAGTAAAAATGTTAAAAACGTTATGTTTGAGATTCAATTTAGTTCCGTTAAACATTAACGTCTTATTTTAATGACAGGGTAAACATGTTTCCGAGAATTAACTCGGGAACAGTAATTATGTACTTGAAAAATATCCATAAATCTTCTTCAGAGTCGAATAAAAACTGATAAAAACAGACACGGTGCTCGGCAACCGCATGTTTGTCTAAAATTTAAACAAGTGTCATTTGTACAATATTACGCACTGATTGCATTTTGCCAATTGCAGTCAAAACATCAAAATACAGTCTATATAATAAAGGTTTAATTGAGTGCTATGCAAGTATAGTTGTAGAAAGTGAACGATAGTGAAACATTCTACCGATGGCAGGAGAGTAAGTTGTGCTTTGCAAGTATTGTTTCGCTATGCAAGTATAGTTGTACTTTGCAAGCATAGTTGTGCCTTGCAAGTATAGTTGTGCTATTCAAGTATAGTTGTGCTATATAAGACAAATAAACGACTTTGTTGTATAATCACTTTAGTTCGAAAAAGATATAACTGTGCTTATAAATATGATAGCAGTTGAATAAAATTATAGTGAGACGAACAATTAAAAAAATCGCATTAGAATCATTTCAAGATGGATCAATTCGATCGACTGTTAAGTAATTTGCTAAATTATATTATACAGAACAAAAACATATAAATGTTGTCATAAGACATTGGTTCGAATAAAGAGGCAGTGGTAACTGTAGGCGTTTATATGCTGAACCAATACCCTAGGTATAGTTTCCTTGCCTTGAGGTTATACCCGTCTCAAACCTCACGATTTTCATTGGTCAGTGAACATTTTGTAGATACTTCCGACCAATCAAATACCTGAGATCTGAATTTGAGCTACGAGAATTTCTTTATTACCTCGGAATCCCATCTGTATCCTCAGTATAGAAATTATACCCTCGTTACGAACACCTTTACCCTCAGTGTAGAGCCAGTCAAGATTATATGCCGGGTATGCTCATTTGACCCTTAAACTTATTCACTTTAAGTGTCTAATATTTAGCTAGATCTTAAAGTACATCTACGATATTTTTTTCTCAGTCAGTACACTCTGGGATAAAAGAATTGCAAAATAGATTTGACAATGCTTTACACATGTTAATTCTTGAGGCAAGTACATGGAGCTTATCTGATTATAAATATAAATAAATAGATAGATAAATAAATAAATAAATAAATAAATAAATAAATAAATAAATAAATAAATTGTGATTTATTATGAGTTCGTAAATAGATATATTCCAAGAGAATATCTTGAATCATCATACATTATATTAAATAATTTTGGCACTATGCTGCTTACAAACTTGACCTTGACCTAGTGCAGGCTGTCTTAAATTCACTTTATTATTATTCTGGCAACTGAATAATACCAACAATATTTTGTTAATCCAAAAAAGATTTTCAAATAAAAATTAAAATAAAATAAAATAATAACTATCAAACTTACAATACACATAACATCACGATTTCGAAGGCAATCAAAAAAGCGCCAATGATTGGATAGATATATGAAACAGTGTCAAGCTCTCCGTCCACACTAGATGGCGTTTCACTTCCGTCATCCATTGGTGAAACACTCTCAGATGACCCGGATGTTGTGTCTGACGATGTCGTTATAGATGTCGTAATAGATGTGCTTTGAGAAGATACCGCGGATGTGATTGAGCTTGTTGTTAAATTCGATGTTGACAATGTGGTCGATACGGTAATTGTTGTCACAGTCACTGACTCCGCATCATCGTCTGATTTATTTATAAAATCATTATTGCGAAGAACATTTAACACTGCTTCACACTTACAAACATCCATCAAACACAAACTCCATTGGGAATTATTATAGAGTCCTGGAAATTGATGCAAACACTTGTTAATAATTAATGCACGTTCCTCACATGTTGATCTAGGATCGCCTATTTTATGATTACATACAAAATGGAGACTATCCACCGGAGGGCATGGCACGGATAGTATTGTAAAAAATGTATCCAACGTTTTCACATTATCACTTTCATTTCCAGCACTGAAAATATAACAAAAATAAGACATGTTAGTAAAACCGATATCTCCTGTACTTTATGAAAGTAATTAACGTTACGCTAAAGATTTATTGGTCATGCCTTGTCGACTTATATAGATATTCTGTTTAGATGCTATTTCTTAATACGTATGCAAACTGATCTGTAACAAAACAAGTTATGTCATTCACGAAGCATTCAATTTCATCTTTACAATCAATTTCAAATTACTTCATAAAATACCGTATGAAACCGCGATATAGTTAAAGGGTATTGGAAAATTATATCATTTTACTTAAAATTTATGATCAAGAAAAAAATCAATATGGAAATAAACAAAAAGTATTGACCCCAAAGTTATTCAAGAAAGAGTAATGGTTCTTAAACAATGCACTTCTCTTCAATGAGATCTATCTATTCATGAGGTTTCAAGTTATGACCTATTTTACCTTAAGTTAGAAAATTGAGTAATTTTGCTTATGAGAATTGAACCTTTCTTTACTGAGATATAACTATATGTGAAGTTTCAAATTGATACAACTTAAACGTTTTGAGTTATACTCCCGAATAAGAGCAATAACTTAATTATGCAAAAGAGAGTTATGGTCCTTGGGAACTGCGCTTCTGCTCAATGAGATTTATCTATCTATGGATGTTTACATTGATACCTCCAATACTTTTTATGCGCTATGCTCCGGAGGAAAGGGAAACAACTCCAGATTATGAAAAATATAGTTCGGTATCTTGAGACGCACAGTACTTCTTTTAAATGATATTCAAGTTGACACCTCTAATAGTATTTTTAGTTATGCCTCAGACAAACAAAAACCTGATTGTCAGACGGACAATGGTTCTACAACCGAGGTTTTTCTTCGCCAGCAAATCACCATTGGCCCTTTGCAGTAATAGAGTCCAACTTATAGCAACAACAATAGTAATAATAAAAAATATTCGCATTATTATTTTATTATTATTATTTTACACAGTGATAATAATAATAATAATAATAATAATAATAATAATAATAATAATAATAATAATAATAGAAATGATAATAATGATAATAACAATAATAATAATAATAATAATAATAATAATAATAATAATAATAATAATAATAATAATAATGATAATAATAATGATAATGATGATGATGATGATGATGATGATGATAATAATAATAATAATAATAATAATAATAATAATAATAATAATAATAATAATAATAATAATTAATTAAACAATAAAAATTTCGATTTAACATTGCTTTTTAACCACAAGTTACAACAAGAAAAAATGAAAATAAGACAATCTTAAGATTTTGTGTCTATTGAAACATTTATTTGCTTAAAGTCTTCAACGTTGTTAGATATATCTTAACATTTATAAGAAATAAGAAGAAGAAAAAACGCATACATTTCAGATATAAATACGATAAATGAAAAAAGGAAGCAATGTCATTTAAAAATAACCACAGACACTTGTAACAGAGTTGATAAAATCAAAACATAGATTTCAAAGGGATAAACATGAAAGATAAAAATCATATTAAAGTGGATTGGTCTATAAAGAACACACTTTTTATACGTTTTTCTTATGTTGATAAAACACACAGAATTGTTTCATTCGAATATGCTTTAAAAGTTGAAGTAAGACTATGTAGACTTAAATTAAAGCAGTATGCCTTCAGATTCATGCTAAACTTCTTTAAAATTTTGAAAGTGTATTTAGAAGTATAATATTGTGAAGTAAACAAAGAAATTAATTTACAAATTGCAACAGGCAATTCACGTAAATTACCACAAGAGAGGCCAAAATATGCAAAAATAGCCGTTACTACTTTAGTCACGCAGTAGAATTATTATGATAAATACTTTAAAACCAGTCATTGATCGCACATAAGGTAGAAAGAATCGTGAATGTTTTTACTTTTCTCAAAAATAAGAACATATATCCCAAGTTTGGTTTTCTTGAAATATTTTGGCTAATCTGGTGGCACGCAGCTTTAAAGCTGCTAAGTTGCTGTTATCACATGTGGTGTTGAATCACATTCTTCCCTATGTGCACTCTCATTATAATCATGTGTTATTTAAGGCAATGGTTCAATCTAAAATTGTATTTAATTATTTATATGAACTGCAAATAACTTTAATTATCTGAGACCTACTTTGACATGAACTTTTGTTGTTGGAAATACCGCTGTTAACAGAGAAATTACACATGCAACCAAACTACCTATTTAAGTATAAGGAAAATAGAATGTTGGCGAAGAGCCATTAAAACTGACTTCAGTAATTGTTTGAAAAAATTGAAATTATTTTTATCGTATTTTATAACAATGTGATGCTCTTTTCTTTTATAATGAGCACAAAAGCATTCTTTGGTGCAGTCATCGATGATGATGATGATGATCCTCATCATCATCATCTTCATCAAAATCAGCATCACTACTATAAATTAACAAAACTGAAACTATCATCTTATAACAATTTATAACACGAGTCACCACCAAGTAACACAAAGGAAGAGCCTTTCTAAAACTCGTTAATCGTTTAAGACTATTCAGGAAAAAAATCATTTCGTTAATGGTCAACAAAAGGAGGACGAACAAAAATAGTATTGATGTGTCCGTGTGAGAAATGCGATACAACTAACTAAAATGTAGAGATCAAACCAAAGGAAAGAAGTGTATTAATCCGAGAGACAAATGCCTTTTACTCGATGGAGAAAATATGCAAGTGTTCTCCGTGCTTATAGTAAACTTCCAGGACTTTAGCACGAACTGCCAAGTGGGTTATCAAATATTCATTATCTTTCATTCTGTCTGTAATGGGAGATAAAATCTTAAACGTCGATCACACACGCTTTAAATATAAGTGACACAATCCATAATGCTTTCATTCGGAATTGGAAGAATGGAAGAATGAAGGGTAAACGTAGTCAAATGGTAACATTGTCTCCCTCTTAAAGGCACATTATGCCTCGGAAATAAATAATAATTTACTTTTAAAAAAAAAAGGATTTTATTATGTTTAGATAATGGTTTTAGAGAATGTTAAATGTTATTGCCTGAAGAAACTAGCGATAATTGTGAAATAATTTGTCATATAAGTAGCAAAAATGTAAATTAAGTAGTATTTTGACTTCCATACAAAATACTTATTCACTGTAAGTGTACTTATTACTAACAAGAGCTGTCGGTAGGACAGCAACGCTCGACTATTCTTAGTGCTTGATAGTAAAAAAAATGCTTGATACAGTTACCTCCTCCTGTTTACAGGTTGGGGTCATGATGGTGAACAAGTGTGCAAAGTTTCAAAGCCATATGTCAATGGACTTTGAAAATATTTGAACTATTACAAAAACTTTAACGTAAATTCTAAGTAAAAAAGGGGCATGATTTTGTCAAAATGCTTGATAGAGTTAACTCCTTCTGTCTACAGGTTGGGGTCATGATGATGAACAAGTGTGCAAAGTTTCAAAGCCATATGTCAATGGACTTTGAAAATATTTGAACTATTACAAAAACTTTAACGTAAATTCTAAGTCGAAAAAGGGGCATGATTTTGTCAAAATGCTTGATAGAGTTACCTCCTCCTGTCTACAGATTGGGGTCATGATGGTGAACAAGTGTGCAAAGTTTCAAAGCCATATGTCAATGGACTTTGAAAATATTTGAACTATTACAAAAACTTTAACGTAAATTCTAAGTCGAAAAAGGGGCATAATTCTGTCAAAATGCTTGATAGAGTTACCTCCTCCTGTCTACAGGTTGGGGTCATGATGGTGAACAAGTGTGCAAAGTTTCAAAGCCATATGTCAATGGACTTTGAAAATATTTGAACTATTACAAAAACTTTAACATAAGTGGTTACGCCGACGCAGACGCCGACACTGACGCCGACGCTCGGGTGACTACAATAGCTCTACTTATTCTTATCGAATAGTCGAGCTAAAAAGCAACAGATGAAAAAGATGGTTCAGGTAATTGGCAAATAAGTAAACATGTCGCCAGTAGTAAAGTATTGGAAGCGGACAGGGGTTCAACATTCATCATACTCGAGCTATAATAAGTATGTTTAAAACTTATAACGCAACAGATACATACGAATTCATTTACTGAAACAATATGAGCCGCGTCACGACAAAACAACATAATGGGTTTGCGACCAGCATGGATCCAGAAAAGCCTGCGCATCCGCCCAGTCTGATCAGGATCCATGCTGTTCGCTTACAAACCCTATAACAAGTAGAGAGACTGATAGCAAACAGAATGGATGCTGATCAGACTGCGCGGATGCGCAGGCTGGTCTGGATCCATGCTGATCGCAAACCCATTATGTTGGTTTTGTCTTGCGTGGCTCATATTATTGTAAAACTGTATTACCAGATGGCTTCAAAACAGTGTTCGTGATTTGTTACTTTATCTTACTAACTGTTGAGCCTATCATAAATATTTCCACTGAAACAATGTAAATGTATTCTCCAGAGAAGTATATAATCAATGTTTCAATCAGCATACCCACAAATAAACAGTGTATGGTTCATACCTGAAGAACATATTGATTTATAACTATTCGTTATGTACAATGAAACTTGTGTGAAATATCACTTCTGAATAAAACACAACGTAATTTTAATGACACCTTAAATTTATTTGATGAATACCTTAATATTAGATTGTACTACATTATACGTTCACACATCTGAACATATCAAATCAAGGTCAATCAGGATTTTTTAAAAAAAAATGAAGAAAAAAATCCCTCCAAAAAGTAAACAACACCTGCTTTAGCAAACCATTAAATATATTAACATGAAACATCTCTGAATACAGTTTACCTAGCATTACATTACTGAAAGGCAAAGAAAGAAGGCCGCCCATAAAACACAGCACCGCTTGGCCCAAAAGTCGGTGGGGTACAATATTTCAGATGTACCATACGTTTACCAATATAAGCAAATAAAAGGAGAATATGTTCAGTGGACGAGGAGATAAGGTTTG